ACATCTCAAAGAATATGTGACGACCAAAAAAATCGCATGATGCAGGCCACTAAAATCTGTTGACAGCTTAGTTAGCAATAACCGCTCGGGGAGAGAGAGAGGAGAGACCGAGAGAGAGCGTCGTGCACGGTGCGCCTTGATTCTTCCACCCATTCTAATCTCCTCATTTTTCTCTCCTCCACCGCTCATCCTTTTCTCTTATCTTCTCTTTTTCTTCTTCTCTCCTCAGCCCTCCGTCTCCGTCCCTTTCTCTCCCCACGGAGGCGCCGCTCCCTAGGAGATATTGAACTATATACCACTTTTAGATGTGTCAATTAACTATTTGCCATTGGACCCATATATCATAGACACATGTGGACCCACATGTCATTGAGATAGGTGTAGCAAATAGTTAATTGCCACATCTAAAAGTGGCAAATAGTTAAATGCCCCGCTCCCTAGAGCCGGCGGTGCCCTTCCTCCGAGCCAGCGGCTCAGCCATGCTCTCCCTCTACCTACGACCCCACCATGGCGCCTCCTCTCTCCCTCTCCCTCTACATGCGACGCCATGCCAAGGCTGCCTGGCGAGCAGCGGTCTACGACGGGCTAGGGAGCAGCGGCCGGCAAGCTACTCCTCGGCGTCGGCGGCGCTCCTTCTGCGAGCGGCGACGGGCGGCGGCGTCTCTCCGCCTCTCGCCTTCTCTCCCTCGCCATGGGGCCGTGGGAGGGCTCGACCGTAGCGGGCGGCAGCGCCCTCCCTTCCGGCGGGAGGGGAGGCGGCGGACAGGGGCGGTGCCCTTCCCTCCGCCGGATCCAGCGGGAGGAGGGAGGGGAGCCGACGGCGGCCCACCGGCGTCCCAGCGGCGGCGGCACCCTCCCCTCCGCCGGATCCAACGGGAAGGGAGCCGGCTGCGGTTCTGTGGCACCTTCTCCTTCGATCTAGTTGCATGGCAATTTTGGGATATATTTGTGTATATATGCTTCAGTTTTTCCTTTCTCCGTCTATTTGTGTGATGAAATTTCAACTGTGATCTTTTCTGGGGGACGGACGAAAAATTAGATTAAGATAAGATAAGATTTGAATTTGATTTGGGTTTTCATGCATTCGGTCATACAATCGAATTAGGGTTACTAATTTTGGAAATTTTGGGGGAAATTTCAATCTGATTTATTCCCTCTTCCCCAATTCCTTTCTTCTTCCCCGCAAGGCCGTGCGGCGGATTTCCCACTCCGATTGCCCTACCTAAATACAATCGGATAATAAACGGAAGAAGCGGAGTCGTGGCTATCGCATCTTGCGGACGAAGGGATGAACGAAAATTGAGGTGACGATTGGAAAAATACCAATCTTTTAATTAGTTAAGATATGTGCACACGGGCAGTATTACCCGTTGCCAACACAAACCGACTAGGCTCTGGGTTCCGCCGAGACCTGGACAGTAGCTACATAGGCAGGAATTCACAAAGCCATACCGTTGGAACTATATATTAAAATAATAATATCTATAGCTAATTATTAGCCTACTCATATTCAGGCTAATACAAATCAACTAGGAGAGCCATCATCTTACATAAAAGACAACATAAGCAAATATTATATACTTCCGAAAGGGACTTTCTCAGAGGTGAAAACCAATGTTTCAGGATTGTTTTAAAAAAGAAAAAAAATAGAATAGCACAATAGCAAATTCAAAGCTACTGATAGCATGTTAGTTAAGGATTAATAAGGCATGACAAGATGCGTTATGTAGTAGTGTGCAGAGGCATTTTAGCAGGAACTAGTAATATACCCGTGCTAAACGCTACGGTGTAATTGATAATACAAACCAAACAATTCACCGTGCTAAACGCTATAGTGTAATTGATAATATAAACCATGTTTTTTTTTAGCTTCATGTAAGGTTGTAAACGGATATAAAAGAATGGCATGAAATAAATATCATTTCTTGTTTTCCTTCACAATACTAATGTTTTAATCCTAAAAGTGGTAATAGATAAATTTGAGCAGTCAACATTAAACTCGCATAGTATGAGCTCCTCTCATCCTAGGTGACTTGGCCATCTGATTAAAAAAAAAAGACATGCCTAGCTCCAAAATAGATTTGCTCCACCTCCTACCTCCTTGATTCAGGACTTCTCTGTTTCCCCCCACATCAATGTCTTCTTCTATCACAAATAGTAGTCAGCATAGCACCTGATGGTGTATGATGAATCTTCATAGCCAAAAAATGATATTCCAGCACAAATGATCTTCCATCTCTTTACAACCAGCAAATTGCAAACAATGATAGGTTGATGATTAGCCATGGCATGAGAAAGTTCATAACTGGAAATGACCGGCCAGGGTTGACGGAGCTCTAGATCGGCGTCGCTGTTGAAGGTGGGAAATGGGATCGTTGCAGTGATCTATAGCCACCGCAACAGGGGATTGGCAGCTAAGGATCATGCAGGAAACACCATATCTGTACTACTTAAAAAATTAGAGAAATTTCCGTCGTCCGTGCGCCGAAAAAAGTGTGAAAAACTTTTTCTGTCCGATTGAAAAAGGAAGTGCAAAAAAGGATTTCCGTTTTCCGTTAAAAAAATAAAGAAATATTTCTGTACGGAAAAAACAAGGGCTAAAAAAAGGGTGAAAAAAGTGTGAAAAAATATTTCCGTCCGATTAAAAAAAATATCCTGTCGTCCGTGCCAAAAAAAAAGCAAGCGCGAATTTTTTTCTGTCCTATTAAAAAAATCTCTATCCTTATCTATATCTATATCTATCTATTATCTATCTATTATACTACTTAAAAAATTAGAGAAATTTCCGTCATATGTGCGCCAAAAAAAAAGTGCGAAAAACTTTTTCTGTCCGATTGAAAGAGGAAATGCAAGAAAGGATTTCCATTTTCCATTAAAAAGGAAAGAAAGATTTCTGTACCCAAAAAACAAGGGCTAAAAAAAGGCGAAAAGAGTGTGAAAAAATATCAGAAAATCTAGATAACGGGAACGGGATGCCTTAAAAGGTCTACGTTATTTCCATCAAAATAATTGTACACGCATGTGACACAATTTCCTACTACGTGGCAGGTCTATACTCCACAACACATCCACTTGTATGTGTTCTTCCTGCAGCACAAGAACTCTAGGTATATTGGTTGGGCACTTAGGCCATGTGAATCAATTTGGGCATGCACCTCTGTAGGCTTGACTTACATCTTCTATATACCACGGTCATTTTTAATTTTTCGTTTTCTCCTTTTCTTGCTTTGTTTCTTTTCTTGAGTGAGACACATTGAGATTTAGTATGTCGTGTAAATTAATTGACACAATGATATTATGTAACATAGATTTTATTTTTTTTCTCTTTTTGACTGGTGTTCGCTTTTCCGCCGCTATGCTGATACCAGTATGGTACCAGTTGCATGGTACCTGGTACCTGTGACAGCTGCTACCTGATATCTGTGATACCTGGTACCTGATACCTGTGACACATGATACCTAATACCTGGCACCTGGTACCTGTGATATCTGGCACTTGGTACATGTGATACCTGGTACCTGATACCTGTGACATCTGGTACCTAATACCTGTGACACGTGATACCTGATACCTGGCACCTGGTACCTGTGATACCTGGCACTTGGTACATGTGATACCTGGTACCTGATACCTTCGACACCTGGTACCTGATACTTGTGATACCTAGTACCTTAGGTATAACATGTTGTACGCTAATTGATCATACGTAAAAATTGTCCCGTGACTTCACTTTTCCAAAGTATCCCGTGGGCTAGCTGCCCTCAAAAATATTTCCGTCCGATTAAAAAAAATATCCCGGCGTCCGTGCCAAAAAAAAGCAAGCGCGAATTTTTTCTGTCCGATTAAAAAAAAGTGTGAAAAAAGGGTTTCCATCTTCCTAAAAAAAGGAAAAAAATATTTCTATTAGATTCTTAAAAATAGTATGTATAAGCCGGTCCTCCAAAAAAAGGTTAATGGAAAAAAAAAGTTCCTGTGCAACGTTAAAAAAAATGCCTGATTCCATAAAAACCGTCAAAGTAGATTTGGAAATGTAAAAGCGAATTCAATTTTCTCCTTTCGAATTACTTTTTTTATTCATTCAAATTATCATATATTAAAATCCACCTAAAGATGTCGAAGTTTATATAAACCGCGCGAGAAAAAAAAGCCCTTATAAAAATGAGTAAAACACCTTTATAAAAAAGATAATAAAACCATCCGACTCAATGCGAGGAAAAAACCACCTTTTCGTGAGAAATCCGTATGATTACGCGTGAAAAACATCACTATTTATAAAAGAACAGCTTTGAAAAAACCATGTGACTCAACGCGAGAAAAACACCACTGTTTATTAAAAGAAAAAAACTGGTTCGGCACTGTGCAATGCAAAAAAAAGTCCGAATTTAGAAAAAATACATCTGATTCCATGAAAAAGATTCGTGACATTTGTATCGTCCATAATCTACCATGTCGGTTTGGTTTTTTCAAAGCGTTGGTTGAATGTTCTAACATCTGGAACTAAGACAAGTCTTGTTTGGGCCTTTTTTTTATGAGCACAAGATCAAATTGATGGACGTTTATGTCTGATAGGATCCATCGATTTTTTCCATCTCCTTCACGGCTTTTGTTTTCTCATCTATTCTCCTATAAATTATCATACTACTATAGCTACTATTCTTTATAACATATTATATGGAAATAATATTAAAAGGAAAATATGTTTTAAATTGATATTTAGAGAAGAGTGCACGGTGGCTCTATTTTTTTTAGACTTTACCATGCAAGGCAGTGTAGGATTTTGATTAATCATATTTTTTATTGCAAGAATAGGATTGAAAGAGTATTTTAGATTATGGCTGTGTTTAGATCCACGATAAAATTGGAAGTTTGGTTGAAATTAGAATGATGTGACGGAAAAGTTGGAAACTTGTGTGTGTAGAAAAGTTCGATGTGACGGAAAAGTTGGAAGTTTAAAAAAAAAAGTTGGAATCTAAACATGGCCTATATGTATGCTGTCACATGAATAATCCAATTCTTTTGGGCAAAGAATGGAAGATGTTCTATTTTTCCTTATGATATGTCTTAGCTACAACAATCAACACAAACATTATTATTCACATGGTTATTTATGAAAAACATATATTGTCATTGGAATTTTTCACCCGTTGCAGCACACGGGCAGTTTTGCTAGTCTGATCTAAAAAGAAAGAGCCATGCTCAGTGCCACCAACTGATTAGTACATGCTTGCTTACTGATCACAAACAATGGAAAATCTCATAAAATAGCAGCACTGAAGTCACCAAAACTGAAAGAAAAACTGCATCCACAGTAGTTCTCATTGAGCAGGACATCCGCTCCTCATCCACGGTCAAGCGCCATCCTTCGTTCTGCAAAAATGAGTAAAAAAATCAACATTATATAGCAAAAAACTAAATATGACTCAAGTCAATAGTACATCTCAGTTCCGCAACCAGGATCTCAAGCACAAAACAATACTACCCTAGTTAGTTCCCTTCCTATTCAATCATCATTGGAGGCACTGAGTTCAGCTAATCCAATTATATGAATTCAGGGTAAGAGCTGCCTACATGTGCATCAAAGGGAAGTGCTATCAATAATATGTTTAACACAAATGTACCATGTTTCACCCACGATGACTCAAAATGATGTAATTAATTAAGCATTGACTAATCACAAGTTTGGATAAGGTTATGTTATCCTTATTGTAACATTGTATTGTATAATGAGCTTTGAAGGAGAATTTTATCTCCTGACCTAGTAGTAATAAATAAATAAATTATGGCAAGATTAAACCAAAATATACATCCATACATGCCAAAAAGAAAATCAAACTTTAAAGATTCCTAGACTCGTAGCATCTGATCAGTGATGATCTTGAAAAAGAATCTCCCAAGAAATACAGGGAAGCAGCAGTATATTATATGTCCATTTTATATATTTTTGGTCATGTTCTCCACACAATTAAACAATATTATAGGGATTCTAAGCCATTAGACTCAATTAAAGGAAGTATAATTTCGTAATACATAGGGCACTGCATTCTAAAGCAAATAAATAACATTTTGTTCCAACCCAACCAAATCTCCAGGAAGCAAACACACAAGCATATCTAAAAGGACACATATCCGGCGATGTTTATTAGTGATTCCACTAAGAGCATAAGCATATCAAAGTAAGCAACGTCGGACATACCATGAACACTGCACAATTGGGTCTAAGTTACAGCAGAGCAAAGTTTAGCTGTTCCGCTCCATAATCCATGAAGATTTCAAAATACATCTATCAGTAAAAAATAGTACCTATGCCTATGTTAATTCTCCTGAACTACCATTGTATAATTCCACGTCTCCGCTCGCCAAACTGCTCGATCAAAATAGACATAAACCACTTTACCACTCTGCGCCTAACATATGGACTTCAAAGTTAAGCTATAAGGGTTAAAATATCTGGGGTTGGTGATTGCAAATCAGCTGCATATACCCACATATCTGGGGTTGAGAAAATTGTATGTTGAAGTCTAGTAGATTTGAAGGGAAAAAATAGATGGATATATATTACCTGCAGATTATAGTATTAGTAGTTTAGTACAATGCCTATCAATGGTGAATTACCGAAAGATGCATCCCTTGCAATGTTTATATAAGTAGAACTCTGTCAATAGAGTGCAGATGCAGAATTCCTCCACGATTTCCATCCACACCATGGCATATCTTTTTGTATATGTATGTATATGTGCCTGCAATTGTAGTATTCATGAGATCGTGCTAATCAGTTAGCATACTGCATAAATTAATTACAGGAAAGACAGGGTAATTCAAAAGAACATGCCTGTAAAATCACAGGATATTTTAATCAATTAGCTAAATGCATAACACAATAATGTGTACCCATCTGCAAAAGAAAGTACATGCCTGCTTGAATGATCAAGAGCAGTGGAGGACAATTGTGATCATCTCCAACATTGGTGTTTTCTTGAGCAGAAGATTATCCTGTTCCAATCTATTGTGATACCATGAAAAACAAGGGGAAATTTTTAGTACAAATCATTCAGGCTTAAATAAAGATTGCTAATTACTTAGAAATAAATTCAGCAAGCAGACCATCAGTGGATTAATGCTGGGCTAGCTGTTTGTGAACAACCAAATATCACATGTCCTATTTTGACCCCTAAAGCACGAGATAATTTTTTTCCTTTTGTCCCCAGACTATCATGAATGCATCGAATAGTATGTTAGCATTTCAGGCAGAAACCCAAAAATTAGTTGGCACTAACACATTGGCGTAATACATTCCAACCATCGATAACAAAATTGCTTGACGAACAGGGTGGCGGACTGTTTCTGCAGCATTCAATAGAAAACATCATGTGCATGTTCAAAAACATACCTTGCTGGTATATCACAGCCAAAATCAAATTGGCCAGTTTGTTAAAAAAAATCAATCAGGCCAAAGAAAAATAATGAACTAGAAGGGAGAAGAGATTGAAACTGGACAACGGAAGAAAAAACAAACCGTGCGGAGGAGACCGGTGGCGGCGCGAAGGTGGGCGACAGTGCGACATGAGCCACCGAGGGCGACGACCTAACGCTGCTCCGGCGGCGGATTTCGAGGTGGAGATCAGGTGAGACGCGGAGGAACCGGCGAGTGGGGAGGGGAGCGCGCAACAGCGTGCAGCGCGTATTCGTGGAGAGAGAGGAGGTTAGGGTTAGGGTTTGGAGAGAGTTCCTCCCGTGAGTGGGGAGAGGAGCGGCATGCGGCGACGGCGACCTAACGGCGCACGATGGGGAGTCCAGGAGAGAGGAGGGGGGCGATGCGTGAGTTGGGGGTTGAAGATGTGGTGGGGAGGGGTGAGGGCGTGAAGTGCGCGGGGGGTTGGCAGGGGAGACGCCGAAACGGAGCCGTGACGAGCGATCGGCATGCGGAAGAGAGGCGGAGCTGATCTTGATCGTTCAATTGGGGTAGAGATATATGAGCCGTTGGATTTGATGAATGAGTAATGTAGGTGTAAGAGTGAGTTGATGAATCTACCCTATAGTTGAACAAATGGTTTTACTCAGGCCCCGTTTGGCACAGCTCCAGCTCCTAACTCCAACTTACCTGGAGCAGGAGCTATGCCAAACAGTCCAGATCCTCCATTTTTGGGAGTTGAGTTGGCAGAGCTACTCCACAAATTTGTACTACGGGGGTGGAGCTGGGTTTTTGCTGCTCCACAACTCCACTCCAAACCAAAAGACCCACTACCCTTTAAATTTTTTACATATTTACACAAAATTGCCACTCAACTACCCCTAACTCATCTCTCACCCCCTCTCTCTCCCTCCCATCAGGCCGTCACCCTCACTCTCCACTCCGACGAGCTCGACGGCGGCCGGCGCGCGGTTGGCGGCGAGGTCGACGGCGGCTGGCGCACGGCGGGCGGCGGGGTCGACGGCGGCCGGCGCACGGCGAGCAGCACGTGGTGGGCGGCGTGCGGTGGGTTGGTGCGCGGTCGGCGCGCGGTTGGCGGCGAGGTTGACGGCGGGCGGCATCGGGGACGGCATGCGGTTGGCGGACGGACGGCGGCAGGCGGCGGGCGACATCGGGGACAGCGCGAGTGGCGCGCGGCCGGCGGGCGGACTGCGGCGGGCGGCGCGCAGCAGGAGGCGGCCGCCCACACACGGGGACGGCGACGGCAGCAGTTGCGATTGGGGAGTTTTTTTTCTTTTTTTTTTTTTTTAATCTCAGATCGGGAGCTAGAAACCTGACCAAACACTTTGCAGCAGGTATCCAACTCCTACAAGAGCTAGATCCCAATAGAGTGCGAGTTTAGAGATAAGAGTTGGAGTTTGGAGCCCTACCAAACGGGGTCTCATTCATCATTCATCATGTTACACATCCAACGATGCAAATCCATCTGATGACTTAAATCCGACGGCTCCCCGCCTCCCTCCCGATCCGATCCAGATCGCGGATCGCTTCCCCTCCCCCGGGCAAAATCACCGCGCACTCCCTCCTCTTTCTATCGCTCCTGCCGCCTCGCCTTTCGCCCCCCTCCATCTCGCCAACGCCACCGCCACCGCCTCCGCCTCCGCCACCCCCTCCGCCCGCCGCCCGCCGCCCCTCTCCCCTGCGCCGCCGCATCCGCACCGCCCAACCCCGCCGGCCACCGAGGACGCGGAAACCGCACCTCACTCCCGGTCTCCCACGCCTCCCTCTCCTCTTTTAGTCAGAACGCGGACGCCCTCCTCTCTCGCAGCCGTCGTTGGAGCGAGCACCGCCACTCCAATCGCCGGCAATCCCCTTCGCCGTGCGCACCCGTCGTTGGAGCGAGTTTTTTTTTTCGGTTCCTCCTCCACCGTCGCCGTCATCGGATGACCGACGCCCACCGCCCGCATCGTAGCCTCCGTGCCAATCCCCCCATCTCGCGAGCAGAGCAGGGGAGGGGAGGGGAGGTTGCCGACGTGCCGTGGTCCTGCTGCATCCCGATGAACATCCACATCATCTTTCTGATTCATCTCTCTCTCTCTCTCCCACCCACTTTTGTCTCAAATTTACCTGCATTAACCCTAGCTTCTCTTCTAGATCTGGATGGAGCTCTTCTCTTATTTTGTTTGTTTGTCTCCCCAAAAGTCCAAGTTCGATCCGCCCCTGCTAGGGATAAATAAGATTCAATTCAACACGAAACACACGCAAAATTAATCTGAAGCACAAGCCCCTTCACTCCCTTCACACGCAAAATCACATCTGGTTCTTGTAGTTTAGAATGAACATAATGCTACAGTATGCCTTGCTGCTCATGAACTGATTGACAAAATGTCTCTCAAGGTTATATCTGAAATTCTGAGCATGTTAATTTGTGTCTCCCAGTAAGGTTCTGTCATCTTCTGTCATCCATTAGTGCCCAATCAAAGAACTTGCATATAATAACATATATTCTATTCTTTTAAAAAAGCAGAAGCTATTATCTGAAGTTCAGCTCTCAGGTTCACAGTAAATTTACATAATTAACAGTGCATCTAAAGTGTGGGTACTCTTATATAGGAAAGGAAGATCAGCACAATACTGACGGGTTTCTCTTCAAGAGATCCCGTGGTTCTCAGTTTTCTGCTTTCTACACTGTCTACATCTTATATGTGTTCATTGAAGCTACAGATTGATGGACATAGCTGTCAAACCTGAACCTACCAGGCCTCCTGGTCATGTTTCTCCTCAGCTCTCATCACATTTATATGTTTTCTTACCCAATTCCATACAAAAAATTTTACCAAGGCAGACCCGTTAATTTTGGTATGGATCATGTGAATTTTGAAGAGAATACGTACACCGTTAATTTATTCATGCATTCTGCTTTATACTATAGTCTACCCAATTTATTCAATTATTCTGCTTTGTACTGTGGTCTAGCCATTTTATTCATTTTTTTCGCGTTGCCCTCCGCTGTCGTCCAGGACCGTCGCCCACGGCGCTGGCGACGATTCACCGCCGACGTCATCGTCCAACACCGTGACTTGGCCCTTCGTCCTCCATGTCCACCGCGCCCTCGCCGCCATTCATAAGAACAACATTGCAGCACCCAATCTGTGGCACCCCATCGACACATACGACCGCGTCGCCCTGGCTCATCGTGGCTAACCCCACCGACGAGGTAACTAGATTTACCTTTTGCTTTTGTTCGATTGTTTGACGGCCGAGCAACAGGGATCGCGACCAGTCGGCAAGCTGACTGTTTTGGTTAACTGATAAGTGATAACTGAGGAATTTAAAGCTGTGTGTGCTTGTCATGTGCTTTCGGGTAGCTGTTCTTAACCACTGCCAAAAGTTTCGGAAGGTGATAGAACCAAACAGGTAGTTCCTTAGCTGCCTGTGCAGTGTGCAGTGTGTCTCTGGACCAAAGGTTGTAAATGTTGCATAAATGTTTTTTTTTAAAAAAAAATCCAGTTGAGGTACTCTTGGGTCCAAAGCCATAAATGCATAAATAAGGTCCAAAGGCACTAATTTCCATTGCTAGCTTTCTTGTCACTTAGTTTCATTACATTTGACATATACCCAGATGATTTTTGTTCTTGTTTGTGTACAGGTTCAGAGTTTTTTATGTAATAATTACTCTCTTTCCATATATGCAGTACATTTTTATTACACGATAACATCAGTGTTAATGTTCTATATGGCATTACTATCATTATTTTTCAACTTATGTCATGCATATCATTCCATATCTTTTACTTCTCTTTTATTATGAAAATGACATCTTTCTGATTCGTTGAGGGCATGCGGGGTAGTATATCTGTTATTTTAATATATTCAGTGTTTTCATCAATATATTGACCAAATATTCGGTTTATATCAGTAAAGGGCCATGTTCTTTTCACAAGATCTGTTTCTGAATATACAGACTGTGTTGCAACATTTATAGAATTCAAGTTGTCCGTAGTCCTGCTTTGCATGAGTAAATGCCAATCTTATGTGTCTGAACTCTTTTCTTCTGTGTCTGAACTCTCAAGTGATGATCTATGTTTCCCAAAAAATCTTATGTCTAGCAAACTTAGTTTCTGTTTCCAAATGAAAAATCAAGTAGTGAATAATGTACCTGTATTAAATGTACTGGTCTCTTATTTAGTAATGTATCTAGATACATATGCTGAATTTTTATATATAGAAGCATATGTTGCTTTTACACATGAAGGTGTATATGCTATCAGGTTTCTATAATATGGTTCATAAGTGAACAGCATCAAATGTCTACGTTACTTTAGTTTGAATGTACACGCTGATATAAAATTTAGAGAGCATTCTTGGAATGTACATACTGTTAAGAAAATTTAGATGAATTAAATCCTTATGCCTTATATGTTTTTTCTCACACAGTTGTAAGTTTGTTTGGAGAAGGGGACATTCACAAACTGCTTGAAAGAGGTGTTTTGGTATCTCAATATATGGTGGAATATTTACTACTGCTTTTAGTAACTCCTAGATAATCTTTTTTTACATACATGCATAACTAAATTTGCATATATCTTCATGTGCAATTGCGCTCTCTGATATTACAATGGTAGGATTTGTCTTTGAATTGGTATAGTGACGTATTTCTGATTCATTAAGGGCAAACTGGGGAGTAGAACTGTTATGTGCGAGATATTCAGTTTATATTTCTAAACTTGGGTGCACTTTGAATCAGGACGAATAGGCTCAGTTGAATCTGTTGAGTTACATAAAGAAGAGGTGGATGTATTGAACTCACTAATGTTTTTAGGATGATGCTTACTGGATTGCCAATTTTGAAGTTCCATTCAGATCAAATATTAATGATTTATAGATTCAGGTTTGTCTGAAAACGATATAAAACAATATGCTTTGCTGAACTTAATACTGGGAGATCACTAGGGTGGGGTAGACGGCCTTCATGGCGTCTAGGTTCTATTGTGGTCCAACACATACTCTTTTTACCGATCCTAATAGATTTGGCATAGGTTTATCTACATCTGACTATGACTACTGTATATTCCTCAAAAATCCTATTAGTATATGTTTTCTGTTCTGACTCGTCTGGTTGTCTCTTATATTAAAGGTAAGGAAATTGAAGGAGTTGTAGCTATCCAAATACATCAGCTTCTCAAAATAGAAGAGCTAAATATACTAGTAATATGCCCGTGCTAACGCTACGTGTATGTTTAGTAATAGAAATCATGACACATAGTAAAGAAAAGATAAAGATTAGGAAAGGAGATGAAAATTAGATTGAATACAAAAATTTAGGGACGGAATATTCAGTTTTTGTTAGCAATAAATAAATAAATAAATTCCTCAATAAGAAGGGGGTTTCTCTTTTAATTCCAGCGCGCGACCCTCTCCTCAGGTGGTGACTCGGTCACCCCTTGCCTCCTTCGGCCACCCTCTCCTCCTCTCCTCTCCTCTCCTCTTCCTCTTCCTCCCTCTCCTCGTCGCCCTTCCACCAAAGCGAGAGATCGACCGACTCCTCTCCCTCCGCCGCCGACCCCCCCCCAGGTGAGCGATTCAGCCGAGATCCTTTCCTCCTCCTCGCGTTGCTCGATCCCCACTCCGTTGTTGTTTCCTACCTGTACTGTATCGCGCGCGGTTCTTGGGGGGAAAAAAATCCTTTCTGATTAAGATACAGAATTGTTTTAAAATATCAATTAATTCTGTTTTTTTCAAGTCTCTCTCGCTCTCGCTCCGGCGTGTGCGGCGCGTGTAATGGGGGATTGGTCATACTGTAATGGGGGATTAATTAGTTGCAATGTGTTTTCTTGGTGCCTGAAACTCTGAATTCTTTAAACATTATTGTCATTGTCCTAGTAAATTATATATTTCATCGAAGATATATAGTAGATTCTAGGACGAATTCGATTTGGACATAGCAATTTTCTGATATCTCTAGTAAATTACAATTTAATTCCGAAATGTTGGGTGATACAGGTATTTGTCTTTCACCTTGAGTCAGCCCCAATTTCCAATCTTGATCTTGACTTCAGCATATGAATGTTGCTTGATCTGTATTCGACCTATGCAGGTGTTGTTGATCGCTTTGCGAAATGGAGCTCCCAGTTGCTGATCCTGGGCCGGTGAGGGCTGAAGGATTGCTTCTGCAGTGTCCCTATTGTGATTCAGAGGCAATGCACAAACTCGCGCAGTTCTTGCTCCCCGGCTTGGCTGCGGTATGCATTGACTGCACGACAGGCGATCTCTTCAGGAAGCCGTCGGTTGTCGCCGTTGACATGAGGAAGGAAATGGTGGACTATGTCACGCAGAGAAGCGAGACATTCATATCCGATTCGCTTATCGAATCAGAAGCAAGTCAGGATCAAGAGAACGAGATGCCGGTGGACCCTTTTGAGATCGTGTCCATCTTCATGGATGATTTTAGTAGCACGAAGAGGAACATTATCGGCCATGTCTCTGGGTGGTTGATGAGCGACAGCCGCGAAGATAAGATTGATGACTTTGTCCAAGAAATGGAGATGACCCGCTTCTGGCCGCTGGAAAGGAGAGAAGTTATTGCTGAGGTCCTCCTCAAGAATGTAGAACCTGAAAACCAAGTACCACTGCCCTGAGAAATATGAAAATGAAGAACGTCTCGCTGATCATAAGGCCCAGTGTAGCTTCAGACCTGTTACCTGCCCCAATGATGGATGCCGAGCGAAAGTTTCTGTTCGCTGCATGCAAGACCATGATTCAGCTTGCCTGTTTAAAATCCTTACATGTGAGCAGAACTGTGAGAAGCGGCTTCTGAGGCGTGATATGGATAGGCACTGCGTGACTGTGTGCCCCATGAGGCCCATGAAATGCCCTTTTGGCTGTGATTCCTCCTTTCCTGAGCGTAATCTTGAGCAGCACTGTTCTGAGTTTCTTCAGGCACACCTCCATAAACTCCTCAAGGTTATTCATAAGAAAGGTTTTACAGATGAGGGGCTCAAGGACCATGCTCTACTGCTGGAAAAGGTTAGGCTCCTGATCTTGTTAATTTACAATGTGTAACATATGTTTTTCAATTAAAATGGCTGCCTTATTTTCTTGATTTGGAAACATTGCTGTCAAACTATTGTGAAAAAGAAGACATACATGGACTGCAACAATATGATTTACTGAAATAATCTGGTTTTGTTCTGCAGCATGACAATGATGGTAAACTGGCTAAATCTCGGGATGTAAGATCTCTTACTAATGTTGTAAAGAATCTTGAAGCCAAAATAAAAGATGATTCGAGTTAGAGTGGATGGCGTCTCCAGAGCAAAATGCAAGTTTTTTTTTTTTGAGGCAGCAAAATGCAGCATGGATATTGAATGGTATAGTTGAAGAGTTGTTTCCACTCACAGTATACACCGAAGAGTACAAGATTCTGCACGTTTTTCCTTTACAACTATAATTTTCCCCTCATGATTTTTCTTTTCTCAAAATCGGTTAGTTTTTTATGGTGTAAAAGTATAACATTATTTTATCCTTGCTATTTTGTCCAAGGAACTCTTTTTTTTTCATATAAATTGAGAATAATTTATCAGGAATGCTAATTTTTGTTTAATTTATGGAAGGGCGATGCTCGAAGTAAGGGATGTTTTTCCCAGTCTGATTCCGTTCCCTGTACCAGCTAAATACCCACTAGCTGAAGTTAAATGCTATTCCTCACAATGTTATTATTTGTTTTTTGGAAACTTTTTTTTTCAATGATCCAGATCAAGGTTAGGAACACTAGCATTTATCGGTAAACTGTTGGAATGGTTTAAATTCAAATTTTATTTTTTGATTTACACTTAGTACCGTTTACATGCCCTCACATGTATAATGCCCATTGATAGGATATCTCCACCTCCTACAAGTTGTGTCGTTTTCATTTATCATGGATTCGTGTATGATGTTTATTTCAATGTATAAATTATTACAAGAATGTCAAACATTTTTTTTTCAACTAGTCCCTGATCCGTAACCATTATTCAAATTCTTTTTTTTTCTGGGAAAACAGTTATTCAAATTCTAATATTCGATTTGGATTTATGTCCAGTAAATTCTACTCCCTCTGTTTCATATTATAAGTTATTTTGAATCTTTTCTAGCCAAATTTATTTAGGTTTGACAGTTTATTAAAAAAAATAGTTCGGTTAAATGTAACATTGAATATGTTTTTTTAAATGTTGCTATATTCTTTTATTATTTGATCAAACTTAAAAAAGTTTGACTAGGAAAAAAAATCAAGCAACTTAAAGTCTTTTTATACGAGGGGAAAAGAGAGAATTGAGAAGATACGCAAAACAAGGTGAGCATTAGCGAATAATTAATTGAGTATTAATTATTTTAAATTTTAAAAAATAGATTAATATGATATTTTAAAGCAATTTTTCTATAGATTTTTTTTATAAAATAAACATCGAAAATATGCGCGTAAAATACGAGGGAGTTTTTCTGTTTCTACCTAATCAATTTCTCACAATCAGTTTTATGATATGAAACGGAGGGAGTAGATCGCTAATTACTGGTCAGGCTTGGGTGACTGGTACTTTTTGCAAATACTGGTTTCCTAGGTTTTATCCTAACAAATAATCTGGAGATCTTTTACGGTGTTTGCATTTTAAAAAGGGTAAAAGTCTATCGCTGCACAATGAAAGGTACCACTTAAAAGGTTGATATAGTTACTTACTACCTCCGTCCCACGAAAAATCCAATCCTAGCATCCCAAGATAGAATTAGTGGAGGATAGAAATGACTAAAATGCCCTTAATCATTGAAAAAAGTAGTAAGAGTAATAATAGGTAGGTAAAGGGTATTAAAGGGAGTTTTATCTATAAAGAGTAGGTAGGATGGTAGGATGGTATAGGATGGTAGAAGTTGGTTTTTTTATGGGACAAAGTTCAAACTCTAGAAGTTGAGTTTTTTTTTTTTGACGGAGGGAGTAGGTGGTAAAAGTAAAATGATAATTTTCGTAGGAGATAGAGAATGGCATAATTGTTTTCGATATTAGTTCTAGGTACATAGGTGCATACAATACCTCAATAACTGTGTGCCCGGTAATTTACATGACATGTTTTTTAGATTTACATTTTTTCCTACGAATATGGTCATGCAGTAATCCTCTGTTACATTATTTACGTGTTTGTTTTAGATTTATATTTACGTGATATTTTCTAGATTTTCATTTTGTTCTAGGAGCACGATTGGTTAAAATATGACCGAATGTTTGCCAGGTTATTTTGATATTTACATTTTATCACAAAGAACATCTAACCTTGGTAAAAAGATCAGTGGTTAGTAGGTTCATGTGTAATTCATCCTCAATACGATATATTTATATTGTTTCCACGTGTTTGCGTCATCTCCCCGATGAAATTTAACTAAAATGTCTTAAGCAATTAAATAGCTTATTTCCTTACAGTTATTTTGTAATGTATCGGGTAAAATGGAAATCACATGCATGCTTGGATAGCATGTATTGTTCGGAAGTGCTAATGGGTGATCGATCGCCCGGCGACAAGGGTTGCCATCGATCCCCCTTCCCCCTCCCTCCCTCTCTCCACCTGGTTTCCTTTTTTGGCACCGTATTACTTTCCTATTTTAGTAAATTTATGCATCTAAAGTTTATACATCTCAAGTTTACACATCTAAAGTTTATACACCTCAAGTTTACACATCTAAAATTTAGAGACCAAAAGTTTATAAGTCAAAAGTTTATATATCCGATTCAAATTTGAATTTGAATTTGAATTTAAATATTTTTTTTATATATAGTATTTCTATATATACATCTAAAGTTTATAGACCTAAAGTTTATAAGTCAAAAAGTTTACATACCCGATTCAAATTTGAATTTGAATTATATCGGGATTCAAATTTGAATTTGAATTCAAATATTTTCTATATATAGTATTTTTATGCATCTAAAGTTTATACACCTAAAGTTTATAGACCCAAAGTTTATAAGTCAAAAGTTTACATACCCGATTCAAATTTGAATTTGAATTATATCCGTTCAAATTTGAATTTGAATTATATCCTTCAAATTTGAATTTGAATTCAAATATTTTCTATATATAGTATTTCTGTACATCTAAAGTTTGTACACCTAAAGTTTATAGACCCAAAGTTTATAAGTAAAAAGTTTACATACCCGATTCAAATTTGAATTTAAATTCAAATATTAGTTTATAGACCCAAAGTTTATAGGTCAAAAGTTTACATACCCGTTTCAAATTTGAATTTGAATTTGAATTTGAATTCAAATATTAGTTTATAGACCCAAAGTTTATAAGTAAAAAGTTTACATACCAATTTCAAATTTGAATTTTTATTCAAATTTGTATGGTGTAGTAGTAAGAGAAGAAGGGGAGGTAAAGTAGTAGGGGCAGGGGCGAGTGATCGCTTGGGAGGGGAGGGAGCGATCACCCGCCCATTAGGAGTCCCCTGTATTGTTGCCATTGAAAATTAACTACCTCCTTGATTTTAGGATTTATGGATTTAGAATAAGGTATTCGGATATCTGGATCAACGTGCGCCTAGTCTACAGATTTGCGAACTAATCACCTATGTAACCAAGCATAAGGAAGATAAGTACCTATTCTTTTTTAATACGTACCGGTTCAATCAAGAAAGATATTCACATCAAACAAAATTATCGTTGTTTTACTAGTTACTTACCCTACTGCCATTGGTTATAATAATTTTATTTCACATCTTGCCCTTGCCTTTCTCTTGATCAACGATCCACATCGCACCACCTCTCAATACCTTTACGTATCTCGCAAACACCGTAAAAGAGCTTAATAAACTAAGATGAATGTGAGGCCATAGGCCACACGTTTTCCTTCGTATCCCCGAAAACTATATAGTATCATGTAACAAATAGTCTAGAACAGCTAACTATGCGTCCAAACAAAACTACAGCGTATGCATAGGATCGTTGGTATCAAAGGTACCAGGAGGTAAAAAAATTATACTAAAAAAAATATATTATCTTTATGGACGTGACTACACAACTAGTGGTAGCTAGTTTGTCTAAACCAGCTACCACTCCATTTATAAGAGACATTATCCACATATACTTCAAATACAATTTTCTCTTAAACTACTCATCCAATTTACGATTCGATTGCACCGTTATGTTTGTAACAATTAATATTTATAACAAGATCTCACATGATTATATTCTGATAAAAAAATATAAATTACTTTTATAATATATCTAAATTACTTTTAGATTTCACTAAATTACTTCTTATACATGTAAAAGTAAATTAAATGAAGCCTAAAAGTAATTTACATATATTATAGAAGTAACTTGTAACAAAAAGAAAGTAACTTTAATGAATGTGTCGACGGGGGATACCCGTAGACCGGATATAGAGGGTATTGGGGTCTGTTGGTACGAGGATCTACGTAGTATGACATCAAGCAGACAAAAGACAAGGATTATACTAGTTCAGGCCCCTTAGCAGGTAATAGCCCTAATCCAGTTGGTATGGGATTATATGGTGGAAACCATAGATTACAAAGGGAATAGAAGAACTCGGTGATATCGACGAGACCGTAGTCGAGTTGGCCCGACTAGATCTCCCGGTGACTTGGCTCCTGTAAGCTCCGGCTTCGTAGGCTGTGGTGGGTGTATTAGCGGTGAGATTTGATGCCTTAGATCCTGCCAGGGGGTCCCTTTTATACCGCGAGTCAGTCGATCTCCAAGTAGAACTCGGAGATATCGGACCCCTCATGATATGGTAAAGACCCAGTCTCGTCCGAGTAGGACTCTCCATCCGTAGATTCTGTTCCTATCACGGGACAGATTTCCTTAATGTATACGGAAACTATTCGTACACGCACGGGTATACTATATCGGTACCCATCGTATATCCAAGGATAGAGGGCATACCTTATCCGTAACCCTGACAGAATGTCTTTTTAATTGGATGTGACTACACAGCTAGTGGTAGCTACTTTGTACTCCATCTAGTATCTCCTTTCAACTTAAAAAATACAACAGTATCTTCTTTTCTCATTCTACATGAAAACAAAAATGAAAGGGAAAAAAACAATCGATGATTAAACAGATTTATAGAGAGTTACTTTTGAACCATGCAAAAGTTACTTCCAATTAACATTGAAGTTACTTTTAAAAATTGTTAAACTTATGTGTGTTGATCCGTGCTGATTAAATTTAATTTTTATATAAAGTCATATTTTTATCCGTACGACGAATTTACTTCTATTGTCGTGACAAAATTACTTCCGTTTTGTTTTATGTTACTTTTATAATATATGTAAATTACTTTTAGACTCTATTAAATTTACTTTTATATATCTAAGAAGTAGTTTAATCAACTCTAAAAGTACCTTATATATATATATATATATATATATATATATATATATATATATATATATATATATGATAAAAACAACTTACATATAAAATAAAAGTAATTTACAAATATAAATATTTTTTTCATCTTAATATAATCATGTAAGATCTTGTTGTGAAGATTGAATTGTAACGAACACAATGATGTAATCAGATTGTAGATCGGATAAGTAATTTGAGAGAAAATTTTGTTTGAAGAGAAAAAGGACGTACATGTATATTAAAAAAATGCATGCATGTAGTACTATGTAGTAGCTGGACTTCTCCACGTTTCTCCGTGTTTAGGCGTCGCTAGTTAAGGTAAAATCAAGATGCCTCTCCAAATAGATTTTACGTACCTTTATACTCCCTCCATAGTCATTTTTTTTAAATCTAAAAAATTTATTTTTGATAGGCATATTTCAATCCAACAACATATCCTCTTAATGACTTTCTCGGATTCAATGTATGTCTCTCTATTCTTCCACATATGATTGGCTACATGGGCATTGAGAAATATAAATATTAATGAATCGTTTGTTTACGAGGAATGACTAGTAGTATGTTTAAATGGATGATAAGTAAAATTACTTATCCTTGTTCTGTGTGCCAAGATAAAATATGACTATTAAAAGTAGATGGAGGAAGTATTAGCTCTAATAACCTCTCGATACCTCCTATTGACCATAAAAATCCCTATAAAGAAACTTTTACTACAAACACTGGAAAACTTGAATCTTTCTTGCGGTAAAGACATTGATTGTAGAACGCCACTGATTCTAAAACAATTTCATGTACGTCCAAAATATATAAGTAAAACGAAATATGAAAAACACCTTATGCATGTTGTACACGCCTCTGAAATCATCCAACTATGCGTTGTAACCACCTTATACTCGATGTTATATTGTAACCTTCCTCACTGAAATGTCTTCAACACCTCGAAATTCTGAAAAACAATTCTATATTGACATTTGCCAACATGTCAATTTAAGGTTTACACAAACACATGATTTTCTACGTAAAGTGGCACACGGATTAAATAAATAACCAGGAAAATTCATAGTAGTTTGGAGTATGTTTCCTAGAATGATTTACAATAAAAATCGGTTGACAACTTGTTTTTCTTAAAACCCATCCAACAACGGGTTAGAGAACCTTCATGCACCAGAATTTTGGCATTATCATCACCAACTTTAAATACAGAAGCAACTTGTCACGCAGACTCTTGACAAGTTCACTTGAGTCGGCATCAATTTTGGGTCATGTTTTAGGATCAATTCTGAACATCAGATCAGAGGTGTACTTTCCAGTTGAAATTCTACAGTAACAGAAGTTGTCTGCACTACACTGGAAACACCATTGCTACTGCTGTAGTGATTTACTACAATTAACTGTAGCACAAGACTCATTTCAGTATTGATGCACCTCTGCAGTAAGGATCAGTTTCCGTTGACACTGCTTCCTCTTTTTTTCCCTCAAAAACGCATGAGAGCATTGCTCCCATTTTTATCAAGGTAATAAGCTGCATATGGTGTCACTTCAGCTAACAAGACCAACCTTTGCAGATCAACCAGTCCAATTAATCAGGAAATGGGCCATGCTAACATTGAGGTCCAAAAAAATCTCATATGACTGCCTGCTACATCATCTCAATGGCTAATGATCATATTGTTCTGCTAACACTACAGATATAAATTAAGTGAAAAGATTCAGGACTGAATTTTACAGCTGCAGAGGGGCACTTGTATGTCTTACCAGCCAGGGTCAGATGCCTCCCAGCTGCCATCCCATGGATAACTGCTAGAAAATAAAATGTACAACTCTGATTCCTTATCCGTTTGTGCTACAAATAGATGTCAAGTCAAAGGAGTAAAATTATAAACACATAACCATGGAAAAATCAGGGGAAAACACAGCAGTCCAACAGGAAAAAAAAAATGAGTTTAACTACAGCCCTCAGAACAAACAATGGCACAAGATATGATGGAAATATAGAGGCAACACATGGTCTTCAGGAGAAGTTAAGTGCAGTTCAACCCAGGGTATAAATGATCCACATATTTCTCATAATATAAAAACTAAACAGGAATAACATAGCTCCTGAAGAAAACGATTTCAGAATTTCAGGCTATCTGAACAGTATAGGATATAGTAAAATCTCATCGATCACCAAAAAATCCAAATAAAGCAATAGCAGATGTTCTCATGGATAGTGGTAATCTTGGACAAAATTGAAGATCATTACAGCATGACTCCAAGCATATATATACAAAGAGACATGCACAGAACACAGAAGATCCAGGATATTATATTCTAACTCAGAACACACATAGTTTGTCTAACTAAAGAAAGCATCAACGGATTAGATAGACACACTAGTGAGAGGTTTCTGATGTCAAAGGGTGGTTCACTGAACTTTACAATCTGCAATCAACTGTAGAACGAAATTGCTAGAATTAATCTCTTCTACATTTGAACATACCTGGCATCAAGTGTGACATGTGCAGTAGAATAGCCCTTCATGGAATCCAAATAGAAAAACACTAAAAAGGGGAAGAGCTTAGACATAGTCAATCAAGAGGACAAGGCCATTGGATTGTGAATGTGATTCATCCATGCAAACAAGATTTGCTATGGTCAGTACTCAGTAAAATACTTTAGGGATTTGCTATGGTCAGTAAGATTTGCTATGGTCAGTAAGATTTGCTATGCAAACATGTTTTTTTTATCATATGCACATTTGGTTTTCATTGGAAAATACTTTAGTTGATATACCTTTATTTGTTTTAATCATACTCCCTCCATCCCTAAATATTTGATGCCGTTGACTTTTTTAAATATATTTGACCGTTCGTCTTATTAAAAATTTTAAGTAATTATTAATTCTTTTCCTATCATTTGATTCATTGTTAAATATACTTTTATGTATACATATAGTTTTATATGTTTCACAAAAGTTTTTAATAAGATGAACGGTCAAACATGTTTAAAAAAGTCAACGGCGTCAAATATTTAGGGACGGAGGGAGTATTATATTTTTTACACTAGCACCTCCTCAATTTACACCCTGGATTCGCCACTGAACATCACTGAAACTATAGTCTTATGTTATGTCCAAAGCATTTTGTGGATTCAACAAACATCACATTTGTGAGGCATCTAGTCAAATATTTTTTTAAAAACTTCAAAATCATGTGCATAGAAAATATGAGTTTTCAGATACTGACAGTTGCTGAAAGGAGAAGCACTCTAATCAAGAATAAATTTAACAATCAGTCTAGCGCTGGCAAGGGGACAAAGAAAACGGAATCCATGCGAGGATAGTAATGGGACTGGGTTCGCCCAGGGAGATGGCTAGAGAGTAGGCAGAATTTTCTGGGAGCAAAGTCATTAAAAAGACTTTGTTAAACGCATTAAATTGATGGACTTCTGATCAAATCACGAATGGCCATGATGTCCTGTATCATCTAGCAATCATATATCAGAAAATTTTAAATTGATGCCTTTAAAGCACAAATTATTTGTTTTGGGGAGATTTGGAGGTAAGGATCCAACTTCAAATATGAGGTGTTTGATCAAATCAAGCGCTAGCTAGGACTACTTGTATCAACGCTCCATGTATAGCCAAACTGATGCTGGTGCTGTTATAATAAAGTATAGATACACATCTAAATTTTGGTCAAAAAATTGGAATATCCATGATGGCATGATGTTCATGTTGCTATTTACACGTCAAACAGTAGTGTTGCATGGATCTCTTCACTTCTGGCATATCAGGAAGCATGTGCAGTAACTAAACAAGTTGATGAATACAAAACACAGAACTATTTATAATTGCAATTCCCAAGCTGATAAGATCAAATTGGTGAAAATTTGCAATTGCTTTTATTTACAATCAATGAAGTTTACTAAGAACTTACGTATATCTGTAAGGAATCAGTAACACAATTTCTAAAGTGCTGCAGAACAGAAGCAGGTGAATCTGAATTGAACAGTACGCAGGTGACTTTCTTCACCTCAATATTAGACAAACAATCGTTACTTTATTGTCTAAGCAATTCTAAGAAAATTATATCGCAAAAAGGTCCAAATTTGGCATATAGTAATGCAGTGAAATAATTTCCCATCCTGATAAAGATTATTGATTAGTTTCCATACCTGCAAAGGCTTCCTATGCTTGCAGTGCATGCATTTGTCAGGAGGCACCAACAAGGACAGCTACTGATCTTTGAAAGAGCTAGCTACATATGTCAGATGGTACAAGAAGCAACCACAATTAGATTGACATGCAAAATTCGATTAGGACCAAAAGAGTTTACAAATACCAAACCTGTACTGCAACAGATCTGAAAGCTACAATATTACTCCAGAAAAAGCAGAATAATATAAATATCTGTCTCCAATTCTCCATGAAATACAAAGAAGTGCTTGAAATGTTTGCAGCATATATGACATATTTTTATTCCATATATAACATATTTGCTATTCCATATATGATATATTTGTAATTCCAAACGATAGATAAGCCAGCTCTTTCCATACCTAATCAGAAACTAATACACAAAGGTAGTTAGCAAACTGAGTAACTGGTTTTGGAGAATACAATGGCCAGCCAGCACTGAGCAGCCATATTTCTAAGGCGTTGTTCGTTTAATCCCCAAGAGAGAGGGATTGGAAGGGAATAAATCCCCTTCAAATCCACCCATAAGAGGGATTAAACGAACAAGGCCTAAAGGGGTTTCGTGTATGTAGGTGTAGAACCCATAGGGCCCATGAGTTATATATACTATCGCCATCCTTAAAAGGATGACATCATAAAATGCATGCGGTCAAACCTCAAAATGTTAAACGATTAATATATGGAAAACATATTAGGATTTGAATATGAAAATATATATTAGTAGATTTGCTATGAAAAACTATTTCATATAGTTATACTTTTATTAAGTTTTATAAATACATAGTTTGAAAAATTAATGATCAAACATGTGCATGGAAGACTGACGATATCCAAAATATAAGTAAAAAAGAATGGAGGTAATAATATGGTGGTATAAGTCTCACACTCTTACATGATGAGTTTAATAAATAGGTTAAGGCCAGAGTATAAAATTAACAGTTCCAAAAAAATAACTCCGGTTAATGCAAGTGTAAGTAGGGTAAGGCCTGATAGAAGGGCTAGAGATTAGTGATCAAAGTATTGTCTTGCAAATATATTGTGATAGAAATTGTTATCAAAGTTATATTTAGGAGACCATGTTGATGCCCAAAATGATAAGTTTTCATGGCTAGAGTATAAAGAATCTAGATTACATCAGTATTCCTTACTGTGGGAAAATATATAGTAATACATTGTTAACTACTTAGTTTATGCTTCTACCTCTGATGCTTTCACAAAAGAAACCCTCACCAATAGCCACCACATGAGCATGAACCATTCTTGAAATGATGAAAACGACTGGGGTCGCGCACTACGATCTCATGGTCCACAATCTTGGAAATGTAGGTGAATGCGCTATGGCAATCACCACATACACGCAGGTTCTTTGTGATCCTTATTGGGCAACCAGGGGAAGTTGTGAGGAGACCATATGCAAGAGCAAGTTTCTCACTGTGCTCAACAAGAAGATTATTTTTCTCTTCCTCATCAACATCATGTAATGCGAAGTTTGTCTCAGGAACATATCCCATAGCTTTGATGCGATCAATTAGACTCTCCAGAAGAGCATAAATTTGTGGGGATAGTGGGTGTGATCGATCTCCGACAAAGAAAGATGCTGTGCCCTTTTGACCCTGGACCCAGCTGCATCCTGGCCTCTTCTTAATTCCTGATTTCTTCATCAAGTGCCTGATCCTCGCTACATCCTTCCACCGCCCTGCAGTGGCATATATGTTGGAGATAAGCGTGTAAGATCCATCATTTTCAGCATTCATCTCGACCAGTTTGTTCAGAGCATGTTCAGCAAGTTCAACATTTGAATGTACTCTACAGGCACTCAGTAATGCAACCCAAACTACTGCGGTGGGCTCCATTGGCATATCCTTAACTGTTCTCCATGCCTTATCTAATCGCCCAGAGCGGGCCAGCAAGTCAATAGCACAGGCATAGTGCTCTGCCCGAGGTGTCAAACCATAATCTGCACTCATGCTGTCAAAGTACGATAGACCTTGATCAACCATTCCACAATGACTACAAGCATAAAGAACAACCAGGAAGGTTATATCGTCAGGAACAAAGCCTGCTTTCCGCATCTTGTCAAATATGTCCAGGGCCTCACTACCACGACCGTGCATTCCATACCCTGTCATCATTGATGTCCAAGAAATAGCACTCTTTTGAGACATGCTATCGAATACATGCCTAGCTGTATCAACATCCCCACACTTCGAGTACATATCAATGAGGCAGTTCGCCACAAAGTATGCAGATGATTCATATCGGTGATGACGAAGCACATAAGCATGAATCTGCTTACCTATACGTATGGCTGCCAAATGTGCACAGGCCATCAAAATGCACGAAATTGTATAAGCATTTGGGGCTACTCCATATGGTTCTGAAATCATCTCCACGAAAAGCTTGAGGGCATCATTTGAGTCCCCATATTGTGCATGCCCCCCGATCATGACAGTCCAGGTGACAACATTGCGTTCCTCTAGAGGTATATCATCAAATATGGAGCGTGCAGCTTTGAAGCTTCTGCACTTTGAGTACATATCTATTAGCGCGTTGTACACCATAAGATCCTCATCCTCACCACCAAAATCATTATCCAAGGTTAGAAGACAGTTCTTTAGAGAGTAGGCATGAATTTCCGTACCCTGAGAAAATGCTCCCAAAGAAGCGCAGGCAGACAACACAGAGATGATTGTGACACAATTTGGCAAGGACCCAGAAAATATCATTTGACGGAATAAATTGAGTGCTTCATGGCTGCATCCCCTCTGAGAATAGCCTGCAATTACAGCAGTCCATGTTACCACATCTAATGGGATATTTTCCTTGCGCATGTTCTTGAAAAGCTCAAAGGCTGCCTCAAAGTTGCCACTTTGGGAGTACCCAGCCACCATTGCGTTCCAAGAAACCACATCTTTGAATTCCATCATGTTGAAAACCTTTACCGCGTTTTCCATCAAACCACACTTAGCGTAAGCATCAATCAGGGCATTACCAACAAAAACATCTGGAAATGTGCCATTACGAATAGCATTACCATGGACTTCTTTAGTTTGAGGTACTGCCTTTAGAGAACCACATGCAGGGAGTATGTTGACAATGCTAATGATGTCTGACCTTTCATTTGTAGGCTTCTCATGGACAATCAATGTCATCTTTGAAAACAGATCCAATGCAGTCCAAGCATTACTACTTTTAACATGGGCTGAAACAATAGAGTTCCATGAGATAACATCATCAATACCCCTCTGAGTTATTTCATCAAAGATCATGCTGGCTTCCTCCAAAGAACCACAACGGGAATACATTGCCACCAACGCATTGCATATGAAGACATTGGACTCAAAGCCATTGCAGCATATCAATCCATGGAATGCACTACCACAACGGTATGAAGGTAGCTCTCCACATGCTTTTAATACATGTGGTAGAGTAAAATGGTCCGGCCTAGTTCCAGCACGCAGCATGCGGCAAGAGACATTAATTGCACTGTCAAGGCGGCCTTGTTTGATGTGTTCTCGGATAAGTAGATTCCACCACACAGCTGGTGACGGTGTAACACGTTCCAACACCAAGAGAGCATAGTCGGTAGCACCACAAGCAAGATAAGAAGCTACGACACCAGTACCCAGAGATCTTGGAGATATAAATGGTTCGGATGGCAATGCTGGTAGTGAGACTGACAATAATGGTGTGGGCAAAGAAAGAAGACCAGAAGCAATTATCTGTTGGTGAATTTGATGAACTGTATTTGCAGACTTGCATTCCTTCAATAGGGATGCAAAGTGACTAGGATAAACATCTACACCAATGCATGCTGCCCTTGCACCTGAAAGGAACCATTCTCCAATTGGTTTTACCGCCTTAGGCAAGTTCAAAAGCATAGCTGCAGTAGAATACCATTATGCATAATGAATCCTCAAAGAAACAGCCATTGCATCACTGTATGACCAAAAATAACTGAATTAGCAAAAGCCATCATACATATTACATCAATCTCATGCAAACCAATGTAATGTAAAGGAAGAATAAGTCAAAGATCACAAAGGGGAATAGGCATGCTATCCATCAGGGTTGCAGAATCAAAGGTAGTTTGTAGTATCCTACCATCCTGTAAAATCCTTCTTATCTGGATTATTGGGGTTTTAACAACCTAACATCATGCAAGATCAATTGTCAACTCCCAGTGACAATATTCATGCCCAAAGCTTGTTCTATGTAGCACTAAAGCATTGCGATGCTTACAAATTATCCACCTGAGCATGTGACTGTGAATGTCCATTTCATCATTTCACTTCAAATGTCAATCTCAGGACAACAGCGGAAATACTAGCCCTAGTAGGAAAATTTTGACTATTTATGTGTGATAAGGGGGTATAACATGAAAATAGTTTGAGCTGCAACAGATGCACACATAGACATGACTATAGGTTTACCAAATTGTCAGAACGCACGAGAGAATGAGAAAGGAAGAATAATAACAAAGGAGCAACTGTTTGTACCTTTTGTATTCACAAACACTGCAGTTCAAATCAACCATGAGAAGCAACAGTGGAATGATTTCAAATCAACCAGGAATGCAAACTAAATTGTTCTTTATATCATATCAACGCCTCCTAAATCTATGAGGAGTATGTGGAAAAAATTCGAAGTTCAATACTACAACTAATAAGACAAATCGAAGCCATTGAAGGGTGTCAACTTTTCTCACTATACCATGTCCCATCCATTTTGATTCAATTCTTTGAAAACCTTACAACAACCAGAACACAATGGAAAAAAAAAGAAGATAAAAACATGAATGGTTCCACTTCTTACGATCTAAATCTTGAAGTCCTGGTACAAGTCCCCTTGTTTCAATTTAGAACAACTGAAATCCACTTTTTAAGGAAACCTTTGATAATTGGATTTGCTTGTACTACTCTCTATCTGTGGTCTGTACTATTGATTAACCATAAGCATTTATTTTGAGCAATAAAATCTAAATCTGGCATAATAATTCATAGTAACAGTTTTTCAAAATTAATTGACAACATAAATAATGATTTCATTTTTTTGTTGGGCTTAAGCGGTATATGGCGTAACTATCAACACTGGAAGCAGTGGGAGTCGGCAATGTATAATTGCCAAAGAAGAAAACATGAATAAAGGAAAGTAACCATGAAACTTCATCATCCTTCAATTTCTATCAGACACGATTAATTGCCGATGCTGAACCCGTCCCACTACAATGTATAGAGATTTTCTTTAAATACAGTAAGCTATATGTTTCAATGACAAAAAAAAAAAAAAAGAGGAGAAGAAGATCAAATGGAGCACATGTGGGAGAGCCACCGCCACAGCACCAGCACCAGCACCACTGGAGTTGGAGAGGAGCTGGGAGAAGGAAGAGCTTTGTTATTACCTGCCCTCCAGGCGTCCGCACGCAAGAAGAAGGCGTTGGAGCCGCAGGCACGGAGGTGGCGGACGGCGGAGGGCGCCGACGAGCCGCAACAGGCCAAGGCACGAGGCAGTGGCCGGAAGGCAATGGCGTCGAGCAAGCGAGGGAAGGGCCAGCGGAGCGTCGGGGCAGACGCGCAGAGACCGGGGGAGCGGAGCTGCAGGGCGGCGGCGGCGGCGGCGGCGGCGGCGGCGTGACTTGTGACGGAGCCGTCCAGAGTCTGGGTTTTGGAGCGGCCCAATCTGAAGCCACACGTACGGCCCATAATTTATTTATTTATTGCTAACAAAAACTGAATATTCCGTCCCTAAATTTTTGTATTCAATCTAATTTTCATCTCCTTTCCTAATCTTTATCTTTTCTTTACTATGTGTCATGATTTCTATTACTAAACATACACGTAGCGTTAGCACGGGCATATTACTAGTATATTTAGCTCTTCTATTTTGAGAAGCTGATGTATTTGGATAGCTACAACTCCTTCAATTTCCTTACCTTTAATATAAGAGACAACCAGACGAGTCAGAACAGAAAACATATACTAATAGGATTTTTGAGGAATATACAGTAGTCATAGTCAGATGTAGATAAACCTATGCCAAATCTATTAGGATCGGTAAAAAGAGTATGTGTTGGACCACAATAGAACCTAGACGCCATGAAGGCCGTCTACCCCACCCTAGTGATCTCCCAGTATTAAGTTCAGCAAAGCATATTGTTTTATATCGTTTTCAGACAAACCTGAATCTATAAATCATTAATATTTGATCTGAATGGAACTTCAAAATTGGCAATCCAGTAAGCATCATCCTAAAAACAGATTCAACTGAGCCTATTCGTCCTGATTCAAAGTGCACCCAAGTTTAGAAATATAAACTGAATATCTCGCACATAACAGTTCTACTCCCCAGTTTGCCCTTAATGAATCAGAAATACGTCACTATACCAATTCAAAGACAAATCCTACCATTGTAATATCAGAGAGCGCAATTGCACATGAAGATATATGCAAATTTAGTTATGCATGTATGTAAAAAAAGATTATCTAGGAGTTACTAAAAGCAGTAGTAAATATTCCACCATATATTGAGATACCAAAACACCTCTTTCAAGCAGTTTGTGAATGTCCCCTTCTCCAAACAAACTTACAACTGTGTGAGAAAAAACATATAAGGCATAAGGATTTAATTCATCTAAATTTTCTTAACAGTATGTACATTCCAAGAATGCTCTCTAAATTTTATATCAGCGTGTACATTCAAACTAAAGTAACGTAGACATTTGATGCTGTTCACTTATGAACCATATTATAGAAACCTGATAGCATATACACCTTCATGTGTAAAAGCAACATATGCTTCTATATATAAAAATTCAGCATATGTATCTAGATACATTACTAAATAAGAGACCAGTGCATTTAATACAGGTACATTATTCACTACTTGATTTTTCATTTGGAAACAGAAACTAAGTTTGCTAGACATAAGATTTTTTGGGAAACATAGATCATCACTTGAGAGTTCAGACACAGAAGAAAAGAGTTCAGACACATAAGATTGGCATTTACTCATGCAAAGCAGGACTACGGACAACTTGAATTCTATAAATGTTGCAACACAGTCTGTATATTCAGAAACAGATCTTGTGAAAAGAACATGGCCCTTTACTGATATAAACCGAATATTTGGTCAATATATTGATGAAAACACTGAATATATTAAAATAACAGATATACTACCCCGCATGCCCTCAACGAATCAGAAAGATGTCATTTTCATAATAAAAGAGAAGTAAAAGATATGGAATGATATGCATGACATAAGTTGAAAAATAATGATAGTAATGCCATATAGAACATTAACACTGATGTTATCGTGTAATAAAAATGTACTGCATATATGGAAAGAGAGTAATTATTACATAAAAAACTCTGAACCTGTACACAAACAAGAACAAAAATCATCTGGGTATATGTCAAATGTAATGAAACTAAGTGACAAGAAAGCTAGCAATGGAAATTAGTGCCTTTGGACCTTATTTATGCATTTATGGCTTTGGACCCAAGAGTACCTCAACTGGATTTTTTTTTAAAAAAAAACATTTATGCAACATTTACAACCTTTGGTCCAGAGACACACTGCACACTGCACAGGCAGCTAAGGAACTACCTGTTTGGTTCTATCACCTTCCGAAACTTTTGGCAGTGGTTAAGAACAGCTACCCGAAAGCACATGACAAGCACACACAGCTTTAAATTCCTCAGTTATCACTTATCAGTTAACCAAAACAGTCAGCTTGCCGACTGGTCGCGATCCCTGTTGCTCGGCCGTCAAACAATCGAACAAAAGCAAAAGGTAAATCTAGTTACCTCGTCGGTGGGGTTAGCCACGATGAGCCAGGGCGACGCGGTCGTATGTGTCGATGGGGTGCCACAGATTGGGTGCTGCAATGTTGTTCTTATGAATGGCGGCGAGGGCGCGGTGGACATGGAGGACGAAGGGCCAAGTCACGGTGTTGGACGATGACGTCGGCGGTGAATCGTCGCCAGCGCCGTGGGCGACGGTCCTGGACGACAGCGGAGGGCAACGCGAAAAAAATGAATAAAATGGCTAGACCACAGTACAAAGCAGAATAATTGAATAAATTGGGTAGACTATAGTATAAAGCAGAATGCATGAATAAATTAACGGTGTACGTATTCTCTTCAAAATTCACATGATCCATACCAAAATTAACGGGTCTGCCTTGGTAAAATTTTTTGTATGGAATTGGGTAAGAAAACATATAAATGTGATGAGAGCTGAGGAGAAACATGACCAGGAGGCCTGGTAGGTTCAGGTTTGACAGCTATGTCCATCAATCTGTAGCTTCAATGAACACATATAAGATGTAGACAGTGTAGAAAGCAGAAAACTGAGAACCACGGGATCATCTTGAAGAGAAACCCGTCAGTATTGTGCTGATCTTCCTTTCCTATATAAGAGTACCCACAAATTACATGCACTGTTAATTATGTAAATTTACTGTGAAACTGAGAGCTGAACTTCAGATAATAGCTTCTGCTTTTTTAAAAGAATAGAATATATGTTATTATATGCAAGTTCTTTGATTGGGCACTAATGGATGACAGAAGATGACAGAACCTTACTGGGAGACACAAATTAACATGCTCAGAATTTCAGATATAACCTTGAGAGACATTTTGTCAATCAGTTCATGAGCAGCAAGGCATACTGTAGCATTATGTTCATTCTAAACTACAAGAACCAGATGTGATTTTGCGTGTGAAGGGAGTGAAGGGGCTTGTGCTTCAGATTAATTTTGCGTGTGTTTCGTGTTGAATTGAATCTTATTTATCCCTAGCAGGGGCGGATCGAACTTGGACTTTTGGGGAGACAAACAAACAAAATAAGAGAAGAGCTCCATCCAGATCTAGAAGAGAAGCTAGGGTTAATGCAGGTAAATTTGAGACAAAAGTGGGTGGGAGAGAGAGAGAGAGATGAATCAGAAAGATGATGTGGATGCTCACCGGGATGCAGCAGGACCACGGCACGTCGGCACCCCTCCCCTCCCCTCCCCTGCTCTGCTCGCGAGATGGGGGGATTGGCACGGAGGCTACGATGCGGGCGGTCGGCGTCGGTGATCCGGTGGCGGCGACGGTGGAGGAGGAACCGACGACGGCTCTCGCTCCAACGACGGGTGCGCACGGCGAAGGGGATTGCCGGCGATTGGAGTGGCGGTGCTCGCTCCAACGACGGCTGCGAGAGAGGAGGGCGTCCGCGTTCTGACTAAAAGAGGAGAGGGAGGCGTGGGAGACCGGGAGTGAGGTGCGGTTTCCGCGTCCTCGGTGGCCGGCGGGGTTGGGCGGTGCGGATGCGGCGGCGCAGGGGAGGAGGGGCGGCCGGCGCCGGGCGAAGGGGGTGCCGGAGGCGGAGGCGGTGGCGTTGGCGAGATGGAGGGGGGCGAAAGGCGAGGCGGCAGGAGCGATAGAAAGAGGAGGCAGTGCGCGGTGATTTTGCCCGGGGGAGGGGAAGCGATCCGCGATCTGGATCGGATCGGGAGGGAGGCGGGGAGCCGTCGGATTTAAGTCATCAGATGGATTTTGGATCGTTGGATGTGTGACATGATGAATGATGAATGAGTAAAATTTTGATAACTTTACTTTAAAAAAAATAGTATGGTTAAAAATGATATCAAAGTGGACAGACCATAAATTTACGATATACTTGTACTCAGTACAAAGTAGTACTATTATACTTGCTGTGGGTGATGTAGCGCGTCACCCGCCCGCCCACCCGACCGGAAGAACCCACTTGGGAATAGCGAAAACGAAAATTCCGTGGTCGCTGATACTACCACATCTTGCCGAACTCGAGCGCGTGCGTTCCCACCACCACACCTGGGCGATCGATCGATCGCTACAGCGATCCACGCAGCACAGCCAGCCGCCTGAGCCGCGGACGCACGCAGGCGCAGGACGTACGGGTAGTGGTCCGCTCGATCGGTCCCGCGAGTCGCGGCGCATCGCTGGTCGCGGTCGCGCGTACGAACGTACTCCGTATACGTACGGGTACGCCCGCGGGGGCAAGGCGTCTCGCTGTCACACACACCCGGTCTCCAATTCTCTCGTCGTCTCCCCGGCGCGCGCGAGCGTTCTTCCCGGGCGTGTTGGCTCGGCAGTTATACGTACGTGGTGTAAGTACATGTTACATAGGTTAGAAAACGATAGGCAAACAAACGATAAATAACAGTAGATCAATCACAAAAAAAACGAGATTTTAACGTGGAGCTGGCTTTTATTAAGTGCAAATAAATTTGGATCACAACTCAACAACGTACGTGGACGTGTGGTGGCGTGTGGGTGATCGATTGATCGACGAACGTGTACGTGGTGTCCCGTCCCGCGTTGTCAAAGGCTCGCGCGTGTGCGTGCGGCGCCGCCGTCGTATTTTGCCGATTAGTTCGACCGGTCTTAGGTAGGAGTAGTATACGTCGTACGTGTACAGTACTATGCGCGGTGAGTAGTGGGGCGCCGTACGTACACGATCGATCGACGGCGCGGATAGGTCCAGCCGAGTGGCCGACCCCCACGCAACGTTGTCTACCGCCGTACGTACAACTTCGGCGGTGTGATCAACTGTCATATGCATTCCAACATGTGGTGGGACGTCGGTTGGTGGTTAGGCGGCTCCTATTCCCTCCGTCCCATAAAAGAACGATCTATGATGAAATATGACGTTTACTAGTACAATAAATTTAAGTATATTAAAAAAATAGCATATTTTATTTTAGATTAGTTTTTTATGAGAAAAAATACGTTGAAAGGCTTGTTTATATTGATGTTATTTCAAATCATATCACTTTTTGGTAGAGTTTTTGCCAAACTTTAGTACATACGAAATCCTACTAAAATTTTAACAATATTATCAAATTGTCAAAATTTGGTTTATTTTGTCTACCATTTGAACAGCCCAAAATATTGAATGGTTGTCAGATAGATGTGCACGGGCCCTATTACAAAATTGATGAATGATAGTGCCAGCTCTCGTTTGTCGTCAACTTGGCATGATATGAACGGTGTGGGATGGTTCTGTAATAAAGAGGACCGTTGTCACTCCATGGAGTATATTAGTGTCACAGGATTTTTATACTCCATCCATCTCTAAATATTTGATGCCGATAACTTTTTTAAACATGTTTGACCGTTCATCTTATTCAAAAACTTTTGTGAAATATATAAAACTATATGTATACATAAAAGTATATTTAACAATAAATCAAATGATACGAAAAGAATTAATAATTACTTAAATTTTTTGTATCCTTGCTATTTTACGTGTGCTAAACGCTACGGTGTAACTCTATTTATCTTTAATAACTATCGCCAATGCCTATATTAAAAGATGGATTTTCACGTTTTCCTTTTACATATTTGACAGACAAAAAATATATTTTGTTTCTCATTAATCGAATTCCCCTATTTTAAAGCACTACAATGTGATTCATGTCACGTGAGAACTTTTTTTCCATGCAGTAATTAAATAGTTTTTTTCACAATCCTTTTTATGGCGTGCATTCGATAGTTAGTGTATTTAAGGATTTATTTGTATTCATATTTAAATGGGCAGACCAATTTAATTTTTCATATGTATGAGTATAATGTATTTTGAAAAGCACCACATCGGCGAATTAAGAAAATTACCTCTCGGAATCAATTCAGAGGGGAGGAAACATTGAAACATATGGATCCGTCGAATTTCATCGAAGCTACAGAACAGGCTTATGTATATTAATTGGATGAACAAATTGAAGAGCTGCAGCCCACCATTTCACCCGTATTGTCGAGGTTCCTTTTGCACTCGCTTTTGCCGCCTCCTATGTATCAAGCATGAAAAATTTTCACAAGTCAAGGCTATTCAAGTCAAGCAGCTTTGTAATCTTCTTTTCCTATTCTGCTAGCCACTTTTTACAAACACCTCTACTTGGTGCGGGGCTCGATCCTATTCTTCTCTAACAATCGCTTGCTGAGCTGCTCTCATTCTGCAGCACAAAAGACATAAAAAGGATAAATACCCAATACTGCACACACAGCAGTTATATAAGCTAAATGGCAAACACATAATTGCCCATGACCGCTTCTCTATCCTCTGATGAGATAGCATGATCAGGTTCCCTCTAAAATGTTAGGAAGAAATTTCAGTGGCAACCATATGTTTAATCGTAAACAGGATACTTGTTTGATATGCAATTGCCAAACCATTGATAACCGATAATGAGTACTATGATCTGCTCGTCAAAGACCACGAAGAAAAAATGATCTACAGATGTCTGTAACACACTAATTCTTGAGGATATATTAGCAACAATAACCTTTTGGTATGCACTTTTGTTACAAATTTTATAACATCGAATGAATAACAGGAAACCTAACCATTACCAGAAGGATATTAATAGTGTCAGCAAATAAAGTTGGGTAAACATTGCAAAAATCATCTCTCGGGATCAAGGTATATTGCAATCATGTTATCTTACAGGAATCCTGTAAAAAAAGCAAAATACCAGGGCCTATATTGTGCATGTTGGAAGATTTAAAAAATTGGTAAAAGCAAATGTAATTGGCAGAGTAAAATGACAGGAAGGAATAATACGAGATATAGCTTAGGAGGTTGACAAATTACAGATTAATTAGCATTCTTTAACTGTAGATAGAAATAAATGTAAGATTTGATGCAGACGCCTACTCAGTGCTCATATTACTTCCATAGATACTCTCCATGCACTTTAGCTTGTTTTCACTTACAGTAAATCGGCATCCTTATGAGAGATTTAGTCTCATGGGAGCATAAATCTCTACTATCTCATAACCATTTGTGATACCTTTTTTTTCGAGGGTGGTCATACCTGAACACAAAAAACTAAACTACATTCTTATCCTTGATAGTTATCAAAGGCCATTGATATGCAGCTTGAGGTGCCAGGGTAGAAATTAGGCGAGATTCCCCATGTTGATACATCTGCTGATGATCTGCAGTTATTCACCCATCCACAACAAAGTCAATTAGTATACCTGGGGATACTACCAGCTTTATATGAATGATAATCAAATAGTATGTTCCCAAATTAGATAAGATATATTGAGCACTCAACCATTGTGAGTTTATATATTGAAGGACAATAAGTACAACGTATCTGAGAGCATGTTTTGAGAGTTTGTGAACCATTGGGCGGCGACCGGCCGGTGATGGAATCAGTCTGCGGCGCGATGTAGAGATACCACTTAACATAATGGTTCTAGCATGTAGCTCATAGAATAATCAAATAATTTGATACCCTAGATACCCCTATTCTGGAAATAGTACAACTGAATAAATTGGCTAGACTACAGTACAAAGAAGAATAATTGAATAAATTGGCTACACTACAATACAGAGCATAATAACTGAATATGTTGGATAGATTATAGTACCAACCAAGTCTAGGTTTTATTCTGTCCAACAGAATTAACAGTGCACATGCTATTCTCTTCAAAATTCACACGATTCATACCAAAATTAATGGTTCAGACTTAGTAACATTTTTAACATGGAATCAGGTAGGGAAACATATATACACGATGAGAGTTGAGGAGAAACAAAGACCTTTCTAGCAGCTGTTGTTAGGGTCTGGCTGTTTGGGCGTCCGACACCCAAATTCAGATGCCGTTTGGGTGGGCGTCTGACACCCAAATTCAGATCCACAGGAGTCAGAAAAGCAGCAGTGACGATACCATTGAACTGCAGCTCATCCAATGTATAAAGTCTAGTACCTGATTTAGATTTCAGTAAACAAATGACTACATATGATTGAGTAAATAATATGGGCACACATCTGCAAATAAAAGTAACATTATTATGATATAGTTATTGTAGTGAATACTCTTTTCATATATATACTCGAACTGCTTGTAAAATAATTTAACAACGATGTTCTCTTCTCCATTGCAAATATACAAATAAATAAAAACCCATGAAACATGAAGCTCAATTTATTGTAAATCCCATCATCATGACATCATACCATCTCATTTTCAAATTACATTTTCAAGGAAAAAATTATTAGTCTGCACAAAGCAGAATTTGACTGACAACTAATAGTAAAAACTGAAATAAAAAAAACGAATAATATGAAAACTCTTCCCTGCATTAGTTAGTACAGAGTACGTACAGATCAGTGGTGAGAGGGACATACCGAACTCCTTGGCGGAGGTCGCGCTAGACCGGATGGCATGGGCGGCGCCCCGTCGGCGGGGAAATCCGTCTGCGGCGCGATGTAGAGAGACCGAAGGAGGCGCGACGGTGACCGGGTGGCGGCGGTGCGATGGTGACCTGCGGGGCGACGGCGATTGACGGCGACCTGCGGGGAGACGGCGGTTAGGGTTGGGAATCGCGAAGGCGACGGAGTGCGATGGTGGTGAGGGCTTCCGGCGGCGAGGAACGGTGGCGGAGCGGAGAAGATCGGTGAGGAAGGCAATGCCAGTGGGAGAGATCGGTACAGAGCAGATCGGCGCGGGCGGCGACCTGGAGACGGGAGGAGGGTGAGGATGGAATTTTTTTTTTGGGAGAATCGCGAGAATGAGGAGAATCGCGCGTTTGGGGATAGAGGGGCTGAGCGCGTCGATGAGTCTGACCGTTGGATAAGTGTTGAGCGAGGAGGTGCGTTGGATGTGTGATACGATGAATGATGAAGGAGTAAAACCATTTGTTGAACTATAAGGTACTCAATTAAAGAATTTTTTATTATTTGTGAGTACCCTATAGTTCAACAAATCCTTTTACTCACTCATCATTCATCATATCACATATCCAATGGTCTAAAATCATCCAATCCAACGCCTCAGATTACCCCACCTCTCCCCCTCCTCTCCTCCCCGCACCTGAAATGGTGAAATCACGCCGCATCCACCGTCCTGTGTCTCGCTCTTCCCTCCTCTTTCTCCCGCATCTCCCACGCATTTCCTCCTCGCGCTCTCTCGCCCCCTCACCGTCGTGCACTCGTGCGCCGGATTTTTCACAGAATCGACGCGCTCCTCCTCCGCAGTCCGCACCACCATCGTGCCGCGCGCCTCTCCCTACCGCGAAAAAACGCCGCGCCAGCGCCCACCATCGTCACTGGCCGCCCATCGCTCTCCACCGCGCCCTCATTGCGCCTGACGCGAAGGAGGAGCCCGAGGAGGAAGAAGAAGAACAAGGAGGCTGACGCCGATGCCTGCAGGCAAAGAAGATGACCGAGACCTTCTTGTATGAGGGAACACCGAAGAAGTCGTCCACGCGCGGGCGACCGGGGGCGAACCCTAGCCCCCGGCCGCCGCCACCCACCCCTCCTCTCACCGCCTCGCCGCCGCCGGAAACCACGCGGACGCTGGGATGGCGGCGGCGGGGCCAAAACCCCCGACGGCGGCTCGTCTCCGGCGCAAGGAGGCGGCACAGCGCGCCGCGAAGGCCTCGCGGCGCGTGGCTGCGGATCCGCCGCCGCCGGATCTGGCCCTTCCGTGGCTGGATCCGGCCCGTCATCACCGGAACTGACCGGTGAGCTGACGGAGCGGGCGACGGCGGCAGGTGGCGTGAGGACGGCGGCGTTTGGCGGGGGAGACGGCCGACGGGAGACGCGGGCGACGCCACGGCTGGAACTTGCTGACAGGAGGTGGTACGGCTCCGGCCGCTGCGGGTACCTCCCCCTCCGCCACCCACCACACGTCGCCCCCCGGCAGATTCACCGCCTGCCTGCTCGCCGTCGCCGCCATCACCACCATCTTCGCCCTCGCCCTCACCCTCCACCGCCCTGACCTCTCCGCCGCCTCGCCACGGTGAGCGCCCGCCCCCCCTTGCTCCCTCCACCAATTGCTCGCGGGTGCGGTTCGCGATCAACGCGGAGGACAGCCTCAACAACAGGTTCAGGCCCATCCAGGGGCTCACCACCGACGCCGCCTTCGCCGTGTGGCAGAGTGCGCTCTCTGCCATGGTGGGCTTCGTGCCCCGGATGCACTGGCTTGCTGACCCGGTATGCACAAATGCATTCAAACTCACGACCATTTCTGAATTTTTAGTGCACCATGAGTAATCTTTGAATTTGTGGTGCATCATGAGTAATCTCTGAATTTCTGAACTTTTGGTGCATCATGAGTAATCTGTGCACTAATTGAGGATGGCTACACATTAAATAGCTACTCATCTCTTGCAATTACCAACATAAGTAAAGTACTTAGCACAATGTTAGCCTTTTGTGCTTGCTTCATCCCTTGTGCTTTAGGCATGATGAACAATAGAATAATAGATTATCATCCCGGCCAACACACGGGAACTGGCTTTACGTCGCCACTGCTTGTGACCTGCTTGATGGAATGCTTGCCTTGGAGTTCTTAAATATATTATGAAAATGTACATATATGCCTTAAATTACATCTTATAGTACCCATATGAATGTATATACTTATACTTATAGTACCCTTATGAATACAAGCATGTGTTTAGTAAAATGCTAACAAGGTGCATAGACCTGTCTAGGGCATTGGGCAATGACATGTCATCATTTCTTAAGTCTTGTTTACTGTCCTTCTATGCATCTATCTAATTAGCTCCATGATAAATAATTTTGAGTTACATGGATGCTTCATTGAACGGAAGCTTCTACAGCTTTGATTATTTATCATGGCTTAAAACCTTTCATTTCTTCTATCGTTGTGCAAAGTTAGAAAAGGATGATTGGGTCGTGCGTGAATGTCTGCATATGATTGTCTATTGTGAAATACTTGTCTTGTATTTTGAGTGATATCTACATGGTCTCCATCATGTTACTTAAATTATTGATTGGACGTAGAGTTTATATCACTGCATCAGTACAAGTTTACAAGAACGGATCTTGTTCGCTCTGAAATTAACCTTCTAGCTTCTACAAATTTATTTTATGCCACATAAGTAGTGGTTTTTCTTGCATCGGTACCTCCAAATTTAGAATATTACCTTTGAGTGAATTTTTTCAACATTTGTCATATGAATAATAGAAACAATCAACATATCCCTTGTCTCCTTCAGAGGTCACCTGACCTGTGGGACTCCTGGCTGTTTTTTCACCTGTCCACCTCGGCTTACTGTCCACCGCCAGGGATGCACGAAGGGAAGCTCGGACCTTGCTAGCTCAAGGTATTCTTGGCTCCTTTACCATGATGTTTGGCTTAGTATTTCCTTGATTTGGTCCTGTGCGCATTTGATTGATATTGCCTGGACTTACCTGTGCATGAACTACGTACGCAAGCTATGTATCGTACCATTTAAAAATTGCTAAGCGGTTCTATCAATAGAGCAGTCTGGAAAATTTTAACTGATGGGGAATATATTTTATATGTTGATGATGATCAGTACAAAATTAAAAATCATATCATCTCTAGAAGATCTCATTGATGCGTTATAACATCTTTCTTTTTCTGCTAATTGAGATACCATGCCTAAAATGCAATGAAATTAACAAAATAGTGGTCGGATCAATAGCAAAAGCAGTATCTCTAAGATGCAATATTTAGTTATTTAGTGAAAAATACATCTAACACAAATATAATGACTGACCACTGTAGCAGTATATGGTATTTCTGTTTTCCTTGTGTGATTGATATGACCAGATATTTTGCACATATTCTTCTCAATGTCAAATGGCCAATGAAGGGTACTGATGTTCATTTTCCCCATTTGGCTGATCTCAACATTGCCACTCCAACTTAACATTACAATTACCATGCATTTAACCATGAAAAATTTTACTCCTAGCATATATGTTACACCATAAATAAAACTACTGAATTTGAAGGCTGGGCGTATTACTGAGAATATTTGAAGACACTTTAGTCCTGAGTCAATATATCTAGACCAGGCACTTCATTGGCAGTCCAGTCAAAACTCAAACATGCATTCTCTAAAGATGGCACCCCTACTGCTGGTAATGTGTAATGAAAGTTTGTTAGGCACAACTGTTGATTAGTTGTATTCACCTCTCAAGATTAGTGTTTGTTTTAACCCATAGGAAACGCTAGCCAAGTAAGTGATGGTGCTCGAGCTGTCTTACTAATGAGACGTGACATTGCAATGCAAAAGGGTCTTCCAATAGTTGGCGTCTTCAGGTATTAATATTTTTCTATATATCTCATATCTTGGGTCACAACTCACATTTATAGGCATCGTTTTCAGCCCTAATTAAAAAGTACCAAAGCACTCAGTTTATAGATCAGACAAGGCTACTCTATGTTTCCTTCTGCTCCCTTAACATCATGAAGTCTGAAAACCAGCGGCATGAAGGCATCAGCGCTCCCGGGTAGAATTTCAGTTCGTTATATTTTATTCTTCTTATTTAATTGGTTAGCAGTTTTAGGCGTTTTCTTGAGTGCAACAATTGTACTATAGGTCTGAGTGTCTGACCAATGACTTTTCTGTTCATTTTGTTCCATATTATGGTGTAATGCAAGCAGAATGGAAATGAACAAATTAATTAATATTGAGGATGGCGATTGTTTTGAGTTTCATCTTGCCTGTCTTGTGCCGGTGTGACTGCTGTTTACCACCGATTACTGGTGCTGAATTTTTCATGCCATCGGATCGAAAGGAAAGTTAACAGCATGTAAGCACCATAATGTTTGTGTGGCGAAACCCAAGCACCTGAAGAGCATGGTGGATGGTATGCACGCGACCTTGAAATATGCCTCTGGTTTTGTTAAGTTCGTAGATGCAATTGTTAAGAAAGAAAGCAATGCATTTCTTTTCTGGATTATCTACCAAAACTCAAAAGACATTTGAAAATTCAAAGGCATTCACGAAAATAATTATTTTTTATATAAAAGAGACTTTGTGAATACAATGAGACATGACATATTGATATTGGTATTGCTGCTTACGTTTGCATTGAAAATTTGAGGGTATTTTCTCCATGGAGGCAAGCGTGCAGCTATAGTAGCGTTGTGCCGCCGGGTTGACTATTGCAACCGTAGCGTTAGCACGGGCAAATTACTAGTCTACCCTATAATTCACCAACTCATTCTTACACCTACATACTCATTCATCAAATACTACGGACGAGAATCATCCAATCCAACGCCACAGAATCGTTCCACGTACCCCCTCAACCTCCGCGCGCATTTCCCCAACTCCCCTCAACCGAAAATCACGCCGCTCAGATCGCTCCTCCTGCCATCTTCAACGCGCTCTCCTTCCCCAACCTAAATCGCTCCGCCTCCCTCTCCCAACCTACAGCGCCGTCGCATCCCCTGCCACCACAAGCGCCGCCGCACTCCCCCCGGCAAACCCTAATCGCCTCCTCCTCTCTCCCCTGCTGCCACCCTTCCGTTTCGCCACCAGCGCGACGGCTCCCCTCCCCACCGACCGCGTCGCGAACTCGCGATATGCCTCCGACGCTCGTGCCCCCCTCCAGCGACGGCGGCGCCGCCCCTCGCCGCTGACCGCGCAGCCGGCGCCCAGTCCCTCCTGCCGACCGCGTCGCGAGACGCCTCCCTCATGATTGACGCGCTTTGTTCTGGGTTGGGCACAGTAAGCTGAAGTACCTCGTCGCCAGCTCCGTCTCCGAGGCCTGCAACAACTCCGTCCTGCTCCTCGGCCCCTGCGGCTGTGAGGTTTTCCTTCTGCTTCCCCTTTCAGCAGTTTTCTGGAATGCAGGGGTGGTGTTCGACGAAATGTGCCAGTGGGCGGTCTACGACTTTATGCTATCTGTTGTTTTGGCCTGGACTGATATTTCAATTCTTCGCAGGGGTCGACATGGTTCTAGACGATCTGAAGAAGGAGCATCCTAATGCAATATCCTGACTTTACTTGTTGCTAGAAATGTATCCATGTATTTGCGTAATACACGACCAATGATTTACCTACGTTGGCCGTGAAATAAACACAGGTTACGAGAAAATAGTTTGTTTCAGGGCGCTTTAGGGCGGAAGGGGACAAGGCTAAATGTAGAAATTCCTTTCATATTTTTATATTCTCAAATGCATGGCCTAGCCAAAAGGACAATATATCATAATGCACAATTAGTTAGACTTTGTTAACTTGTAGTCCAGTTGGATCATTGTGCAAACTTTTTTCAGATCAGGCTGAATGGGATGCTACATAGTGATGACAACTGTGCCACGAAGGTTAGAGCTTTCTGATGCCAGCTTTTTTGGTTCAATTTCTGTATTCCACATGCTCTCTGAACCAGATCTCCCTCTCTCTTAACTCCTGTCCACCAATTCAGTTAACTCCATAGTTGTTTCTATGCTTTATCAACTCCAATGCAGCCATGCTAATGCTTCTGTTACTTTGCTTTTAAGGAAATTGCGAGGCAACTTTGTTTGGAACATCAGTTATCATTTTCCAAAATGGTGTGTAGCGTCTACTCTAGCCTTCACTCTCTCAATTATTGTTCTTTTTACCATTTTAAAAGACCTTATCTCTTTTAGGCTTCTTCAGATGACAACACGGAATTCATGATTGACATGTTACGGTCAGTGAAGTGTTAACATGATGAGCATCTGTACATCATAGAGACATCCTTTTTCCTGGGTGAATTTCACCTAATCTGAGCCATCCTTTTACTTCTATGACTGAGATCACCTTTTTCTAATTAACAACCCTTATACTCAGTTTAGATGTGGAGGGAATATACATACTTTTCTCTTCATGTAGCGATGATGAGGAAGATCGGTACTGAGGACCGGCACCAGTGGCATCTTATGTATGGTTTCAGATTTACTAGGGATGTATGTATGGTTTCAGATCGTGGTTTTGGATGAATAAATTGAGTTTAGGTTTTAGTGCAACCTTGTCTCTTGCATGCGTGGGGATCGTTGGGGTCTTACAGAATGCATGACAAAATGGATTCCGGTAGAAAAACATAATATACTCTTACTTGCACCGTGTATATTATATATTTACCTCGAGCATAGTAACAGATTCAATTTCTATCTCGAATGGTGCTTCAAACAATATATACGTGGGGTTGTTTTTTTGGCCCTTATCTTTTTTAATCTTCCTTCCTCTTTTCTCTGTGTAAAAATATACGATGCAGCTCGAAATGTATTGTTTTTTATATGTTCATCGGCCTGTTCTTGTTTGCTATAGGAAGTATGCATTTTGTTGGTATGCATTAACAGAGAAGGACCTTAGAGAAAAACTGAAAAATCATTTGTCTGAAAATTGGTTGTGAATTTTAGTTCTTTATATCCCCGAGGAATGCAAATATTATCTGGTTTGTTTCCGGCTTATTTCGGTGGCTTTCAGATATAAAAGAAGGGAAAAAAAGAGCAGTGACTGTAGCAAGTGTGGAGCAATACCTGTAGTCATGGCATATTACTAACGCTCGAAGGTTTAGCCAACGCTTATATCCATAGGGTTATAAACCATTTGGCATATTACTAGTAAGCTGTGGCTGTCGCGACGGCCGTGTGGCAGAAGTCCACCGACCCTGCCTGCTACGACAAGCTCACGCCCGTCTCCTCGCCGCCCAAGTGCGACGACAGCGTCGACCCGGACGCCGCCTGGTACGTGCCCATGCGCTCCTGCCTCACCTCGCCTTCTTCCACTTCCTCGCGCTACAAGAAGCTGGCGCTCGACGCCACCCCCAAGTGGCCGCAGCGCCTGGCCGTCGCCCCAGAGCGCATCGCCACCGTCCCCGGGAGCAGTGCCGCCGCCTTCAAGCACGACGATGGCAAGTGGAAGCTCCGGACCAAGCACTACAAGGCTCTGCTCCCGGCGCTGGGGAGCGACAAGATCAGGAACGTGATGGACATGAACACCGTCTACGGAGGCTTCGCCGCCAGCCTCATCAAGGACCCCGTCTGGGTCATGAACGTCGTCTCCTCCTACGGACCCAACTCCCTCGGCGTCGTCTTCGACAGAGGCCTCATCGGCACCAACCACGACTGGTGACTATTTGCATTTAATTCATTCTTCTACTATATCATAGCTTAATTATTCAACTACTCATTGTCCTTCCAATCAACTCTACTGTAGGTGTGAGGCATTCTCTACATACCCCAGGACGTACGATCTATTGCATCTTGATGGCTTGTTTACTGCAGAGTCTCATAGGTACGTACACTTGCAAATCAGCATTTCTAACTTCAAATTCACAAGAAAGCAAGTAAGAAATACTCCATCCAGTTACAATTAACACGTACTTACCGTACGTTGCAATTGCAGGTGCGAGATGAAGTTTGTACTTCTTGAGATGGACCGTATCCTTCGTCCCACTGGTTATGCCATAATCCGCGAGAACGCCTACTTTCTGGATTCTGTAGCCATCATTGTCAAAGGAATGAGATGGAACTGTGACAAGCATGATACCGAATACAAGGCAGACAAGGAGAAGGTCCTCATCTGCCAGAAAAAGCTTTGGTCAGGAAAGAACACCCAGCATTGAAAAAAATAAATCAATAACTTGATAGCCTCACCTTAATCGAACCTGGAGGGATCACAATGTAAATCTGCTCAACGATTTCAAGCCATTGCTCAACCTAAGGCACTTCACCCTCCCACTAGACTTCACACTCTGATACAAGAACATTCGTATAATGATTAAATTAAATAAAATGAGCAATACTCCAATATAGGATCCAATACTTCCTACTCTCTGCCAGTTATCACACAATTATTTTTTACAGTTACTAGGGGACCAATTAATTAATACCACCAAGAGGCAGCTGTAAGTTATTACTTTTTTTTTTTAGAATGGACAACTGTAAGTTACTTTTATACTACTATATAGCGTGTTCATTTGTATTAGCCATAGCTTGTTTCTACGATTGTAACAATAGGAACGGCTATATATTTATTTTAATTGAATGTTTACAGGAGTAAGATATTGTTGTTGGTATATGTTCCTCAAATTAACAAGAGTTGGCTGTGGGTTTTGCTTTTGCAAATCACGATCGATGAAGGAAGAGTATATAACGAGTAACAATACTATTACCATTATTCAATAAAAAACAATACTATTACCATGTGCAATCAAATTGCCCTAACAAGCATGACGAAGCACTGTTTTTCTGAGGCACATCAGTACACTACCACCATGCACAACCAGCAGCACTTGCTTTGGCATACTTTTCAGTGACACTACATCTGATAATATCAAATTGTAAGCCAAAGAAAACTAAAAGGGGAGCCCTTCTCGGAGCAAGAGGTGCATAGTAGGGCTGTCAAAAAAGCTCGAGGCTCGCGAGCTGCTCGAGCTCGGCTCGTCCTAGGCTCGATTCGAGCTCGGCTCGAGCTCCAGACGAGCCGAGCCGAGCCTCTCCCTAAGCTCGCGAGCTTTGTCGAGCCGAGCTCGAGCTTCTAACGAGCCTAGTAATATATCATTTTTATTGTTACTTAATAACTTAGGAGATCAAATATGTTATTTGTATGTCTTATATTGACATAATATATTTATTTTATTCTTTTTTCCTCTTCTATTAGTATGATAAACTAGAAATTAATTATTTTTTTAAAGATTATCTTTGAAATATATATATATTTTACTTAAAAATCAAGCTCGGTAATCGAGCTCGAGCCGAGCCTGTCGGAAAGCTCGAACATTTTATAGGCTCGGCTCGAGCTCGGCTCGAGCTTGTATCGAGCTCGAGCCTAGGCTGACGAGCTCGCTCGAGCTCGGCTCGTTGACAGCCCTAGTGCATAGGGCCATTAAGGAGATGCCCACCGACAAAGCCCCAAGGCCAGATGGCTTCACTGGGATCTTCTTCAAAGTCTGCTGGGAAATCATCAAAGAAGACATTCTTCTAGTCTTAGACTCAATCTATAATCTCATATGTGCACATCTAAATCTGCTCAACTCCGCGAACATCGTCCTAATACCTAAGAAAGAAGGGGCTGAGGGGGTCGCGGACTACAGGCCAATTAGCCTCATTCACGGTATCGCCAAGATCTTCTCCAAGATGCTTGCGCTGCGGCTAAGGCCACACATGCATACGTTGATTTCGGTCAATCAAAGTGCCTTCATAAAAGGAAGAAGCATTCATGGCAACTTCCTTTTCGTAAGAAACAAGGCTAGAAGATACCACCGCTTGAAGCGAGCAATGCTGCTATTCAAGCTAGACATAACTAAGGCCTTCGATTCCATTCGCTGGGACTACCTTCTTGCCTTGCTATAGCAAAGGGGTTTCCCAACAAGATGGAGAGATTGGTTGGGGGCTATTTTCTCAACGTCAACTTCGCAAGTACTCCTCAATGGTTCGCCAGGGCAGCGAATTAAGCATGGCAGAGGCCTTAGACAAGGGGACCCCCTTTCACCACTGATATTCATACTTGCAATTGACTCCCTGCAACGAATCCTCTCAAAGGCAACAGAGCTCGGTGCAATCTCGAAGTTGTGAGGGAGAACGACCCGTCTGAGGACCTCGATGTATGCGGACGACGCAGTCATCTTCATTAACCCCACTCGAGGCGATGTCACGGCTTTTGCAGACATCCTACATCGCTTTGGCATTGCCATAGGACTCGTCACCAACCTTCAAAAATCCCAAGTGGCGGCCATCAGATGTGACACCATTGAGTTGACGGAGGTTCTTGAGGGCGTTCCGGCGATAAGAGCAAACTTCCCCATAAAGTACTTGGGCCTCCCCTTGGTACTGGGTAGATTACGAAAGGCGGATTTGCAACCTATCTTTGACAAAATCTCAGGAAGGATAACAAACTGGACAGGGAAGAACATGGCAGCAGCTAGAAGAACCACGCTTGTCAAATCTATGCTTACGGCACAACCTATCTATCTCCTGACTGCCTTGAAAACCACGAAGGAATCCCTTGAGCAAATAGACAAGCAGCGCCGTCGCTTTCTCTAGGCCGGAACGGGAGATATCACCGGAGGAAAATGTAAAGTCAATTGGAAAAAGACGTGCTTGCCAACCAGTCAGGGAGGATTGGGAGTCCTAGATCTAGAGAAATTCACGAGGGTCTTGAGGCTGCGATGGTTATGGCACGAGTGGAAGGATCCGACCAAGCCTTGGGTGGGACTGGAAACGCCCTGCGATGAAATTGACAGGAGTCTTTTCGCCGCCTCAACAAAGATAACAATTGGAGATGGGAACATGACGCGCTTATGGGATTCCGCCTGGATCGAGGGACAAAGACCCAAAGACCTCATGCCACTGGTCTATGCGATCTCTAAAAACAGAGGGAGGTCTCTTCGAAATGGAAAGGAGGAGGACGCCTGGGTTCAGGACCTGGCTCTAGAATCACACTCGCCTATTATAGTAGAACTAGTTGACAACTGGTTGCCCTGTGGGAAGCGGTCCGGAATGTCCACTTAGGCATTGGAGAACCGGACCAAATTACTTGGAAATTCACAAGTAGCGGACGCTACACGACCTCCTCGGCCTACCATGCGCAATGTCAAGGAACACCGAGCACAAGTTTCAACTCCTTAATCTGGAAAGCCTGGGCGCCGGGGAAATGCAAATTTCATGCTTGGCTCATCATTCAAAATAGAGTATGGACTTCAGATCGACTTGCGACAAGGGGATGGCAAAACAATGGGTGTTTGTCCTCTGCCACTGCGAGGCTGAGACGGCGCTGCATCTCATTGCCACTTGTAGATACACTAAAAGGATATAGGGCCTCGTTGCTGGACGGGTCGGCTACCAGCAGATTGAGCCGGCTCAATGGGAGGAGGCACTGTCAGTGCAACAGTGGTGGGAGAACCTTGCAAACATGCCAAATGCTCCGAAAAAAGGGCTCCGATCACTCATAATGCTAGTTGTATGAGAAATATGGAAAGAGAGAAATCGGCGAATCTTTGACCACAAAGAGGTGGCAACAAGTTTCCTCATGTCGAGAATCAAAGAATAAGCTAACCTTTGGGCTTTAGCGGGGGTAAAGCGGCTGCGCGAGTTAATCCCGCACTTTGTATAGTGTATAGCTGCAGGCTCCAGATTTTTTTTTCTTTTGCCCCTAGGGGTTGTATTTTCTCCTGCTCTATTCAATGAAAAGGCACTATAGTACTGTTTTTCGTTCAAAAAAAAAAGAGCTAACAGATTATTTTGTGTGTGGATTAGAGTACATGATCTGCAATTTGAAAAGCACAGCTGTCTCAAAAGAAGTCTAGAACTCTATATCAGTTCAGTAATTAAACTTGATAATTCTTTGGTTTTTTAGATAATGGAAATGGTATATAATGATTCTTTGTTCACCAAGAGATGAATTTTTTTGAAAGGATTCACCAAGAGATGAATTAATCTGCTTTTGACAAAATCAATGAATTGGGAGCGAAAATAAAAGTAAAAAAAAAACAGAAGCACGTTGGCTATGTTTTCAAGCTTCATGTAAAGTTTTAATTTAATCTAGGGATGATGTCTTAAAAAAATGAGCCTTTGTGCTTGTAAGTCAAGAAAGGTGCAGTCAATGCAAGCTATGGAACTTATAGGTCCATCTGTAAGCAAGGTGGGTACTCAACAAAGTCCACAGGAGACACCGTACGAATGCGACCATGGTATGTACGATACCATGGTGTATTGGTGTATACACACACATGCACCTAATATAACCCCAATCAAGTCCATGCTACACTGTTAAACTATCCCAAAAAGGTGCAGTCAATGCAATCAGTACTTGAATCAGTTAATACAATATATATTTTCAGGCAGAAAGGCTAGCTAGAATGCAATATATTTGCAGGTTAGAGAAAGTACCACACTTAGAGATAGGCACGCGACAATGGATCGAGTCAGCAGATAATATATATGCACCATACGAAGAGCAGTGTGCAGGAGTGTGAATGGCGAAGACCCTTTAGGATTGCAGTGTGAAGGCACACAAACCAGTGAGTTCGATCAGGCCGGCTTCAGTGTGACAGGGTGTATATATCTAGTCCAGATCTAGATAGATGAAACTACAGTATCTAATTCTTGAACCTATTTTTGAATGAACAAACTGCTTCCTGCAGAATTTCAGACTCACAGTTAACAACCAGGTTGGTGAGATTGAAATTAAAGGAGACAGAGATGTAGACACACAGCTCGTGTACATGCATGCATGGAGGCGTTTCATCAAACACCTTGCGCCTGCGGGAGAGGAGGAGAGGAGAGGATCCAAAAGGAAGGCAACTGAAGAAGAAGTTGTAAGGTGTGGTCTGCCGTCTGCGGCGGGGCGAAATGTGTGGTGTGGGCTAAAAAATGTAGGCCCCCTTTGAATTGGAGGGAAAATGGAGGAAAAACAAAGGAATTGAAATCCTACACTATTCATGCCTTTGATTCGTAGGAATGAGAAAAGGAAAAATGTAGGAAACTTTTCTATTCCTACAATTCTAGAGCAAAAACGTAGGAAATTTAACATCCACTCTAACCTCTTGGAAAACTTTCCCAGAGTCTATCTCTCTCATCTAATTCCTGCATTTTTCCTGTGGTCTAATCAAACGGTCATTCCTATATTTTTCCTGTGTTTTGCAATCCTCTGTTTTTACACTTGCATTCCTACCAAAATCCTGTGTTTTTCCTATTCCTCCGTTTTTTCAATCCTACGATTCAAAGGGGCCCGTAGTGTAGGAAGTAAGGCCCAAGGCCCATCCGATATCGACTCGACTCTTATCTGTGTGGGCCGTCGTCGTCTTCAACCCTCCTCCTCCTCGGACTAGGACTAGGACTCGGACTCTCCCCTTCCTCCTCCTCCTCTCTACCTCTACCTCTGTGTGGGCAGCCGCAGGAGGAGGCCGGCTGGGCTGCGCTGCGCGATGGAACCGGAGAGGGAGGCATCGTCGGAGTGGGGAGATGGTGTCGGGGTGCTGGGTTTCCGGGTGAAGGCGTCTTCGTGCGAGCCGGCGGCGCAGAAGGCGGCCAATGTGCTGTAGCCAGACCTGCGCTCCCACTGGTCCACCGCCACCAACACCAAGGAGTGGATCCTGCTCGAGCTCAGCGTGCGTACTAGCGACTTGTTGTTTCTTCCCCCTCTCTAACTAGGAGTCTCCTTCTCTAGCCCTGAATGAATTGCTGAATTTGCTGCTGCAGGAGCCGTGCCTCCTCTCCCACATCCGCATCTACAACAAGTCCGTCCTCGAGTGGGAGATCACTGCCGGCCTGCGCTACAACAAGCCAGATACCTTCGTCAAGGTTCGCCCGCGCTGCGAGGCTCCCAAGCGCGACATACTCTATCCTGCCAACCACACCCCTTGCCGCTACGTCCGCATCTCTTGTATGCGCGGCAACCCTATCGCCATCTTCTTCATCCAGGTAGGAGTAACTACTAGTATAACTTTTACTCTTCCTCCGGATATATTCCGAGTAATAAGTCACTCTTCTTCTTCAGCTCATTGGAATCCCTATACCTGGACTGGAACCTGACCTCCAGCCTCTAGTCAACTACCTATTGCCACATATCACTGCACACAAACAATCCTCTCAAAATATCCACCTCCAGGTTTGTTTCTTCTTCTTCTTCTTACTTCTGTCTGTGTCTTGGCAACATATAAGTTTCTTCTAATCATGCAATTTTTTTGATATTAGTTACTCAAAGACATTGCAAGCAGGCTACCACCATTTCTGCCCCAGATTGAGGTAAGCTTTCCGACTAGCATGCATCTCCCCATGTCCATGTATGGTATGTTGTGCCTTTGTTGTTTCCCTTTAATCGCCGCTGTCTATCTGAGTGCAGGCTGACCTCGCTAGTGTCACAGACACTCCAGACAGCAGTGTACACTTTTTGGCTCTGCTTGCTGGGCCATTTTATCCAATCCTCCAACTTACAAATGAAAGGTGCCAGTTCCTTGTTCAACATTCAACTGCATATCAATTATTTTTTTTATACTAAGCTCTGTGCTGTCCTAGATTATTTTTCGGACAGATTATGTGTTTGTGCAGGTTGCTGTACAGACATGTGTGCGCACACCTACATGCAAGCACTGCTATCTGAAACACCTTCTTATTTTACAGGGATTTTACTAAATCATTAATTAGCTCTGCTGATTCAGATGCTCTGAAAAGTAGTTTGGCTTCTACTCCAACGGTTTCTTCAAACTTTGAGGCATGTAGTTTTTTTCTTTCCAATGTACTTCTACCGCCTTTCTAGTTTCTGCATTGCACTATGATAATGTGAAATGTTATAGCTGATATATGCTGAAAGAGTGAAAGCTTTGATTAAATGGTGCTGTTGCACTTGCTGCTTTAGTAACACACAATTTTCATTTGTGTGAAGTGTCTGTAAGACCTAACCTTAATCTTCAGCACATTGTTTTCTCGAGAGACTACGGGAATTCATAGTGCTAACTAAGGGTATAGACACCTGGCTCCTTTAGACCTTACCTTGAACTATAGGAACAGAAGCTAATGGCAGGATGCATCCCACAGTGACATAATAAAATTAGATAGGTTTTATGGTTGGATCCAATAGACAAAAAGTCCTTCATGACTATTACTCTGTAGGCTGCAATATCTATGTAAGATTTGACTTAATGAAAACTAAGAAACACAAGTTGTTTCTTTTTTGAAACCAAAAGTAGTATCATGTAAATCATCCACATTTTCTTATATTTTACTGGAGCTTTCTGTATTCCATAAAAACCATCATGTAAACCAATAAGACAATTTGGGATGGTTGGTCAATATTATAAATTATTCCCTACATTCCAAAATATAAGGCTCAACCACCCTTAACCCAAAAACCAAGATATTATCACATCATAGTTTGGATCATCCTAATCCTATATACTTATAGTTCATCCCCACTAAGTGTAGTTAATGCTATTTCTCTCTTCTCTCATGAAGCCACATCACAATTATTTCTAGCCTTTGGATGATAGATCTATGGTACACATAGTCTCTTCTTTCTTCTCTCATAAAACCATGCAATCTCAATTTTTAGGCTCAAAATTCATAAGTATCAATTACATAAAATATGTTCACCTTGCACTATATTGGAACCATTTTTAGGAGGTCATTTTGTTTTGGTTATAAAATATATTGTGGCTTATTTGTACATATTATACAACTTAATTTCCCACAGAAAGACGGCGGGGTATTTATCTAGTAAATATCATGCATGCACCCAACAGAATTAAAGATCTTGAGTATGGAGGATTTAAAAAATAATAATTTAGTGGGAAAGAAGTGCTAGTTAATAGCATGCATTCATTCCTTATATTATGAAACATCTCGAAAAAGTAGTTGCGCCTTATATTATGGAATGGAGGGAGTAGTAAATTATTACTACCTCCATCCCAAAATATAACAACTTTTGGTTATGTATCTTGGGACAGAGGGAGTAGTTATCACCTACTTCCTCCATTTCATATTATAAATCATTTTGGGTTTGTCCTAAATCAAACCTCTTTTGTGACCAAGCTTATAAGAAAATATAGCAACATTTCCACAAAATAAATATACTACAAAAATATATTTAATGGTGAATTTAATGAAACTAATTTGGTGCTTTAGATGTTAGTACACTTACCTATAAACTTGGTCAAACTTGAAGAGGTTTGACTTGACAAAACCGAAGTGACATATAATATGAAACCGAGGGAGTATTTAGGATTTATGCGTTTTTCATATGGGCATTTATCTTAATTGCTCCTTTCAGTTTCTGAATTCTTTGATTCCCTCCAGGCACAACCTAGGAGATCACGGAGTCCATCTTCTGTTCAGCCTGCTTGTTTTCTGGCATTTCGATCTGAAACAGCCGTACTGCTCTTAAGGAAAGCACACAGAGACAGAGCCCTTGGAATTGTTTGCCTGAAAGTAGGTTCTTTGATGTCCTTTTCCTTTCTTATTGATTACAAACTCTTCCCCTCAGAGGGTTTTCATGACATGTATTTATTTTGAAATTAGGCATCAAAGGTCCTGCAAGAACTTCTGGAGCCCGATCCATTGTTAGATGATGCTTCTGACCAAGTACTTTGTACAGACTACTCTAGTTTGTTTGGAGATGAATTTAGCTTATCGGAGAATCGCTTTGATGCCTCTATTCTGAACATTTTGGATATTGCTGCTGTTGAAGAAGGCATTCTTCATATACTATATGCAGCTTCATCACAGGTTCTGTCTGAACTCTGAAGTTGTATCTTTGTATATATTTTCAGTTCCTCTGCATTTACTTTCTGTTTTTTTTTTTCTAGAACACCTTTATAACCTTTTTGGTTTCAATTGTAGCCTCTGTTATGTTGCAAGCTTGCTGAGAAAGGTTCAGACATGTGGTCTGTCTTACCACTTGTTCAAGCTCTGCTTCCAGGTATTAAGTGGAACATATATACACTTGTGCTTTATATTTTTTACTTTTTGATCCAAATGGCCAAAAAAAATGTGAATAGATAGAACATTTGTTACCAAATAATGTACATATTCCCCCATGCTCATTCATATCTTATCCTATATATACCAAGTGATGACAGGCCTCTGCCAACTGGTGTAACATAATGACACCTTTGTTTTTGTGAATTTTCTGGGATTTATCCTTTGGCCTCTCCGTTGGCATGGGCCTAAGGCTTTGGGATGATTGTAATTAACTGCCTAACTTCACCCATTCGTTGAGTTAGAGAAGGGGAATTCCTGCAGTTGCATAAGCGTACAACACAGATGGCTTTGTTGACTGGTGTCACTGATAGTATGCTTTTTCTCTCTCGTGTTCCTGTAGCACTTCGTCCTCCACTTAGCCCTGGTTCTACTGAACAGATTGATGGTTGTCTTAGCCAATGGAATCATCCAAATGTTCATAAAGCTCTCTCTCAGGTACCTGAATTGGCACTATTTTATTAGCTTTGTCATGCATCACGGACATCACTTAATATTCCTCAAGTTAACTGTTTCTGCAGATTGCTACAATGTCAATGTCATCATCAGTTCTTCATCCTCTTCTCAGAGCCTGTGCTGGTTATCTTTCATCCTACCTGTCATCACATGTTTGTTACATAACTCTCTCCTACAAAAATATCCCATTTCTTCTGAAAATTAGTGATGTCTCTTATTTTCATTGTTAGGCAAAAGCAGCCTGTGTTTTGCTTGACTTATGCAGGGGACCATTATCACCATGGGTACCCATGATCACAGCAAAGGTTTCTTTTTATGATTTTTCCCCACACTTATTTCTACAATCCATATCTTTTTCACAACCTTGTATACTCTTTAAACAGGTAGACCTTGCCATTGAACTTCTGGAGGATCTCCTGGGTATTATCCAGGTATGTACAAGTTAAAAAAAAACCTTAGCATGGCATAATTTATGTTAACCTTTGATGCATGTAATCTGGCATATTTCTATATTGAGTAAGTTGCCCACGCATTATAAGAACACTTGGCTGGCTTGAGTTTTATTTTGCATGTCGCTGAAGATATGTGTGGTATGTAATCTGGATCCTCTTGGACAAAAGTACACAGCGAAGTCAGGTCTGGATGCACCACCATACTCTACTATTGGAATATCAATCAAGTGATCAATCAACTACCTGCAGTGCTCTTCCCTAAGCTCAGCAATTCTATTCCTGTTGTGTGTTTCTAGTAAGATTTTTTAGTGGATAGTCACCTTCTTGTCGTATGCACAATTGTGCATATCTTCTGTGTATCCTGGAGTGGACAGCAGCATAGATGATAGATGGCACATGCAGAAGTGTCTGTATCATCATGGCAGAGTGCATGGCAATGGACCATGTCCGTCGAGTATGCTGACCCTGCATCTTGAGCATAACATATCCCAGGTAGAAACGTGAGCGATGTGAAAACATCGAAAAAGTCCGGATAATATTTTTGCAAATCCGAAGTTGACACGTGCTAGCGTTGACATGGGCCTCCTAGGTATCAACCAATGTTATCTGCTGATGTGGAAAAAATCATGCGTGGCATGCTCTATGATAAAAACACGCTACCTGACCAGTCTTTTTCACCTGGAGGCTCATTTTCAAATTCTTGCACCAGATTCTACCCATCTGCCAAGTTATTAGAGCATACATAATTTACTCTTCTGTATCTTACCATACTTCTATAGGATTGACACTTTTGTACCAATAACTAATAAATAAAGAAATCAATTCTTCAATTTATTTATTTTTTATTTTGGGTTGACTCTTGAAGGCATTTAGATATACGATGTGTGAAGGTGGTATGACAATATTGGTCATGTTTTCTCACTACAAAAGGAGTATTTTACCATGACTATGCGCCTTTCCTTTTTGCCATCCTAAGTTAATATAGATGATTTGCTTTGTTACTTCAAGTCATGATTTACCCAAATTTATGTGGGATCAAATGGTTTTGTTTCTTTTAATGTTTTTCAGGGAGTTGGTCAATCTCTTACTCGTTCTCGTGCAGCACTGAAGTATATTGCATTGGCCATATCTGGCCATATGGATGATGTTCTCACAGAATATAAAGTACATTCATTTTTCCTCCTGAAAGTGAGCTTTTCCTTGGTGATTGGTTTGTTTTACAGACTCCTTAACTTGTATTATGTAAATTTACCTACTCTCAGGACGTCAAACATAAGTTACTTTTCATTCTGGAGATGCTAGATCCTTTTATTGATCCTTCTGTAAGTGTTATGACAGATGCAATGGCATTTGGTGATGTGTCTGTTGTGCATTTGGAGAAGCAAGCAAGCGCTTGCAATATTTCGTTAAATATTATCCGTACAGCAGTGAAGAGGCCTGCTGTTCTCCCTTCTTTAGAACTTGAATGGCGTCGTGGTGCTGTTGCCACAAGGTTGGTGAACTCTATATGTTTACATGCTTATCATAAATTTGCCATTAAGATTGATCTGAACTTGTCATGGTTGATGAGAACCAGAATAGTACTGTCATTATTTAATTGTGACTTCCTCTGGTCACAAAATTCTCCATTGGAAGCATGCAATTGAACTTCATCATTGCAGAAAAAAAGAATACCTTGGAGGAACTAGTTTTGCCTTTAGCTAATAAGAAAGATATGCACCCAAGTTTGAACCAAAGAGGACTTGGGATGTATCATAGAACCTGGTAAACCGTGTGACTTTAGCATGCACATATGATTGACGGCTTAAACATTAAAGCATTTCTCTAGCTCAGACCTACTTTGTATGCTGGTAAAAACATGCTAAATCTAGATTTGATTTGCAGTGTTATTCTCTCTACCTTGGATCCGCATATGCCACTCCCTCCTGACATAGATCTCTGCAAAAGTTCAATGCCTGAGATTGATCAAATATCTCTGATAGTTCCAAACTGTCCACCGCACTCCTGCAGTGCTGAAGATGCTGATGGGCGTGATACATCTGAAACAACTCCCAGGGCAGATATTCTTGAACAGTGCAATTCTTTATTTGCTCCAGAAGAATTAGAGCAATCTGAGTTGACAAAGACTTTGGAAGAAAAAAAGCATGAGAAAATAAGTACAGATTTGGACCAGAACTTCCCAGAGGACACAAAAAGTAATGGAAAATTACCAGCTGGCCTTTTTCAGTTAGATAATATTTTTGCTACTGATTACTATGATGCACATGCTGATTATCTGCAGCTGGTGAACTATCAGGACTGTGAATTAAGAGCTCTAGAATTTCAGCGCTTAGCACTGAATCTATGCACACAACAAGAACCTACAGTTGAGGGGCATAATGCTGGAATAGATGCTTTTCTGTTAGCTGCTGAATGCTATGTTAATCCACTCTTTCTCTTGGATTTCCATTCTAATTCGGAGTCTTTGGATGAAATTGAACGTATTCATGCAGAATTGATCCAAGGAAATTGTTTCTCTGAGGCGAAACATCTGCGTGCTAAAGATATTGATCTCATGAAAATTTATAATTTGGAGAATAAACGAGATAAAGCGGTCCTGGATTTACTCATGCAAGCTGCAAGATATGATTTTGAATACCAGGGAAAGATACCTGATGGGAAACCTTTTCCAGATGATGTTGAAGATGGCAAGCAATATATAGAAATTTCACCAGAGGCTAGACACCTTGCTGATGCTGTAACTTTGGTCAGAAAGAACCAGGCTATGCTTTGTCACTTTATCATGAAACAATTTGAAAAGAAAGGACACTCTCCTAACGAAATTCTCCTCCAGAGCTTGTTGTTCTTGTTGCACTCAGCAACTGATCTATTTTGTCCACCAGAGAATGTGATCGATATCATATTGAAATCCGCCGAAGATCTCAATGGAAAACTTGTATGTCTTTACAATTCCGTTAATGCAAGGAATAATAAATTGGATAGAATAAAACTACATTATCTACGAAGACGTTGGGCACTGCTCCAGAAGCTGGTTCTTGCTTCGTCTGGCAGTGATAATACTAGAGAACTTGTCAGCATTAAAAGAGATGGTTTCCGTTTTAAAAGTCTGGTTCCTCCATCAGCATGGATACATAAGATATCAGATTTTTCCAGGTCTTTTAGTCCACTACCTCGATTTTTTGGATGGATGGCAGTGTCCCGTTATGCCAAGGAATATTTAAATGAGCAGCTATTTCTTGCCTCTGACTTCTCACAGCTTACATCTTTGCTGTCAATTTTCACCGATGAACTTTCTTTGATGGGTGGTGTTACTACTCAGAAGGCCAAGTCTGCTAAAATTGAACAATCTGGTTGCAATAACTATGTGCTTCTTAAGAAGGAACCTTTGCTGTCAGACCAACCAAGCATGAGATTGTTTCAGATTTTACTTCCTGAACTGCATTTCTTCTTTCCGAGTATGAGCAAAAAGTTTGATGCATTTGGCCAAAGCATTTTGGAAGCTGTTGGGTTACAATTAAAATGTCTCCCAAAAAGTGCAGTGCATGATGTTCTTTGTTGGTTTTCAGAAATGTGCCTGTGGCCTTATCTTGGAAATATTAGGGAGCATCTTGCATTTGCAAACGGAGTTAATAGTTTAAAAGGAAACATTGCAGCTAAGGCAAAGGCTGTTGTTTTCTACCTACTTGAGTCAATTGTCGCTGAGCACTTGGAAGTTATTGTTCCTGAAATGCCACGGATGGTGCACATTCTTGTGTCACTTTGTAGAGCTTCTTACACTGATGTAGCTTTCCTTGATTCTGTGCTGTGCCTAATGAAGCCAATGATCTCACACTTCTTAAGGAAGAGTACTGATAATGGAAATGTATCAGGTGATATTACTGAATGCAGTGATTTTGAGTTACTTTGTTTTGAAGAGTTATTTGAAACAATACAGTTTGGTAAACAATCAGAGGATACACCTGGCAATAAGAACCAGGTGCCCTTTCTCATATTCATTCTGGGTTCGCTATTTCCTGATCTGTCCTTTAAGAGGAGGATTGAGATATTAGGCTCATTATTAGTATGGGTAGACTTCGGCAGTTCTGATCCATCATCATTGTTGTGTAGTTATCTACAAGGCTTTCAGGCATTTATTGATGGTTGTGAAACTATACTAGTTCAGAATATTGAATTATTTGGTATGCATGTCCTTTCTGAGAGAAACCAGTCTACAGAGTTTGCTAACTCCGCAAGTCCAGATGACACCATGGATAACAAGAAAGCACAGGCCAGTGTAGCACAGGTACAGAGGAGGTCCACAGAATATCATGAGAATGGTGAAAATTCTAAGGGAGTTGATTCCCCACATACTGTTTGTATTAAAGAATTTTGTGGTGCCCTGGAGAGGTTAGTGTCAAACCTTGCACCATCTATTGAGGGCAGTTGGAAATGGCACCTTCAGTTGGCCTCTAGGTTATCTTTATCGATTGCAAAATGTTTGCTGTATGCAAAATGCCTAAAGTCTATTGCCGAAGGAGGTATGATCTATAGTAGCATCAAACAAGAGGTTGGTACTGAAATATCCACTGATCTTTCCTAAAAACACTGGGAGAGTGCTCTCCAAGGTCTCGCAGAAACCATTTTAGTAAATCAGAAGAAGCAGTGCTGGCAGGTGGCATCAGTTATGCTCGATTATATGATTAAGCTTCCAAATATTCTTGCTTGGGATAATGTTCTTAATGTCATGTCTTCTGCAATGAAACACCTCTGCTCTCATGCACCCAGGATATCTTGGAGGCTTCAGACAGAGAAATGGTTATCAATATTGGTTTCTTATGGAATTGAAGGCCTTAAGAACAGTGAGAATTCATTGATTGATCTTTTCTGCACATTGTTGAGTCATGCTGAACCAGAACAGCGCTCTGTTGCATTGCAGCAACTTGGGAGGATTATTATGAGTACAACTAAAGTTGATTATGAATATACTACTTATAAGCAAAATTCACTCTCATCTGGTTCAACAGTAACATCCCTTTTGGTTACTCATACCTGGGACCGAGTAGCAGCATTGGCTTTCTATGATTCTTCTATGTTATTAAGGAAGCATGCATTGGCTTTGCTTACTGAATACATTCCATTTGTTGATAGAAATCATCTACAGTCCTTTCTTGGATCCAGTAACAGCATCCTTAATGGTGCGGAACAATTTTCTTATGCAATAGAACAGGGGTATTTGACACGAATGTCTTTGCTGTTGCTTTCAAGGGCGTGTCTCTATTCTGCTCCTGAAGATATTGCTTTAATACCTGAATGTGTTTGGAGAAAACTGGAAAATATGCAAACATCAATACCTGGTAAATTTATGCTCCTTAACAATCTGCACTTTCTTTTTTGCATAAACACATGTAAATTATGTTGTACATCCTTTCAAGATCAATAACTACCAATTAACCATGCATCTAACTTTTTTATGTCTTACTAGGATGCTTTGGTGATATGGAGAAAGATCTCTGCCGAGCACTGTGTCAACTAAGAAGTGAATCTGATGCTAAAAGTGTAGTGCTCTCTCTCTCTCTCTCTCATACCTAAAAGTTATTTTAATATCTTAAAAATCAGTTCTGTGGTTGAGTTGATACCATAGCACGACAAAGGGAAGTAGCTTCAGTAGAATTTTGTACATGTCTGTCAGCAGCAATACTGCTTCCAGGGAGTTGCCGTTGTCTGACTAAGCACAGGAGAACACAATTACTAGGCCGCTGAAGCGAGCTACTAGAATTAAGAAGTCTAATGTTCGTCTGAGTGGGCCTGAATGGGCTTGTAAGTAATAGCTGGCTATGGCTCTGTCGACAGCCTGGCTGGGACCCAGCAACCAGTGAGAGAGAGTGTGTTGAATATAAACAAAACTTGTAAGAACAGAAAGGTATCTTTGGAGATCAATCGAACGGCGGCGTTGGCGGCGGAGGCGATGCGATCTCGTTGATCGTATCGATAATTCTTGTTCTTGAGTGAGCTGATCGAGAGATTGCGAGAGAATCCTAACAACTTGGTATCAGAGCTTCGTGATCCTCGGAAATCCTTGATTCCGCTGTAAAATTCTTGGGCAAGGATTGGATCGCTCTTGAGTGAATCCGCGAAAAGGCTACCCAGCCTTGCCTTGCTTGAGTTGGTGGAATTCGGGAAGAGTTGATCACTTGATCTGAAACCCTGGAGAAACCACGATTTGTGACGAAGCAGACGGCCAAAATCATGGAGAATGAGGCTAAGCTTGACCTTCTGTTGAAGAAAATGGAGGAGACAGAGCGCAAGCGAGAGGAGGGTGAGAAGAAGCAGAGTTTGGAGATGAGGGTCTTCAAGGAGGCGGTAGAATCGTGGATCCCTGCGGTGGAGAAGAAGGTGGATGTCCTTCAGTCCACTGTGGATATGCTACAAACCCAAGTAGCGAAACTCTCTGCTCCACCTCCAACAAATTCGGCGACTCCTTCCTCTTCGTCGCCATCCGGAGCGGCAGGTGTTCGAGCAATTGACTCTACCGGCTTAAATGGCCAAGGCGCTGCAAATTCTACACGGGAGGAGGCTGATGGGGTATTCAATACCCCAAAGCCACCCCCGGGCAATGGTACGCTTGCGTCACAAAATTTTTCTCCATTCCATTGTCGAGTTGATGCTTCTGCCATGAATTCTTTCCAATCTGGAACATCTGTTGGGTTGACTGGTGGGGTAGCTCCTATGACTTGCCCAAAATTTGATGGAGATAACCCAATCATGTGGAAAGTTAACTGTGAATCTTATTTTGATCTCTATGGAATCCATCCAATTAACTGGGTTAAGGTTGCCACTCTTAATTTCACTGGGAATGCAGCTTTTTGGTTGCAAGCTGTTAGATCACAATTAGAGGGGGTGACCTGGGAGGAGCTATGTGATAGGGTGTGCACTAGGTTTAACAAAGATAGACAACAGGCTCTTATCAGACAATGGTTTAAAATTTGTCAAACTGGCACAGTAGCTGATTATGTGGAAAAATTCGATTCCATCATGCACCAGTTAATGGCTTATGACCCCACTTTCAAACCTGTTTACTTTGTCACCAAGTTTGTGGAAGGCTTAAAACATGAAATCCGGTCTGCAATTCTTCTTCAACGTCCTGGCGACCTGGATGCTGCTTGCACTCTTGCATTTTTGCAGGAGGAGGCGCTTGAAGGTGATAAGGGCATTGACATCAAGAAAGGTGAAGGCTCTGGTTCTGCCAAGCACTCTGTGAGAGTTGCATTGCCATTACCTACCCCTCCAACTGTTAAAGGGGGCTCTCCTTCCTTTGCTGAAGAAAGACGAATTTCTGACAATGGTAGATCCCAAAACCGTGAAATGGATAGATTGGCTACACTGAAGGCTTATCGGAGGTCGAAGGGATTATGTTTCACTTGCGGGGAGAAATGGGGTCGAGAACATAAGTGTGCTTCTTCCATTCAATTACATGTAGTTCAAGAACTATTGGCTGTTTTGCAGGGCCCTGACATCAGTTCAGAAGAGTTTATAGTTCAGTCTGATGATAGTTTGATGGCTATTTCAATTCAGGCTATCAATGGTACTGAATCTAATCATTCTATTAGATTGAGGGGCTGGTTACAGGGTATTGAGGTGCTTATGTTGGTGGATTCTGGCAGTACCCACTCTTTTGTTGATCATCAGCTTGGATTGAAGCTAACTGGAGTTAAATCTATGGCTTCTCCTGCAAGAGTTAAGGTGGCTGATGGTGGGCATCTCAATTGTTCTCTGTATGTGAATAACTGTGATTGGTTAACTCAAGGCATTCATTTCAAGAGCAATTTCAGATTGCTGTCTTTGGGCACCTATGATGTCATCTTGGGTATGGACTGGTTAGAACAATTTAGTCCCATGAAAGTGGACTGGGTTCAAAAGTGGTTAGAATTTCAGTTTCAGGGATCTACTGTCAGATTGCAAGGTATTCAGTCCCATATTTCTAGCTGTCTTCCTATCACCCCTGATCAATTGACTGGGTTACTGAAATCAGGCAGTGCCTTGTTCTTGATCCACTTAGACAGCAACCATACATCCCATATTACTACAATTCCTGCACATGTGCAGCCACTACTGGATGAGTTTCAGTCTGTCTTTCAGGAACCTACTGAATTACCACCTAAGAGGTTGTGTGATCACAAGATTCCTTACTTCCTGGATCCAAGGCAGTGTTCATTCGTCCATATCGTCATACCCCAGCTCAAAAGGATGAAATCGAAAGACAAGTTAAAGAAATGTTGCAGAATGGCATTATACAACATAGTTCCAGTCCCTTCTCTTCTCCTGCCCTATTGGTTAAAAAGAAGGATGGCTCTTGGAGAGTATGTATCGATTACAGACAGTTGAATGCCATTACTAAGAAGGGAACCTACCCAATGCCAATAATTGATGAGTTACTGGATGAATTAGCTGGAGCTAAGATTTTTTCTAAATTGGATTTACGAGCTGGATATCACCAAATTAGAATGGCTGAGGGTGAAGAATTTAAAACTGCCTTTCAAACACACAGTGGTCACTATGAGTATAAAGTCATGTCATTCGGTCTCACTGGAGCCCCTGCTACGTTTCAAGGTGCTATGAATGATACCTTGAGACCCTTGTTAAGGAAATGTGCCCTGGTCTTTTTTGATGATATTTTGATATATAGCCCTGATATGAATTCTCATCTAGACCACCTCAAACAAGTTCTGCAGTTGTTAGACACTCATCAGTGGAAGGTTAAACTGAGTAAGTGTGACTTTGCTCAAACTCAGATTTCTTATTTGGGGCATATTATCAGTGGTCAAGGAGTCTCAACTGATCCTTCTAAGATACAAAGCATTGTTGATTGGGCAGTACCTACTACACTCAAGAAACTCAGGGGTTTTTTGGGGTTGGCCGGATATTATAGGAAATTTGTTAAAGATTTTGGTACTCTCAGCAAACCCTTGACACAGTTGCTCAAGAAGGATGCCCCTTTTGTTTGGTCAGCTGAAGTGAACCAAGCTTTTCAAGCTTTAAAACATGCCCTTACTTCAACTCCAGTATTGGCTCTCCCTAACTTCCAGCAAGGTTTCACCATTGAAACAGATGCTAGTGACATTGGCATAGGGGCTGTTTTATCTCAAAATCAGCACCCTGTTGCTTTTGTTAGTAAGGCTCTTGGTCCTAGAACTCAAGGTCTTTCCACTTATGAGAAAGAATGTTTAGCAATCATGATGGCAGTTGATCATTGGCGGCCATATTTGCAGTTTCAAGAATTCTTGATCATTACAGACCATCATAGCTTGATGCACCTCACTGAACAGCGGCTCCACACCCCTTGGCAGCAGAAAGCATTTACCAAGCTTTCGGGATTACAATTTCAGATTGTTTACAGGAAGGGTAAACATAATGCTGCTGCTGATGCATTGTCTCGACATGTTCCTGAGGAAACCTCTGAATTTTTAGGAATCTCAACTTGTTCTCCAGTCTGGTTGCAAGATATCCTTCATGGTTATGATCAGGACCCATTGGCTCTTTCTTTACTTACTGGGTTGGCTGTTAACCCCTCTTCTTATCCTCACTACTCTCTGTCTAAAGGACTTATTAAACATAAAGGCAAGGTGTGGGTCGGTAACAATTCCAACATCCAACAACAGATCATTTCTGCCCTTCATGATAGCCCTTTAGGAGGTCATTCTGGATTTCCAGTAACTTACAAAAGGATCAAGTCTCTTTTCTCTTGGCCACATATGAAGCTCACTGTTCAAAAGCAATTAGCTTCTTGTGCTGTTTGCCTTCAAGCCAAGCCTGACAGGTCCAAATATCCTGGGTTATTACAACCTCTTCCTGTGCCTGACGGTGCCTGGCAGATAATATCAATGGATTTCATTGAAGGTCTGCCTAAATCATACCACCAAGATTGCATTCTGGTTGTTGTTGATAAGTTCTCTAAGTATGCACACTTTATGCCCTTATCTCATCCTTTCTCAGCCTTGGATGTTGCTAAAGTATTCATGCTGAATGTTTATAAGCTTCATGGATTACCACAGATCATCATTTCTGACCGTGATAAGATTTTTACTAGTGCATTATGGGAGCAGTTATTCCTGAGGTCTGGCACTAAATTGCATTTATCTTCAGCTTATCACCCGCAATCCGATGGACAAACTGAGCGAGTTAACCAATGCTTGGAGATATTTCTGCGTTGTTTTGTTCATGCCACCCCAGCTAAGTGGTCTCTTTGGTTACACCTTGCTGAATTTTGGTACAACTCTTCTTACCATTCGGCATTGAATAAGACTCCTTTTGAAGTCTTGTATGGTTATCCTCCTTCTCACTTTGGTATTCGAGCTGATGCCTGCGTCATTTCTGACTTGGATTCTTGGCTGTCTGAAAGGCATTTGATGACTCAACTGCTTCGACAGCATTTGAACAGAGCACAGCAAGTTATGAAAACACAAGCTGACAAAAAGCGCAGTTTTCGCTCTTTTCAGGTGGGGGATTGGGTTTTTCTTAAACTGCAGCCTTATGTGCAATCTTCGGTGGCAAAAAGAGCCAATCACAAGCTCTCCTTCCGTTATTTTGGTCCTTATCAAATCTTGTCCAAAGTGGGATCGGTGGCTTATAAATTGCAGTTACCAGCAGATAGCATGGTTCACCCGGTTTTTCATGTCTCGCAATTGAAAGGAACTCAGAACTTTAAGCACTCCATTCAGTCTCAATTGCCCAACATTACAGATCATATTCAGTATCCTGTTCAGATCTTGGATACAAGGATACAGAAGAAAGGTAACAAAGTTGTCCGTCAAATTCTTGTTTGCTGGTCTAATTTGCCTGCAGTGGAAGCCACCTGGGAAGATGAAGAAGAGCTCAAGCAGCGTTTCCCTTCTGCACTGCCTTGGGGGCAAGTCAGTCTTCAAGGGGTGGGGTTTGTCAGCAGCAATACTGCTTCCAGGGAGTTGCCGTTGTCTGACGAAGCACAGGAGAACACAATTACTAGGCCGCTGAAGCGAGCTACTAGAATTAAGAAGTCTAATGTTCGTCTGAGTGGGCCTGAATGGGCTTGTAAGTAATAGCTGGCTATGGCTCTGTCGACAGCCTGGCTGGGACCCAGCAACCAGTGAGAGAGAGTGTGTTGAATATAAACAAAACTTGTAAGAACAGAAAGGTATCTTTGGAGATCAATCGAATGGCGGCGTTGGCGGCGGAGGCGATGCGATCTCGTTGATCGTATCGATAATTCTTGTTCTTGAGTGAGCTGATCGAGAGATTGCGAGAGAATCCTAACAATGTCTCTAATACTGATTACTGATTGCATACCTGTTCCCTTAGGTCGTAAAAGAACTTCTCACGGAATCTACTGCGAAACCAGTCGAAACTGATTTTAAGGGCATCCGTGAATCGATTCTTCAGGTCATATTCTTTAGGGCACTCTATTGTTGGCTATCTTTCTTCTTTCTTGCTTGATCCTCTGCCTTCAAACATCACTGCTTATAGTTCAAAAACTCAAACTAGGTTGTCAGTGCTGACTGCTGACTGTGCTTGCACAGTTAAACTGTACAACATAAATGACAATACTTGCAAATTAGCTAACTAGTTCTCCTAATTGAGCCAAATGAGCATCTATTTTTAGAATTTGATAATGACAGGATCAGTGCAATTACTTTGCCCAAATGAATAATTCTTGATGACAACTATTATTGTTGTGGATTTTTTATTCGTCATGCAATCAATAGGCACAACTGGTCCACTGCAGTGTGCTTGTATTATAGTTTCTTTGTTCAAAAGGTTATTATCTCTATACCAGAAGATGCTGTAAATTATATTTCCTGATCTTGTCAGTGCTGGTCTATCTCGATTCATGATTCTCTCTTTTATAGGTGCTGTCCTCTTTGAGTTCTGTTGAATCATACTTTGAGTTCTTCTCAACAAGATCTGATCAGGAATATCAGGTTAGAAATGCAACAAGGGCTTTCCTTTTGGGCCTTTGTTTTGAACACCTTATACTGACACTTGGTTAATCATAACATTAAGGAACTTGAAGAAGCAGAGATCGAATTGGAGATTGTTAAAAATGAGAAAGCACGTCACAGCTTTATTGTACATCCCCAGGACACCATGATTCCGGACATGTCATCATGTAAGACTAACGACTTTTAAGGCATCCTTTCATTAACGATGTACTTTTGATGTGTTATGATATTATTCTATTTCCAGACTATAAGGATGGTAATGAGGTTAATAAGCAGCTCCAGCAAATTCAGGAAGATATACGGTCCTTGTAAGTCCTGAACTCCTGATTTGTTTCAACTGAACTATTTTTCTGTCATGGTAATAGACCAGCCCTGCCAAGCCCTTTAGGGGGCTATGGCCTATGGGCAATAATATATGGTCCTGCCCAGTCAGCATGTCATGCGCTCATGCCTGGCTTTTGATCGTTCCTTTTGGGTATGATGAGTCTCAAGTGGTTGGATATTGGTTCAATTGTTCAACGTCTAAAAATACTGATAAGAGAAGAAACCAGCCTACTAATGAGTAAATAGGCTCAATTTGTCCCATAGAGTATACTTTCATGAAAATAGAAAGTACATTACTTTCCTATATTATACTTCATTTGGATTTTTTTTTAAAAAAAATAACTATACATGTTGTAGACCACTAAAAAGCTAAAAAAAAATAACACCTGTGATTTTCTCCAGGAGGCACGGATTGTCTGCTAAGGTGAACTAAAGTTCTACTAATACATGTTTGCTTTCTGGATTTTTTTTTTGGAATTGCTCGATAAGCTTCTATATAATACTGCCTTAGCTCTAGTTCCTTGTAAAATTCTTTATTATCTTTGTGAAATGTCCTTTTTTTCACCAATTTGAATTCTAGAAGAATTTCAAATTTAGTGCTAGTCTTATTTATAGACTTATAGTTTGTGTTCTTCTTCAATAGGGAAAGGTCCAAACTCAGGGAGGAAATTATAGCACGCAGACAAAAGAAGCTGCTTATCCGACATACTCGTGAAAAATACTTGGAGGAGACTAGTTCAAGGGAAATGGAGCTTTTGCAAGAACTTGACAGGTTTAGAGTTGTTGCCTTTGTCATTTAGCATGTCAGAAACAATATAAATGTTCCTATCCCTATTTCTTTGTTGTGTTATCTGTATAGGGAAAGGGCTCATGAGATGGAACGTGAAATCGAAAGACAGCGACAACTGGATCTTGAGCGCGTTAAGTCTAGGGAACTGCAATTTAACCTCGATATGGAAAGAGAAAAACAAACTCAGGTGCCAGAATAGTTTACTCTTATGCACATATTTTTAGATGAACAAGAATCTTTGTATTTCTCTTTGCACTCTGTGCTTAGTATATGACTATGGGCCTGTTCAGATTGTAGCAAAAATAAACTTTACCAAATTTTGGCGATGCCAATACTTTGGCAATTTGGCAATATTGCCAAGTTTTTGTAGGATTTCTTATGTATTTACTAGAGCTTGGTAAAAAAAACTAAATGGATGCACATATTTTGCAGCTTTAAAAAAAATTGGTATGGTTTGAAATGGTATCAATCTGAACTAACCCCTATATGTATATGTGTTCCTATGTTGTGGTGGGTGGGTTCACTTCATATTGATAGCGCATGTTTATTTGATGTTTCGCCACATCCTTTGTGGCTAGTAATTTAGGGTGAAGTATCGTAGGTTTTGACGATACTCAACATTTTGCATGAATTTGATATTTCTTGCCATGTCATATACTGATTGCTTTTGTAGAGAGAGCTTCAACGAGAATTGGATCAAGTTGAGTTGGGGCGGTCATCAAGGCGGGAGTTTTCAGCCAATACTAACAGGTGTGTTATGCTGGTAGGCGGTTGCCTCCCTCATTGTCTCACCATACTGCTTCTGATGAAACTTCACTTGACATGTTTGTTACCCTTGCCATGTGTGTGATGTGATGGGTGTTTTTGCAGCCGGTCTAGGGAGAGATACCGTGAAAGGGATAACGGTAGGGGACAGCAGGAAGGAAGGAGCCGAGGTGGAGGAGGAGGGGTGGAGGCCGGTGGGTCTGCGACAAGATCATTTTCAGGCAACCTTCCCACAATACTGCAGCAACCTCGAGAGCGTACTACGAGTGACGAGCGTACTAGCACAGGAGGAAATTATTATGAGGAGAATGCTGAGGGAAGTGGTGACGCCAGCAGCGTCGGAGATCCAGAATCAGCGGCGGCTTTGGAAGCTGGCACGAGGCATACTCCTTCTCGGGGCAGCAAGTCGTCGTCCTCAACCTCAACCTCAACCTCAAGGCAGGTTGTAGTAGAACGCAGGGAGCGTCGAGAAGGGAAATGGGAGAGGAAGCATTCTTGAGCAGGTTGTGGTCAAATTGGCTGCCAGTACGAACGAACTGTATCGATTATCTCCTGGTTGCCCTGTACTGTACTTTTCTCTATTATGTATGTGTACGCGGAGCGGCTAATGAAAATGGCTATTTCGATCGGTGGCTTCGGTGTTCTTTTTCATCGCTCGTTTTCTTCACGGATATTTGTCGAACCGATAAACGGTGTCTTTTTTTTACTAGTAATATGCCCGTGCTAAACGCTACGGTGCAATTCTATTGTCTTTAGTAACTTGAAATTTCATTTTAGCAAAAAAAAATTATATGATCTATGTCATTAAGCTTTAGTTCAATTTATGTCGTACATCAAATATATTCCACACAAAGTTCAAAAATATGATATTGCATGGGCATAATAAATCTTGACCAGAATTAACTAAATTAAATTGACATCCAGTTCCACGCCAACTCACATCATTTATTTTCATAATTTTACATATGACAAAATAATAATTATCCAAAGAAATTATTATGGTTAAGCGGTTGACAGATCTAAATAAATTGAAACGCAATGACGACTGCGTACTGCCCTTACATTTGGAACTTCTTGATGACCGGACTGCATTCATATCGACAGGAAGAGTGTCTTTATTTACGTGAGTACATCATGGTATGAAGTACAAGTTAAAATATTACATATTATTGTACACTATACTATGAATTTGGAGCTGATTTAAAAATAACTTGTATTAAGCAAAATAGAAAATTAGAAATTAATAGGTCTACCGTCTATGCATGAAACTGAATCATTTGCCCGTGCTAACACAACGAAATCATTTAATAATGTAAAGTAAACAATAAAAAGAATATATATGTTTCAACAATCAAAAATAAAATGAGATATGATTAATATTAAAGAAAAGAATGATATCACGAGTTATTACATTATTAATTACATAGCCACATGGCTAAAAATAACATCCCAAATTTTCCATCTTTCGAAACCATGCAAAAGGGCAAATCCATATTTCTTTCTCACCTATGGTATAGAGACACTGGACAGCTTCGACAATCAACCCAACACTTTTTGGTTGGTACCCCCGTGCCAAAAAGGTCATCATCTCTCTGGTGCTTATGTCATGTGATTTTATTGTGCCCTAAAGGAAATGCAAAAGGATCTCCAATTAGTCAAAATAGAAGACCAAATACATAGAGCCCTTAGAGGAGAAAAATGTTCCTCTATATCACAGGACAAAATATTATGTTTAAACTGCATAATACAATTGATTCTGTAGATGTTCCTTGATCATGCTTTTCGACTCAGCTGGACAAATAACAAAATACAATAAATAGCTTAGAAACTGTCATGCCATAAGATTCTTTCAAGTTATTCATGAGATAAACATTTCATAAGTATGATATGGAAGCAATTCCATACTTGAGTAAACAAAATATAAGAAATGATGACTATAGCAATTTTATCATGCAAAGTTATTTGTTTGGAGCTCGTAGAGTAAATTATTTGGAAGGCAGACATATTAATCATGGTAGACATATTAAACATTCCTAGTTTAAAACATATTAATCTCCAGCAGAAAATAACATACGCACTTAATCGTGGCAATGATTTTGATTGCTGAGCACCAGCATAGTACTGAGTCTGAAATTACCATTGATTCCACCATGTTCAATAACAGGAATAGAAAACACACAGTAATAAATTTATCTTGCAAGGACTACAACAAATAGCTTGCCTGCACACGTCCACCAGAACAAAATGCTATATATATGAGTACCAACAATTTGAATTAATCTAACCAAAACAAGAAAAAAGAAGCATGGTCAATGCTCACCAAGGATCGACATCTAACTTGCTGCATGCTGAAGGATAGAAGCACTGAAGCAGCTCGTCGACCCATGACAGGCTCGCTGTGCTGGACATTCTGTAAATCTCATCTACTGGAGGAAGCTCTCTAGCAGAAGATGCAAATTAGATTTACATTATAAATCTCCTTGGTGGAAGAAAAATCGTTATACTTATGAAACTTCTTCAAGAAAGTATATTCATATGGATTGAGCTACGAACCTCTTATTTATACATCAATGGGTACATGTGCTTCTCAATTTTGTGCAAATGTACTTAAAAAATGGTCATGGTCAGGTCCGCGACTCCTTGCCTTGCTATAACAAATTAAATCGACCAATAAGAATACCTGCTGTTGACGTGCTGCATAATCCCAAATTCAGTAGTGCATATACTGACAACAAACTGCATTACTTTTCCTCAGAGATTATACTACGTTGTTATACCCATTAATTGCATCAGCTATGGTTGTAGTCAAAATCACTGTGCAATCAATTTGACAACGGAGAAAATCATAACTTGATGCTGTAACCATAAGCAGCTCTAATGATACCAAGATTTTACCATGAATCACTAACGAAGTGAAGTTGAGGAGTACAAAAGTCTATAATATTATGTTTCCACGAAAATACACAGCATATTCAAAGAGAGATGTAAAAATGAATGGCATCCACAGCTACTACTCATAGCAAGTTCAGAAATTTACGAGATAAATAGCACAGATTGTTCATTCCAGTTTTGTTGAGGAGCTTTATTTATTATACTCATGCCTCTGATAATAACTTTTCTTTTTACCTCTTATTGCAGAACTCTTGGAAATCAATGGATTCAGTAGGATCTGCACGGCATATAAAGCGAGATCAGCAACACATCACTTTTAGTTTCAGGAGAGTTTTACGCAATGCAACTATTGAAATCTTCCTATGCTTCAGGCCTCTTAATTATTTGGTCACAAATGCAAAGGTGTGAATGGGCTAAATGTCATCTCTTCTGCAAATTAGAAGAGGCCGAAAATGATCTTATATTGCTAATTGTGTCGTAGTGACGACCTGCGTGGTAATACTCTTCTATCATTTAAAAGGGTTATCTACCATTTTTTTGCTATTCCATTTATTTACAAGTAGTACTCCTAAATTTTCAAAATTATTCCTGCAAGCATTAATTTACTAATTTGAAAAGAGTACAAATATTTTTCTTGCCCTCACAATTTTATCCGCCGATGCAACTGGAGAGAAGGTGACACAGCTTCAGCTCCCCGTCCACCTTGTCCCTTGTATGTAGGAGACAACTAAACGAATCAGTATAGATATCACACATATATAGAAGTGAAAATCACAAAGCAGTTTCCAAAATAGTATATCCACAGTGCTCATTGATAACATATAGAACACAACATAGGATGTGTGGCAATGTGCCATGTTTCGGAAGACCCATAGAATAATTAACCATGATATAGAACATAATGAATCTAAACCCCGGAAACTGATCACAGATGCATGACAATATTAAAAATATAAAGGACCAAAATAAATCTGATGGTCTCCACTTCACCTCTTCAATTCACAACTCACAACTACTTATCATTCATGCCCGTACCTTAATTTCTCAGTAGTATAAACTATTCAAGTACAGTTCACTAATTAGAACTCAAAACAAATGAATCCGTCATGCAATATTAACAGTTTGGAATATTGTGAGGGAAAAAAGTATGAGCCAAGAATTGCTATTGTTGCAAACCTCAGACGTTTAGCAAAAAGCAAACATAACCATTGCACCCATCCTAATCATTCTCTGTTTCTTCCACTGAAACAGACAGCCTTTATACTGGCATACCTTTTGTGTCATAATGGAAATTCAGAAAAGCAAAATCCAATTATAGAAGTTATATCATGTAGATAGTGCAATTAAGCATTTATTTCATTTATAATGGCCATGATCAAGGGATAATTCATCAGCTGAACGAAATTCTCCATTTCTGAAATAACCACGGGACAAGGTTTCCAATACTCACCTTGGAGAGAGCAGAGAGCAGGATGAGACTGATGGAGAGTGGTGGTGATGGGGAAGATCTAATTTTGATTTGGAATAAATTTAGCACAGTATCGACCTAAATGAAATGAAACCAAATCAGCGGGAGAGCTTAAAAAATAAAATACTGATGGCATCCTATATTTTGGCAATTCAGCTGAACCAACAACACTATATACTAATTAATTTTAACATGAAACTGAACTCAATGGCACTGATGGATGCTATAGTGCAACAGAGGAAAATATATCAAAAAGATTAGATTCATTTTTATTTTGAATTTTATGTCTCTTTCAGTCACTTTCGAACAAATTTGTATCTTCAGACAAAAATTAAACAGGTACTCACAATTAGAGTTCGGTTCTTCAGTAGTTTAGCTCGAAGGTCTGAGAATCACCGTACTTCAAGAATTAGTTGCAGATCAAACACTCTGCACTAATGGTGAGACAGTTAGCATTTTTCCTAGCTTGACAAAAGATCAGGCCTGCTATCTCTTTCTCACACGCGCAGATAATAACTTTTTTTTATCACACACACGGACAATAATTTATTTTCTCACAGGTACTACTTCAGCTTATTCAGGAAATAATCAGAGAAACATATAGAGTGAAACTGAATTGATCAAACATCAATTTCAGTGATAAAAATGCAGATCATGCCAACCATTGCATCACATCTGTTGGTAACATCGCACTGAATGGTTATAGGGAGGGGTGAGGAGGAGGGTTTCTGTACCTCCTATCGGTGGCGGATGGGATTTGGTTGGCGGCGCCGGCGCTTGATGCGTAGGAGGTGACAGCACGTTGGTGGAGGAGGCAGCGGCATGACCGGCTTGGCGACGACGAGCCCGGCGACTCCGGCCAATGGTGAACTGGTGACGCAGAGGCGGGCGGCCAGGCGGAGATCGGTGGCAGCGAAGTTGTGGGTGTTCCGGCGGCGCCGATCGGTGGCGGATCGGTGCGATGGGCGGGAGGGTGGCGCGGATGAGATCGTCGTTGGTGGGCGGAGGCGCAGCGGGCGGCGCCCCGGGGGGGAGGGGGGTGCTGCCGACAGAGGGCGGGGAAACGGGATCGCGGGCTCGCGGCGGTTCCTCGGATGGGAGAGGAGGGGGCGTAGAGGCGCGATCTGTGGAGGCTGATCCGGGAGTGGCGTGGGGGAGAGACGCGATCAGGATGAGGCAGTGGGGAGCCGTCGGATGCCGCTCATCTGATCGTTTTCCATCGTTGGATGTGTGATATGATGAATGATGAACGAATAAAACCATTTGTTCAACTATAGGGAGACCACTAGGGTTCGCCCCCGGTCGCCCGCGCGTGGACGACTTCTTCGGTGTTCCCTTATACAAGAAGGTCTCGGTCGTCTTCTTTGCCTGCAGGCGTCGGCGTCAGCCTCATTGTTCTTCTTCTTCCTCCTCGGGCTCCTCCTTCGCGTCAGGCGCAATGGGGGCGCGGTGGAGAGCGATGGGCGGCGGTGACGATGGTGGGCACCAGCGCGGCGTTTTTTCGCGGTAGGGAGAGGCGCGCGGCACGATGGTGGTGCGGACTGCGGAGGAGGAGCGCGTCGATTCTGTGAAAAATCCGGCGCACGAGTGCACGACGGTGCGGGGGCGAGAGAGCGCGAGGAGGAAATGCGTGGGAGATGCGGGAGAAAGAGGAGGGAAGAGCGAGACACAGGACGGTGGATGCGGCGTGATTTCGCCATTTCAGGTGCGGGAAGGAGAGGAGGGGGAGAGGTGGGGTAATCTGAGGCGTTGGATTGGATGATTTTAGACCATTGGATATGTGATATGATGAATGATGAATGAGTAAAAGGATTTGTTGAACTATAGGGAGACCACAAACACATGGTCATTTGTTCAACTAAAAGGATGGTGATGAAAGTAGTGTGCACTTAATTATTTTAGAACTTTTTAATAATTAATACTTAATTATTCATGTGCTAATGATTTATCTCATTTTGCGTGTTATTGAAAAGCTTAACTAAGTCAGTGGTGATATGGTTTTGAGAGTGTTATGTTTATCATTTTCAAGTGATTTCCTAAAATCAGAGTTATTGTGATTTGTGATCACAAAGTTTAGCTCGCTTTTAGTTTCATTGCATATGTAAGACTTCAATATGTTTGTAAGATGTGAATTTGTATATCAACTTTGTTGTGTGTACCTTGGCCGGTTCTAGACAAGGGTTTTAATGCACATTAGAATTATGGTTCATGAATTTCTGTACGTGACAATTGTACTATGTGGTTTTCTTCGTAATCCTCTATAAACTGGGTTAGGGCTATTACCTTACGAGGGGCTTGAATTAGTATAACCTATGGTTGCGTTCGGGAGGCACGGAAAACGGAGCAGCGATTAGCAGGTGATTAATTAAGTATTTGCTTTTTTTTAAAAAAGGATTAATATGATTTTTTTAAGAAACTTTCGTATAGAATTTTTTTTTTTTTGCAAACAACACACCGTTTAGCAGTTTGAAAAGTGTGCGCGCGGAAAATGAGGGAGAGAAGTTGGGAATATGTGTTTGATGTGGTATTGTGTGGATCCTCGAATCAACATGCCCTAATACCTTCAGAATACGGTCTGTGGGTATTCCCCATCGACAACTGTTCATCGTTTTCCCTAGTTGAAGGCCAGAAACAAAAGAGGGGGAAGATGGGCGCGGTGCTCCGGGTTAACGACATCATGAGTTGTTGTCCGGCAAAATCCACCACCATCCATTCAATGAGGTCTTGGTCAATGAGCTTGGTGCAGCTAGATGAGGTTGGTTTTGTTGGATCTAGCCTCTTCCTCCTTTCTACTGCTTGGATTTGGTCTTATTTGGTTCACCCTGTAGCTCCCGATCTCTCGCGCACAGCCACCGCAGACTACGCTTACACGCCACCGTTTGCCTCTCTGTCTCCGCCTATGGGAACAACCATCAGTGAGGATGCTGCCGCCTCAACCAGCCCACTTGTGTTGGCAGCCGGGCACCTCTTCCATCTATAAAGTTTGCTGAGAAATTGAAGTTCCCCTCCTTTTCCAAGGCGACACATACGAACGATTCGTAGGCGGACCACGGACGTGAACATGTGAGAACCACAGGCGGACGCGAAGACGAACACACTCTTGAATTGGATGTGTGCAACGCCTAACGGTGCAAAAGCGAAAGCTAACGACGAGGGCAAGCAGGGGAGTCAGATGATGTACCAATAAATCACTCAGTTTATTTTGTATCGCCCGATCCAATGGTGACTTGAATGATGGACGAAGAGGATGGAAGAAGAGGGTGTGAGTACATAATCATCTCTAATTTTTATAACTAGAAAGGAAGCCCGCGCATATGCGCGGGCATCTAATTTAATGTGCTTGAAATATTATTCTACACATGTGAATATAATGTTTGTATATGCGTGATTGTTCCAGATTCTATTGGCAACATGTTTTTTTTGTCAATATTTTGTTTGTGAATATTTTGAATGCTAATTATCCTCGCAACACATAAATTCTAAACTAAAATTACTTACAAACATGAAATCTTTAATTATTGGAAAGTATTATGTCGCAAAAATGAAGTTGGTTCCTATGAACTGTCATCTAAACTATATGTTATTTTTAATACATATCAAATCTTTGTTTTGGAGTTCTAAACTTTGAGAAATTCGTGTTCTTAAGAATAGTTATTGAACTTTAAGCCAAAAAAATTCAAATGATTTCTTCAATTTATATTGGGCTTTGGATTCAACAAAATTTGTTTAAATTTAGCCCAAATTTTGTCTGAATTCCAGTCATCCTTTCTGTTTTTTTGGGAATATTGGAGGTCTATGTTCTATCAATTGTTCTTGAAATGCTTTTGATCTCTTAAAATTGGGATGTAAACATAACTATGTTGAGTGTACAACTTGGTATGGGATAAATGTGTCCTTTCTAATGCAGCGAGAATATACATATATATATATATATATATATATATATATATATATATACACACCCTAATCTCCAGTTGAATCAAGAGCAGCATCAATATTAAGATAGAGATCTCATCCAGCAAAGTATATAGGATCGCACACATATGATCGTTTACTCCAGATAGACTGAACTGAATAGCTCCAGTACCATCAAATTTAAACAGACAGATGATTCAGTTTATAATGAATAAACTAACGGAACCTGTACATAAACTCCACCCATGCAGCAAGAATGATAGCCGATCAGAGCAAGAAGACTTTGTCAGAAATCAGAACATGCCTAGGACCAAATTAACCAACGCAGCAACGATGGTGCCAAAACGTATGGAATCGCCATCTCCTTCCTGACCTAGGCGGTGGCGGCGGCATAACACAGAGGAAAACAAAAAACCAATCTCCTAATACAAGGAACATGGCATATATAGGTGGTACAAAGGCCTAGCCAGCTGAACGGACTAAAGCCCAACATGGACTCCTACATACCGATCCAAATAACAGAAAAAAAACCTTATTAATGTAAAACCCTGATTACTTGGTAATCCTGCCGCTAAGCATGGAAGGAAAGCATCCACATGCATGCGTACATGCGGACGTTGTGGGAGAGGATTTCGTTTTTTTGTGGGTCCTCATCTCCTCTCCTCCCACCACGTGCCAGCTTGAGAGCGCTTTTAGGATGCCACATGTCAGCTTGAGAGCGATTTTAGAAAGGTTAATGGACTTTTAGTATATAATAGAAGATAGGTAAAGAAAAGATAAAGATTAGGAAAGGAGATGAAAATTAGATTGAATACAAAAATTTAGGGACGGAATATTCAGTTTTTGTTAGCAATAAATAAATAAATAAATTCCTCAATAAGAAGGGGGTTTCTCTTTTCTTTGCCGCGTGCGTTCCTCTCCTCAGGTGGTGACTCGGTCACCCCTTGCCTCCTTCGGCCACCCTCTCCTCCTCTCCTCTCCTCTCCTCTTCCTCTTCCTCCCTCTCCTCGTCGCCCTTCCACCAAAGCGAGAGATCGACCGACTCCTCTCCCTCCGCCGCCGACCCCCCTAGGTGAGCGATCCAGCCTAGATCCTTTCCTCCTCCTCGCGTTGCTCGATCCCCACTCCGTTGTTGTTTCCTACCTGTACTGTATCGCGCGCGGTTCTTGGGGGGAAAAAATCCTTTCTGATTAAGATACAGAATTGTTTTAAAATATCAATTAATTCTTTTTTTTCAAGTCTCTCTCGCTCTCGCTCCGGCGTGTGCGGCGCGTGTAATGGGGGATTGGTCATACTGTAATGGGGGATTAATTAGTTACAATGTGTTTTCTTGGTGCCTGAAACTCTGAATTCTTTAAACATTATTGTCATTGTCCTAGTAAATTATATATTTCATCGAAGATATATAGTAGATTCTAGGACGAATTCGATTTGGACATAGCAATTTTCTGATATCTCTAGTAAATTACAATTTAATTCCGAAATGTTGGGTGATACAGGTATTTGTCTTTCACCTTGAGTCGGCCCCAATTTCCAATCTTGATCTTGACTTCAGCATATGAATGTTGCTTGATCTGTATTCGACCTATGCAGGTGTTGTTGATCGCTTTGCGAAATGGAGCTCCCAGTTGCTGATCCTGGGCCGGTGAGGGCTGAAGGATTGCTTCTGCAGTGTCCCTATTGTGATTCAGAGGCAATGCACAAACTCGCGCAGTTCTTGCTCCCCGGCTTGGCTGCGGTATGCATTGACTGCACGACAGGCGATCTCTTCAGGAAGCCGTCGGTTGTCGCCGTTGACATGAGGAAGGAAATGGTGGACTATGTCACGCAGAGAAGCGAGACATTCATATCCGATTCGCTTATCGAATCAGAAGCAAGTCAGGATCAAGAGAACGAGATGCCGGAGGACCCTTTTGAGATCGTGTCCATCTTCATGGATGATTTTAGTAGCACGAAGAGGAACATTATCGGCCATGTCTCTGGGTGGTTGATGAGCGACAGCCGCGAAGATAAGATTGATGACTTTGTCCAAGAAATGGAGATGACCCGCTTCTGGCCGCTGGAAAGGAGAGAAGTTATTGCTGAGGTCCTCCTCAAGAATGTAGACCTGAAAACCAAGTACCACTGCCCTGAGAAATATGAAAATGAAGAACGTCTCGCTGATCATAAGGCCCAGTGTAGCTTCAGACCTGTTACCTGCCCCAATGATGGATGCCGAGCGAAAGTTTCTGTTCGCTGCATGCAAGACCATGATTCAGCTTGCCTGTTTAAAATCCTTACATGTGAGCAGAACTGTGAGAAGCGGCTTCTGAGGCATGATATGGATAGGCACTGCGTGACTGTGTGCCCCATGAGGCCCATGAAATGCCCTTTTGGCTGTGATTCCTCCTTTCCTGAGCGTAATCTTGAGCAGCACTGTTCTGAGTTTCTTCAGGCACACCTCCATAAACTCCTCAAGGCTATTCATAAGAAAGGTTTTACAGATGAGGGGCTCAAGGACCATGCTCTACTGCTGGAAAAGGTTAGGCTCCTGATCTTGTTAATTTACAATGTGTAACATATGTTTTTCAATTAAAATGGCTGCCTTATTTTCTTGATTTGGAAACATTGCTGTCAAACTATTGTGAAAAAGAAGACATACATGGACTGCAACAATATGATTTACTGAAATAATCTGGTTTTGTTCTGCAGCATGACAATGATGGTAAACTGGCTAAATCTCGGGATGTAAGATCTCTTACTAATGTTGTAAAGAATCTTGAAGCCAAAATAAAAGATGATTCGAGTTAGAGTGGATGGCGTCTCCAGAGCAAAATGCAAGTTTTTTTTGAGGCAGCAAAATGCAGCATGGATATTGAATGGTATAGTTGAAGAGTTGTTTCCACTCACAGTATACACAGAAGAGTACAAGATTCTGCACGTTTTTCCTTTACAACTATAATTTTCCCCTCATGATTTTTCTTTTCTCAAAATCGGTTAGTTTTTTATGGTGTAAAAGTATAACATTATTTTATCCTTGCTATTTTGTCCAAGGAACTCTTTTTTTTCATATAAATTGAGAATAATTTATCAGGAATGCTAATTTTTGTTTAATTTATGGAAGGGCGATGCTCGAAGTAAGGGATGTTTTTCCCAGTCTGATTCCGTTCCCTGTACCAGCTAAATACCCACTAGCTGAAGTTAAATGCTATTCCTCACAATGTTTTTATTTGTTTTTTGGAAACTTTTTTTTTTCAATGATCCAGATCAAGGTTAGGAACACTAGCATTTATCGGTAAACTGTTGGAATGGTTTAAATTCAAATTTTATTTTTTGATTTACACTTAGTACCGTTTACATGCCCTCACATGTATAATGCCCATTGATAGGATATCTCCACCTCCCACAAGTTGTGTCGTTTTCATTTATCATGGATTCGTGTATGATGTTTATTTCAATGTATAAATTATTACAAGAATGTCAAACATTTTTTTTTCAACTAGTCCCTGATCCGTAACCATTATTCAAATTCTTTTTTTTTCTGGGAAAACCGTTATTCAAATTCTAATATTCGATTTGGATTTATGTCCAGTAAATTCTACTCCCTCTGTTTCATATTATAAGTTATTTTGAATCTTTTCTAGCCAAATTTATTGAGGTTTGACAGTTTATTAAAAAAAAATAGTTCGGTTAAATGTAACATTGAATATGTTTTTTTTAAATGTTGCTATATTCTTTTATTATTTGATCAAACTTAAAACTAGAAAAAAAATCAAGCAACTAAAGTCTTTTTTATATGAGGGGAAAAGAGAGAATTGAGAAGATACGCAAAACAAGGTGAGCATTAGCGAATAATTAATTGAGTATTAATTATTTTAAATTTTAAAAAATAGATTAATATGATATTTTAAAGCAATTTTTCTATAGATTTTTTTTATAAAATAAACATCATTTAGTAGTTCAGAAAATATGCGCGTAAAATACGAGGGAGTTTTTCTGTTTCTACCTAATCAATTTCTCTCAATCAGTTTTATGATATGAAACGGAGGGAGTAGATCGCTAATTACTGGTCAGGCTTGGGTGACTGGTACTTTTTGCAAATACTGGTTTCCTAGGTTTTATCCTAACAAATAATCTGGAGATCTTTTACGGTGTTTGCATTTTAAAAAGGGTAAAAGTCTATCGCTGCACAATGAAAGGTACCACTTAAATGGTTGATATAGTTACTTACTACCTCCGTCCCACGAAAAATCCAATCATAGCATCCCAAGATAGAATTAGTGGAGGATAGAAATGACTAAAATGCCCTTAATCATTGAAAAAAGTAGTAAGAGTATTAATAGGTAGGTAAAAGGTATTAAAGGGAGTTTTATCTGTAAAGAGTAGGTAGGATGGTAGGATGGTATAGGATGGTAGAAGTTGGTTTTTTTATGGGACAAAATTCAAACTCTAGAAGTTGAGTTTTTCTTTTGACGGAGGGAGTAGGTGGTAAAAGTAAAATGATAATTTTCGTAGGAGATAGAGAATGGCATAATTGTTTTCGATATTAGTTCTAGGTACATAGGTGCATACAATACCTCACTAACTGTGTGCCCGGTAATTTACATGATATGTTTTTTAGATTTACATTTTTTCCTGCAAATATGGTCACGCAGTAATCCTCTGTTACATTATTTACGTGTTTGTTTTAGATTTATATTTACGTGATATTTTCTAGATTTTCATTTTGTTCTAGGAGCACGATTGGTTAAAATATGACCGAATGTTTGCCAGGTTATTTTGATATTTACATTTTATCACAAAGAACATCTAACCTTGGTAAAAAGATCAGTGGTTAGTAGGTTCATGTGTAATTCATCCTCAATACGATATATTTATGTTGTTTCCACGTGTTTGCGTCATCTCCCCGATGAAATTTAACTAAAATGTCTTAAGCAATTAAATAGCTTATTTCCTTACAGTTATTTTGTAATGTATCGGGTAAAATGGAAATCACATGCATGCTTGGATAGCATGTATTGTTCGGAAGTGCTAATGGGCGATCGATCGCCCGGCGACAAGGGTTGCCATCGATCCCCCTTCCCCCTCCCTCCCTCCCTCCACCTGGTTTTCTTTTTTGGCACCGTATTACTTTCCTATTTTAGTAAATTTATGCACCTAAAGTTTATACATCTCAAGTTTACACATCTAAAGTTTATACACCTCAAGTTTACACATCTAAAATTTAGAGACCAAAAGTTTATAAGTCAAAAGTTTATATATCCGATTCAAATTTGAATTTGAATTTAAATATTTTTTTATATATAGTATTTCTATATATACATCTAAAGTTTATAGACCCAAAGTTTATAAGTCAAAAAGTTTACATACCCCATTCAAATTTGAATTTGAATTATATCGGGATTCAAATTTGAATTTGAATTCAAATATTTTCTATATATAGTATTTTTATGCATCTAAAGTTTATACACCTAAAGTTTATAGACCCAAAGTTTATAAGTCAAAAGTTTACATACCCGATTCAAATTTGAATTTGAATTATATCCGTTCAAATTTGAATTTGAATTATATCCTTCAAATTTGAATTTGAATTCAAATATTTTCTATATATAGTATTTCTGTACATCTAAAGTTTGTACACCTAAAGTTTATAGACCCAAAGTTTATAAGTCAAAAGTTTACATACCCGATTCAAATTTGAATTTAAATTCAAATATTAGTTTATAGACCCAAAGTTTATAGGTCAAAAGTTTACATACCCGTTTCAAATTTGAATTTGAATTTGAATTTGAATTCAAATATTAGTTTATAGATCCAAAGTTTATAAGTAAAAAGTTTACATACCAATTTCAAATTTGAATTTTTATTTAAATTTGTATGGTGTAGTAGTAAGAGAAGAAGGGGAGGTAAAGTAGTAGGGGCAGGGGCGGGTGATCGCTTGGGAGGGGAGGGAGCGGATCACCCGCCCCCATTAGGAGTCCCCTGTATTGTTGCCATTGAAAATTAACTACCTCCTTGATTTTAGGATTTATGGATTTAGAATAAGGTATTCGGATATCTGGATCAATGTGCGCCTAGTCTATAGATTTGCGAACTAATCACCTATGTAAGCAAGCATAAGGAAGATAAGTACCTATTCTTTTTTAATACGTACCGGTTCAATCAAGAAAGATATTCACATCAAACAAAATTATTGTTGTTTTACTAGTTACTTACCCTACTGCCATTGGTTATAATAATTTTATTACACATCTTGCCCTTGCCTTTCTCTTGATCAATGATCTATATCGCACCACCTCTCAATACCTTTACGTATCTCGCAAACACCGTAAAAGATCATAATAAACTAAGATGAATGTGAGGCCATAGGCCACACGTTTTACTTCATATCCCCGAAAACTATATCGTATCGTGTAACAAATAGTCTAGAACAGCTAACTATGCGTCCAAACAAAACTACAGCGTATGCATAGGATCGATGGTATCAAAGGTACCAGGAGGTAAAAAAATTATACTAAAAAAATATATTACCTTTATGGACGTGACTACACAACTAGTGGTAGCTTGTTTGTCTAAACCAGCTACCACTCCATTTATAAGAGACATTATCCACATATACTTCAAATACAATTTTCTCTTAAACTACTCATCCGATTTACGATCCGATTACACCGTTATGTTTGTAACAATTAAGTATTTATAACAAGATCTCACATGATTATATTCTGATAAAAAAATATAAATTACTTTTATAATATATCTAAATTACTTTTAGATTTCACTAAATTACTTCTTATACATGTAAAAGTAAATTAAATGAAGCCTAAAAGTAATTTACATATATTATAGAAGTAACTTGTAACAAAAAGAAAATAACTTTAATGAATGTGTCAACGGGGGATACCCGTAGACCGGATATAGAGGGTATTGGGGTCTGTTGGTACGAGGATCTACGTAGTATGACATCAAGCAGACAAAAGACAAGGATTATACTAGTTCAGGCCCCTTAGCAGGTAATAGCCCTAATCCAGTTGGTATGGGATTATATGGTGGAAACCACAGATTACAAAGGGAATAAAAGAACTCGGTGATATCGACGAGACCGTAGTCGAGTTGGCCCGACTAGATCTCCCGGTGACTTGGCTCCTGTAAGCTCCGGCTTCGTAGGCTGTGGTGGGTGTGTTGGCGGTGAGATTTGATGCCTTAGATCCTGCCAGGGGGTCCCTTTTATACCGCGGGTCAGTCGATCTCCAAGTAGAACTCGGAGATATCGGACCCCTCACAATATGGTAAAGATCCAGTTTCGTCCGAGTAGGACTCTTTCCATCCATAGATTCTGTTCCTATCACGGGATAGATTTCCTTAATGTATACGGAAACTATTCGTACACGCACGGGTATACTATATCGGTACGCATCGTATATCCAAGGATAGAGGGCATACCTTATGCGTAACCCTGACAGAATGTCTTTTTAATTGGATGTGACTACACAGCTAGTGGTAGCTACTTTGTACTCCATCTAGTATCTCCTTTCAACTTAAAAAATACAACAGTATCTTCTTTTCTCATTCTACATGAAAACAAAAATGAAAGGGAAAAAAACAATCGATGATTAAACAGATTTATAGAGAGTTACTTTTGAACCATGCAAAAGTTACTACCAATTAACATTGAAGTTACTTTTAAAAATTGTTAAACTTATGTGTGTTGATCCGTGCTGATTAAATTTAATTTTTAGATAAAGTCATATTTTTATCCGTACAACGAATTTACTTCTATTATCGTGACAAAATTACTTCCGTTTTGTTTTATGTTACTTTTATAATATATGTAAATTACTTTTAGACTCTATTAAATTTACTTTTATATATCTAAGAAGTAATTTAATCAACTCTAAAAGTACCTTTTATATATATATATATATATATATATATATATATATATATATATATATATGATAAAAGCAACTTACATATAAAATAAAAGTAATTTACAAATATAAATATTTTTTTCATCTTAATATAATCATGTAAGATCTTGTTGTGAAGATTTAATTGTAACGAACACAATGATGTAATCGGATTGTAGATCGGATAAGTAATTTGAGAGAAAATTTTGTTTGAAGAGAAAAAGGACGTACATGTATATTAAAAAAATGCATGCATGTAGTACTATGTAGTAGCTGGACTTCTCCACGTTTCTCCGTGTTTAGGCGTCGCTAGTTAAGGTAAAATCAAGATGCCTCTCCAAATAGATTTTACGTACCTTTATACTCCCTCCATAGTCATTTTTTTTAAATCTAAAAAATTTATTTTTGATAGGCATATTTCAATCCAACAACAACATATCATCTTAATGACTTTCTCGGATTCAATGTATGTCTCTCTATTCTTCCACATATGATTGGCTACATGGGCATTGAGAAATATAAATATTAATGAATCGTTTGTTTACGAGGAATGACTAGTAGTATGTTTAAATGGATGATAAGTAAAATTACTTATCATTGTTCTGTGTGCCAAGATAAAATATGACTATTAAAAAGTAGATGGAGGAAGTATTAGCTCTAATAACCTCTCGATACCTCCTATTGACCATAAAAATCCCTATAAAGAAACTTTTACTACAAACACTGGAAAACTTGAATCTTTCTTGCGGTAAAGACATTGATTTGTAGAACGCCACTGATTCTAAAACAATTTCATGTACGTCCAAAATATATAAGTAAAACGAAATATGAAAAACACCTTATGCATGTTGTACACGCCTCTGAAATCATCCAACTATGCGTTGTAACCACCTTATACTCGATGTTATATTGTAACCTTCCTCACTGAAATGTCTTCAACACCTCGAAATTCTGAAAAACAATTCTATATTGACATTTGCCAACATGTCAATTTAAGGTTTACACAAACACATGATTTTCTACGTAAAGTGGCACACGGATTAAATAAATAACCAGGAAAATTCATAGTAGTTTGGAGTATGTTTCCTAGAATGATTTACAATAAAAATCGGTTGACAACTTATTTTTCTTAAAACCCATCCAACAACGGGTTAGAGAACCTTCATGCACCAGAATTTTGGCATTATCATCACCAACTTTAAATACAGAAGCAACTTGTCACGTAGACTCTTGACAAGTTCACTTGAGTCGGCATCAATTTTGGGTCATGTTTTAGGATCAATTCTGAACATCAGATCAGAGGTGTACTTTCCAGTTGAAATTCTACAGTAACAGAAGTTGTCTGCACTACACTGGAAACACCATTGCTACTGCTGTAGTGATTTACTACAATTAACTGTAGCACAAGACTCATTTCAGTATTGATGCACCTCTGCAGTAAGGATCAGTTTCCGTTGACACTGCTTCCTCTTTTTTTCCCTCAAAAACGCATGAGAGCATTGCTCCCATTTTTATCAAGGTAATAAGCTGCATATGGTGTCACTTCAGCTAACAAGACCAACCTTTGCAGATCAACCAGTCCAATTAATCAGGAAATGGGCCATGCTAACATTGAGGTCCAAAAAAATCTCATATGACTGCCTGCTACATCATCTCAATGGCTAATGATCATATTGTTCTGCTAACACTACAGATATAAATTAAGTGAAAAGATTCAGGACTGAATTTTACAGCTGCAGAGGGGCACTTGTATGTCTTACCAGCCAGGGTCAGATGCCTCCCAGCTGCCATCCCATGGATAACTGCTAGAAAATAAAATGTACAACTCTGATTCCTTATCCGTTTGTGCTACAAATAGATGTCAAGTCAAAGGAGTAAAATTATAAACACATAACCATGGAAAAATCAGGGGAAAACACAGCAGTCCAACAGGAAAAAAAAAATGAGTTTAACTACAGCCCTCAGAACAAACAATGGCACAAGATATGATGGAAATATAGAGGCAACACATGGTCTTCAGGAGAAGTTAAGTGCAGTTCAACCCAGGGTATAAATGATCCACATATTTCTCATAATATAAAAACTAAACAGGAATAACATAGCTCCTGAAGAAAACGATTTCAGAATTTCAGGCTATCTGAACAGTATAGGATATAGTAAAATCTCATAGATCACCAAAAAATCCAAATAAAGCAATAGCAGATGTTCTCATGGATAGTGGTAATCTTGGACAAAATTGAAGATCATTACAGCATGACTCCAAGCATATATACACAAAGAGACATGCACAGAACACAGAAGATCCAGGATATTATATTCTAACTCAGAACACACATAGTTTGTCTAACTAAAGAAAGCATCAACGGATTAGATAGACACACTAGTGGGAGGTTTCTGATGTCAAAGGGTGGTTCACTGAACTTTACAATCTGCAATCAACTGTAGAACGAAATTGCTAGAATTAATCTCTTCTACATTTGAACATACCTGGCATCAAGTGTGACATGTGCAGTAGTATAGCCCTTCATGGAATCCAAATAGAAAAACACTAAAAAGGGGAAGAGCTTAGACATAGTCAATCAAGAGGACAAGGCCATTGGATTGTGAATGTGATTCATCCATGCAAACAAGATTTGCTATGGTCAGTACTCAGTAAACACTAAACAATATGGAAATAATGTAGGCTAAGCAAGTTGTTAACATTGTGAAGACGTGTGACATCCAAAACCTGAAAAATCATGATGGATTTAAGGCAACAGGAATATATGCTGTACAGATAATCTGACAGCATGCTTTATGAACATTCGAAATACAACATCACCAGTGGCGGATTCACTGTTGGGGCTGGTTGGTGTGCCAGCCCCACCTCTAATCCCTGCTCTTAATTAGTTATTAACAAATCTAATTAGTCATTAGTGAAGAAATTTCCCGAATAGCACAGGCTACCTTAGTTCTTCTACTGCCCAAACTGATAAAACAGAACATCCTCCAAGTATAAATAACAATATATTCACATATATTTGTGAATATTTTAATATAGCCACAAATCAAAATAGAGAGTTTTTTTTTATCATATGCACATTTGGTTTTCATTGGAAAATACTTTAGTTGATATACCTTTATTTGTTTTAATCATACTCCCTCCATCCCTAAATATTTATGCCGTTGACTTTTTTAAATATATTTGACCGTTCGTCTTATTAAAAATTTTAAGTAATTATTAATTCTTTTCCTATCATTTGATTCATTGTTAAATATACTTTTATGTATACATATAGTTTTATATGTTTCACAAAAGTTTTCAATAAGATGAACGGTCAAACATGTTTAAAAAAGTCAACGGCGTCAAATATTTAGGGACGGAGGGAGTATAATATTTTTTACACTAGCACCTCCTCAATTTACACCCTGGATTCGCCACTGAACATCACTGAAACTATAGTCTTATGTTATGTCCAAAGCATTTTGTGGATTCAACAAACATCACATTTGTGAGGCATCTAGTCAAATATTTTTTAAAACTTCAAAATCATGTGCATAGAAAATATGAGTTTTCAGATACTGACAGTTGCTGAAAGGAGAAGCACTCTAATCAAGAATAAATTTAACAATCAGTCTAGCGCTGGCAAGGGGACAAAGAAAACGGAATCCATGCGAGGATAGTAATGGGACTGGGTTCGCCCAGGGAGATGGCTAGAGAGTAGGCAGAATTTTCTGGGAGCAAAGTCATTAAAAAGACTTTGTTAAACGCATTAAATTGATGGACTTCTGATCAAATCACGAATGGCCATGATGTCCTGTATCATCTAGCAATCATATATCAGAAAATTTTAAATTGATGCCTTTAAAGCACAAATTATTTGTTTTGGGGAGACTTGGAGGTAAGGATCCAACTTCAAATATGAGGTGTTTGATCAAATCAAGCGCTAGCTAGGACTACTTGTATCAACGCTCCATGTATAGCCAAACTGATGCTGGTGCTGTTATAATAAAGTATAGATACACATCTAAATTTTGGTCAAAAAATTGGAATATCCATGATGGCATGATGTTCATGTTGCTAATATCCTTTTCTAACTTTGCACAACGATAGAAGAAATGAAAGGTTTTAAGCCATGATAAATAATCAAAGCTGTAGAAGCTTCTGTTCAATGAAGCATCCATGTAACTCAAAATTATTTATCATGGAGCTAATTAGATAGATGCATAGAAGGACAGTAAACAAGACTTAAGAAATGATGACATGTCATTGCCCAATGCCCTAGACAGGTCTATGCACCTTGTTAGCATTTTACTAAACACATGCTTGTATTCATATGGGTACTATAAGTATAAGTATATACATTCATATGGGTACTATAAGATGTAATTTAAGGCATATATGTACATTTTGATAATATATTTAAGAACTCCAAGGCAAGCATTCCATCAAGCAGGTCACAAGCAGTGGCGACGTAAAGCCAGTTCCCGTGTGTTGGCCGGGATGATAATCTATTATTCTATTGTTCATCATGCCTAAAGCACAAGGGATGAAGCAAGCACAAAAGGCTAACATTGTGCTAAGTACTTTACTTATGTTGGTAATTGCAAGAGATGAGTAGCTATTTAATGTGTAGCCATCCTCAATTAGTGCACAGATTACTCATGATGCACCAAAAGTTCAGAAATTCAGAGATTACTCATGATGCACCACAAATTCAAAGATTACTCATGGTGCACTAAAAATTCAGAAATGGTCGTGTGTTTGAGTGCATTTGTGCATACCGGGTCAGTAAGCCAGTGCATCCGGGGCACGAAGCCCACCATGGCAGAGAGCGCACTCTGCCACACGGCGAAGGCAAACCGCAGCGTGGAGCACGGCACGATGAGGTCGTCGTCAACGGAGAAGACGGCGTCGGTGGTGAGCCCCTGGATGGGCCTGAACCTGTTGTTGAGGCTGTCCTCCGCGTTGATCGCGAACCGCACCCGTGAGCAATTGGTGGAGGGAGCAAGGGGGGGCGGGCGCTCACCGTGGCGAGGCGGCGGAGAGGTCAGGGCGGTGGAGGGTGAGGGCGAGGGCGAAGATGGTGGTGATGGCGGCGACGGCGAGCAGGCAGGCGGTGAATCTGCCGGGGGGCGACGTGTGGTGGGTGGCGGAGGGGGAGGTACCCGCAGCGGCCGGAGCCGTACCACCTCCTGTCAGCAAGTTCCAGCCGCGGCGTCGCCCGCGTCTCCCGTCGGCTGTCTCCCCCGCCAAACGCCGCCGTCCTCACGCCACCTGCCGCCGTCGCCCGCTCCGTCAGCTCACCGGTCAGTTCCGGTGATGACGGGCCGGATCCAGCCACGGAAGGGCCAGATCCGGCGGCGGCGGATCCGCAGCCACACGCCGCGAGGCCTTCGCGGCGCGCTGTGCCACCTCCTTGCGCCGGAGACGAGCCGCCGTCGGGGGTTTTGGCCCCGCCGCCGCCATCCCAACGTCTGCGTGGTTTCCGGCGGCGGCGAGGCGGTGAGAGGAGGGGTGGGTGGCGGCGGCCGGGGGCTAGGGTTCGCCCCCGGTCGCCCGCGCGTGGACGACTTCTTCGGTGTTCCCTCATACAAGAAGGTCTCGGTCGTCTTCTTTGCCTGCAGGCGTCGGCGTCAGCCTCCTTGTTCTTCTTCTTCCTCCTCGGGCTCCTCCTTCGCGTCAGGTGCAATGGGGGCGCGGTGGAGAGCGATGGGCGGCGGTGACGATGGTGGGCGCCGGCGCGGCGTTATTTCGCGGTAGGGAGAGGCGCGCGGCACGATGGTGGTGCGGACTGCGGAGGAGGAGCGCGTCGATTCTGTGAAAAATCCGGCGCACGAGTGCACGACGGTGAGGGGGCGAGAGAGCGCGATGAGGAAATGCGTGGGAGATGCGGGAGAAAGAGGAGGGAAGAGCGAGACAGGACGGTGGATGCGGCGTGATTTCGCCATTTCAGGTACGGGGAGGAGAGGAGGGGGAGAGGTGGGGTAATCTGAGGCGTTGGATTGGATGATTTTAAACCATTAGATATGTGATATGATGAATGATGAATGAGTAAAAGGATTTGTTGAACTATAGGGTAGATCCATGATGGCATGATGGCATATGTGTATAACATGACATATGTGTGGGTGCACATGACAATCAAATTCTCAAATTGGCATAGAAGGTTCTCCACTATAAGTTATTTTATGAGACAACTACAAATGATAAAAAAAATACTGAACGTACATAAAAATGATATGATGATAATGAGGTTTATTTTAATCACCGATATCTTCTTATATAGTTTTAATAATCTACTGAAATGCTCACATTTGCTGAAAAAAGGGAATTACTAATGAAAAATAAATTAAAAATATATTAAAGAGCTTTTACAAACACATGGTCGGTGGGTTGTAAATATTCCATCCAGATCAAGCATTTTAAGTGAAATATGGTTTGTGATTTTAAAAAAATGTAACATGCATCTATACTACACAACAGACTTAAATCATAGTATACATTAAGTGTTATCTCCAAACAAGATGGTTAGCGGTCTCAGTGGCAGAGTAAGATGCAGAGCAAGGTTATAGCTCCTTCAAAAAGACTATCTATACAAAAAAGAATCACAAATTTCAGATGTGCATATTCATATTGTCCACTAAATTTTTTGCTTACAACTATGATTCTTCCGTCACCATCGCATTGGAGCAGAAAAGAAAGTGCAGCATATGCCTAAAACCTTGTTGTACTACTTCATCAAAAGTTATTGTTGGTGACTTCGATAATTCAGAGTTCCCATCTTCTCCCCTTCTTGTATTGCATTGCATAATCTCGCATATACTATAGTAGATATGTTCCGTCTTCTTCCATTCTTGTGCCAACTCCTAAATTTTCAACAAACCTTGCTGTAACACTTTGCTCTAGAAGTCCTTCTAAAGACTCATCTTTTTTGTCACTGGGAACCCACAACAGCTCTTTGATTGGCACACTTTTCTATTATCACTTTCTACCTGCATACTTACAACACCCAACTAAGTACCACTTATCAGAACAGCTGGTAATAGCAGTGTACTGTTAGTTTATTAACCAATTATTTTTCTGCAAATGGTAGCACAGTGCTTAAAATACTGAAAATTTAGCATATTGTGTATATAGGATTAATTAGAAGCACATTAGATTTAATAGACAATACTGAAACCTGTAGCAAAAAGGAGTTAATTTGACAAACCCTTTTCTTTTTATGTGCATAAAAGATATCTGTGAAAGACAATTTGTTCTGGTTTGTCCTCTTACTTTATATCAGATTATTACTAATTTGTCTCTGCAATAATATAGTAGCCAGATTTTAGAGATATACAGGCAGGGTGCTGAAATGGCACAAATCTCTAAATAGAGCAATCATATTGTATACACCTGATAAATTTGTCCTCAATATTCTTTACATAAATTTTATTCAGTTTCAGGGACATGTTCAAGTTCAGAGAATCATTAAGAGCTTGTTTTCAGCCGTAAATTCAGATTTCAGACACATCCAAAATGATCTGATTTTATTCTTTTACTTAAAAATTCACTTTGGAAGCATATTTTGTGCTATAAAAATCAATTAAAAGGTTGAAGGACAACGAGCGAGGACAGCTAGCAAACCTCAGCTCAATTGACCCTACTTCATGCATCAACGGCCAAGCAATTAACTCTGTACATGAACCTGCTTGTTCTGATGAGGAGTAGGCTCCATGAAAGCTGAACTTGATGCCCACCTATCTGAGACCTATCCAGCACATGGATGGTATCTTGATCTTCACCAGATGACCTGAAAAAACAATAATACAACCAAAGCAACAAAAGATCAGGACAAATATGTATTAGGTAAAGATGGTTAGCAAAGAAACCATGAAGGATTTATTAACCAGCTGTTCAAGCACAACTTCATACAAAATTGTAATATAAAAAGCATGAACTTCCTAAATACTCTTCTTTGTACCAAGCAGTCCTGAAAGTTCCAAATTGACTGGTCTCTATCTAAGAGATGGAAGGGCAGAGCTTTTTTATGGTTTTCATCTTTTCATAAGATCAGCTAAAAAAGCTCAGTGTTGCATAGATATATAAAGATAACCTAAAGAGATACAAATAATTCTTGGTCATGAGGGCACGAGTCTACCATCATAGGCAGTAGTCCATAGAGATGATCATTTAGATAAATAATTCATTGGAATAAATAAAAATACAAAATCATAAATCAAGCCTGCTCTCCAGGGACAAATAATCTGGTAAATTTATAAGACGTAAAGAAGCATGTGCATTGCACAAACTTATTGTGCCATGCAAACCATATACTTCCTCCGTCCCAAAATGTAGCTACCTAGTACAGGATGTGACATTATCTAGTACTACGAATCTAGACAGCCCCCAAAAATAGGAAGTGCATTTCATATCAACCAAGAAAATAGTTCGCCTATAATAATGACTCAACTCATATATTCTATTTATATACAAATCAAAAAGAGAATTTAAAGAAAAAGTATATATACAACTCATGTACTCTCTAAATTTCTACATCTCTTCTATGACAGGACCTGATAGGTTAGGGGAAAAATGCAACATGCTGGATAAATAATTACATGCTGGATTGAAACCATTTAAAATCAAGCAACTTGTTGATTTTTATCTTATTGCAGCAGCTACATTTTACAACTCGCGAATGGAAAACCTCGAAATCATTAGAAAAACTATTTTTATTGAGAAAATGATTACCTAAACAACCAACAGAAATCAGGAAATGGACCTAATAAAGTGGATACCCAGGCAGAATGTTTCCATTCAAATAAAAAAAGAAATATCTTGTACTTATAGAGCATAAAAAAACCCAACTATTACCGAGCAAGCACCTGAACAGCTCCCCTTCCATCAGTCCCAGCACCTCCTTTGCTCCCCTCCTAGCTTCTGTAAAAAACAATTTTGCCAATCAGAACTGATGTTAGAACAGCAAAAGAAAAAAAAACTGAGAGAAGGTCATGGACCCATCCAAAAATAATAATAATATATGATTTGATGCTTCCAAATGGTTAGCCTTGGATCAATCATAAGGTTGAAACCGTAATGGTATGGTTGAAAGCACAACAATAGGATCAAATTATTTTACCGTATCCCTACGAAATCTGGAAGGGAACGCAAATTAGCTGGTGGACTAACAGAGGTAGATCAGGCTCGCTAACATCTAATAGTTTGCTCTTGCATCGTAGTCAAAATCAAATAGGCACAAGAAAAATAATGAACTGGGATGGAGAAGAATCAAACTTGCCGTAGAGCTCTAGACACCGGACGTCAGGGCCCGGAGAGGATCGGTGTTGGCGTGAAGGCGAGTTGACGTGATGGAGACCGAGCGCGCTACAGAGACTGGCGGGGATAGTTGTCAGGCGGCACGGCGGCGATTTGATGAAGTCCCGATGGAGAGCGGTCGGCGATGGGATCGGCGACCACTTGATGCGGTGCACCGGCGACCGGCAGAGATGGCGCGAGGCGGCGAGACGGCGCTAGGGCGAGTTGGCGCGATGGGCAGAGGGGCCAGATAGGGTGGCGATGAATGCGCGAGGGCGAGCATCGGGTCGGCGGCGGTGTCGATCTGTGCAACGGCGAGGGCGAGCGTGGACTGGCGGCTGCTGGGGATAGGCGGCGACCTGGCGGAGGTGAATCGGCGACGGCGCGACGGCAGGGGAGAGATGAGGGCGTCCTGTGTCGGGGCGATGGAGAGCGTGGCGAGCCGGCGCCCTTGACGATGGAGGATTGAAGGCCTCGGTGGCGGCGGCGGCGCACTTGACGACGGAGCGGGAGGGGAGAGAGAGGCGCGGATGCGGTATGGGAGGGAGGTGCGGGGGAGTCGCGGCGAATGCGGAAGAGAGGGAGATGCGGGAGAGGATGCGCGGTCGCGCCGATGCGGCGTCGATTGCGGCAGAGAGAGACGGGGGTGCGGGAGAGGAGGAGGAGCGACACGCGCGCATCTGGGACGTCTGATCTAACTCATCAGACGATTTTACACCATTGGATGTGTGATATGATGAATGATGAATGAGTAAAACCATTTGTTCAACTATAGGGTGTACTCACAAACTAGAGGTAAGGAAATTGTTTTTATTCTAAATTCCAGCACATGCAAAAAAACAGGAAAAATAATATCTTCTAATATCAATCAATCAAGGAAAATAGGAAAAAAAGAGAGAAGAAACTGCTTTTACCTTCAATTGAGGTATGAACCAAGGATGTCTACTGGAAACAACAGGATATGGGCACAGGAGAGCTCTGATCGGCGGGGTTACGCATGGCAATCTGCTAAACTTGTTCAAATTAGCGAAATTTCTGAGAATTGAAAAGAAGCTAAGACATCTATTTTCAGTTATTTACTTAGAGGGTAGAGAAGGGCAATGCAAATAAAAAACTATATGTGCCTAAAACATTTCATCCCAAAATACACCACTGAATCTTGTCTAGTAATTTGTTTTCTCATCCTTCTCCAATTCATGGCATTACTAAATGAAGTTTATCTTCCAAAAAAAATATTGATCAGTGGTTAATTGGGTTAGCTTGTTAACATGAAATCAACAATAAAATGATATGATTGGGCCAGCCCTACTATTGAAACCAAGAATAAAATGATATGATTGGTGAAATGGTCTATTTCCTATGACATTTCTCAATAATACTAATCTACAATTTGGCTGCCATTCCATGAAAGATTGGAAGTGAGAAAGCACCTGGAAAGAGAAAAACCAAATCATGCGAACTCTTAGTTCCAAAAATGCATGGTTGTACCTTTCTGATAGTGTTTTTATTTTCTGGCAGGGCTCTTAATAGGATTTGAACAATTGAAAATGGCCATGCGTGTGCAACAGGAAATGTAAATTCAGTATGAACCCCACAATAGATACAAAGGAAGAATCTGTACAGCAACACTTCTGAACATTTTTGAAGATACAAACAAAAATATAAATTCAGTACGAACCCAATAATAGATCATAGGTTAGCTCTTGCAAAGTACAAGTACAAAGAAAATCAAAGGAACAAAGATCCCTCTTGGAATTCAGAAGATCTACTCCAATATTCAGAATGACCAATAATAATTCAAACAGTAGATCTCAGAATCAGCTTTTGTACAATACATAATATCATTAGGTTTCAATAATAAATTATCAGAAGAACATTTTTTTTCAAACTAAACAGTAGACCACCATATTTTTATCCTAACTGAACAGTAGACCACAATATTTCCATTTCATCTTTCCCCGGGACAGCACATGCTTTCTCTGATACGGCATGAAAAGAAGAGGACTAATGGTAAAATCTAAAATTTGCACTGGAAAATAGAAGTGAATTTGACAATTGGCATCACACGGAAACACTTTATTCAATCATCCAGATCCATTTCACCCCAAATCCAATCATTTTACTTTTCTATCAACCAACAAAACGGTCGCAGTGCACGGCTTCATATGGCACAACTACATTATCTAGAAACATCATAACTCAAGGAAACGTCTATCACCTTGAGAAGAGGTTGACGGTGCTGCATAAATCAAAATATACATGTCACATTTCAGTTAAAAAAAGTGTTCTTTCAGTCCAAGTTGCATAAACACAAAGTCAGGAATTGTAGGATTTTGTAGGTACAGTTTAATGTTTCTTAAAGATGAACTTACATTCATCTACTCAAATCGTAGGTAAAATCTGACCCCGACGCAAGCACAATTCACATGCTATCTTGCGTGCAAAATGGAAACCTTGGCATGGTAGTGCTCACATGCTGTTGACATCAATAGGAGGAATAGAGAGCAGGAGATAGAGTAGGTAGTGTTTTACCTGTTTAGTAAATAGTCTTAGGGAGGTGAGTGCGCCATGGACGAGGTTGCCGGTGGTGTAGTCTGTGCCACGTGAAGGATTATCCCGTGCCAGGGCAAGGCACAGAGTATCTTGGCAACAGATGCAGTTTCAGAGTCTTGACGGCAAATGCAGTTACAAATCGCGGATCAACAGATGCAGTTTATATAGTCACCTTGATATGCCTTAGGAGATCTTTCTTCAAAGCCTAAATCCCAGTGACGCTGACCTATTTTTAACATTTACCTCATGAGGAAAACAGGAATCCACAAATCAATGCATACATAAAGCGAAAGTCAAGACCAAGGACAACACTTTAGGTTTTACATCAACTTATTAACTCGCAAATAACTACAAAAGGTGCATGCATGCATGTAGATTTTACTCTAATCTAGATACCAAAGTGTTGCATCTGCATTTTCTGTCTTAAAATGCTTTCTTTTTCGCTGAAATAGTAGCCACTGATGCAATACAAGGATCATAGTGGCTCCCTGGTTCTCACTTCCTAGTGGGGCCCTGCATTTCAACAACGTCATGTCCTAACTCCTGATCTTAACAATTGTCTAAACCATCTTATCTTGACTGCTGGGATCTTACATTGTGACACAAAAGAGAGATATCATTATATTTTCTTTAAATAGCAAATATGGGGTAAATAAATGAATAAAGTTCAGAAGTGACACTGCCATGGCACAACCCACAGCAGACGGTCGCCCGCTCGAGGGCCGCCTCGCACTCCATGACGAGGAACCACTACTACGGAAATCAGTATAGGTGCCGGTTAGGAACCGGCTATAGATGACGGTTTCCCCGCCGGCACCAATTGGTGGGCACCTATGCCGGTTTTAGAATCGGCACCTACAGAGATTATAGATGCCGGTTATTACCCCCAACCGGCATCTATGGGTTAGGGATTTTTTTTTTAAAAAAAAGCGTCTCCAAGGAATATAGGAACTGAAGCATCCCGGTGATCTCACCACAATCAGAAGCAAAAACTTACTCCAAGGAAGCAGAAACTTGTACCATCTCACAACAATCTCGAACCCAACCATACATACGAAGTAGAAACATACCACTAATCATCAATCTGATGAGCTGCTGCTCCTCATGAACATCCCGCGCTTACGAGACGAAGCCCTCCTCGCCTACCAGGGAACCCCACCTCCAGATCGATCGACAGGGCGTCTAGACGTCTGTCGCTAGCGGCACGCACCCTGAATGAAAAGAAACCAAATCAGAGAAAAATGAATCCGCACCTCCGCCGCTAGCAGCACAAACCATGAACGAACAAAAACCAAATCAGAAAAAAAAAAGAAGAAATCCCTTGATCATAAGGGTGCACGCACCTTCGTCCCTGGAAGCACACCTCCACCAATTCGCCTCGCCCATGCATCAATCGATCAGCCTCGCCCTGAGCGAATCCCACGAGTCAAGAGATGCGGCAGAGGAGGGATTGCTACGAGGAAAATAGGAGTACCTTCGATTCGACTCGAACTGAGACGGAGGGCAGAGGCGGGAGGGGCTCGTCGCTGGCCGTGCGTGGGCGTGCATGACGCGGGAAATTTAACTATTTGCCACTCTTGTGACATGGCAATTAACGATTTGCCTCACCCTGTCAATGACATGTGGGCCCTCATGTGTCTATGACATGTGGGCCTAGTGGCAAATCGTTAAGCAACATCCGTAAGAGTGGCAAATAGTTAAAAGCCCCGCGTGACGCGAGGAGGCCGCACAGATGGGAGGAGAGGAGTCCGTCGAACACCTCGCCCGCGAAGGGAGAAGGGAATGGGGCCGCCTCCCCGGCGACGAGCGCGAGGGGAGGAGGCCGGAAGGGGAGGGGANCCGNAAGGGGGAGGAGGAGGGGAGGCCCGGTGACGGAGGAGGCGAGGGGGAGGGAACCCGAAGGGAGGGGAAGGGTTGCGGCGGAGGAGACTAGGGGCGAAGCGAGGAAGAGTGGAGGTGCGGCCTGGCGGTGATCTGACGACGGGAGGAGCCAGAATGGGCGGCGTGGCTTCGGCGGCGGTGGCGACCTGGCGACGGGAGGAACGAGAATGGCGAGTTTTTTTTTCCGGGATAATCGCGAGATTTAGGGCGACCGTGGGGACGGGAGTTGCGGGGAGAGGAGCGCATGGGTGGGTGCGGGAGGGAGGAGAGGGATCTGGTTCGTTGGATTCCGCGCGCGACGGGAAGACGACGGAGGACAGGCTCGCCCTTAACGGGCGTTTACCCCATCGCCAGCTACCGGCGAGGCGTTCCTCCTCGCAGGCGGATTATTTTCCTCCCGCAGGCACAGACCGGCGACGTGGAGGCGAGGGATTCGGGTGGAGGGCGCGGTGGGAGGGGAGGCGGCGCTCGATCGTGACGCGGAGGGGAGGGATGCGGAGGAGGTGCGGCGAATGCGGAAGAGAGGGAGATGCGGGAGAGGATGCGCGATCGCGCCGATGCGGAGGAGGCGCGGCGATTGCGTCGATTGCGGCAGAGAGAGAGAGAGAGGGGGGTGTGCGGGAGAGGATGAGGAGCGACACGCGCGCATCTGGGACGTCCGATCTTAACTCATCAGATGATTTTTGCACCGTTAGATGTGTGATATGATGAATGATGAATGAGTAAAACCATTTGTTCAACTATAGGGTAGCTTTAAATGGTTTTACTCATTCATTATGCTTTAAATGGTTTTACTCATTCATCATTCATCATTCATCATGTCACACATCCAACGATCCAAATCCATCATATCCTATAGTTGTCAAATTAATGAGTAATGAGTAAAACTAAGATATAATGAGTAAAACTAAGATATATAATAAATTAACTATAAATTAGATATAATATGCCCGTGCTAACGCTACGTGTATGTTTAGTAATAGAAATCATGACACATGGTTTGGTATCAAGTATCTAATATGATAAATTTAATATTTAGGAAAAAAGAACTACGGAGAGAGTTTTTATATTGTTGCTAATTATATAGCCTCCAAAATATAAAATCACAACTTTTGTATCTTAGGAATACAAACAAAACATATTGCCTACAAATAATACAAACCAAACTTCATTTTACAAGGAGAAGTGTTTTGATTATTTTATAAATTATATTAATCACCGAGACAAATTTCACCTAAATGGAAGGATATAATCATACAGAAATGACCTTCCAAAGTTTGAGGAGTCATTGTCTAGCTCAAGTATAATCATAAGTAACAAGAACCCTATCTGAACCAATCCACGTGCCTTCGCAAAGCATGTTAGATAGTGCAAAAGCATTTTTTGTCATTCTGCATAATAAATTGAAATTTGTCATTTATGAATTAGTTTATAGAACATGCTGTAAATTTGAACCGCAAATGTATAGAGTATAAGGATATACCAACTATCCTGAATTCTTTCAAGTGCATGCAATCCTATAATAAACCAGATATTAAGAGAGTTAGTATTTCATCAAGTATTTGCTACTATGATTATCTTTTAAAAAATAAATTGTTATAAAATGGCAGCAAACCTTTAGCAGTACTACTTCATGCTTTGTAAAATTAGAATATACTTGAATCAATTCAGATGCTTCAATGGCTGATGAATTTTTCATGCAAAATTCTACTTACTTTCGGTTATGAAGAATATAGATAGCACTTACCATCACCAACTGGCTTGCCATCCCATTTGACAATGGGCAGAAAAGGATCTGACTGCTGCATCCCAGCACACTTCCTTGCTCGCTGGTCATATTAAACACACCGGCATCCACCATCCTGGGCACCGGTGCTGCAGCCACTTAGCCATTTACCTAGTCACCCACAGCGTTGAACGCCAGCACCACCAGATCACCATCGCCCGTGTCGAACACCACGTTCATCATCGGTCCCTCGTCCATATCCCTGGCCTCGATGAACCACACCAACACGCACACACCGTGGACCTCTACCAAATGTGATTCTACCTGACCAAATCAAGAACCCACTTCGAGTCTAAATTCAGTACCAACAAGCTCATGCAGTTGTATGGCATCCACAAATGATTGGCTCCCTTCCATCGATGTCAACACGGTTGTTCCCCTCCTAGCTTCTGTAAAAAAGATAAGAACCAATGTTGAAATTCAATCATCAGAACAACAAAAACCATGGAGTACAATATAACAGTGGAAGTACAGTAAATATATATATGCTTAATTCTCTGATCCCATACTTCCCCTGTTGTCACATCAATAAAGTACACTTGATGATTTGAAATTCAAATCGTCATATACTGCTATACATGTGGCAAATGTGAAAAAATCACTGAAAGATCAAAAATCTGTTTTTGGAGATCTTAACAAATGTATAATCACACATAAATGTTGAATTGTCTCAAATACCCTAGAAAGAAAAAGATGCTCCCACAATCACAGGCAACTTGTCCAATCTGAAATCTACTTAAATCGGTCACCAAAAAGAACATGGCAATATGTTCAGATCAACCTAACTTTAAATGTTCCACTTAATATGTTCAGATCGAACATCACAGTCAGTATGAAATGTTCTATTGTGGGAGTGAGAAGATTCTGAAACCGGACAGCAGAAGAAGCGAGCTTGCCATAGAGCTTTGGAAACCGGCAGAAGAAAGGTAATATTACAAACTTGCCTTCGCCGTCAACCTTTCCACAGGCACCAAGCTCCCTGAACCCACCATACACACCTGTCTCCAATCTGTTTCAGAACAGAGAAGATGGAAAACACATAATCCCGTTCTCTCTCATGAGTGCATTTAAATTCTTATTAGTGCAGGACCAATAGGCTCACAAAAAAAGAGGGATCCCACAATTCGAGCTGGATTGCAAGAAGGAAGGAAGAGGATTGCGTCGGATCGGATCGAACCAGAATTTGAACTCCGGGAGGCGACGGACGAAAGGGCGGAACTCGTCAGATGTGCTGATGGGGAGCACGGGCCCCCCCTCGCCGAGCTCCTCGGCGACCTCGGGGTCGTCCTGGGGCGAGAGGAAGGCGATGAGGAGGTTGAGGATGTAGATGCCGAGGGCGTAGGTCACGATGTAGCACCCTCCCGCGAACCAGGCACGCAGCACGTACGCGGTCGCCAAGCCAGCGAAGGCCAGCCACCGTCGCGCCCGCGGAGGAGATGGCGGCCAGCACGGCGGCGGCGGAGGAGGAGGGGTCCATCATGGCGTCGGGCGGGGCAGAGGCGGCGGCGTCGGGTGAGTGCGACAGAGATGCGGGAAGAGCGAGAGAGAGAGAGAGAGAGAGAGAGGAGGGCGGAGGCGGCGGCGTCTGCGCGTGAGGGGATGGATGCGGCCGTGCAGGGAGGGGAGGGGAGGGTGAGGGGGAGACATGGGCCGATCGGAACCGTCAGATTCAAGGGATTTGGACCGTTGGATGTGTGACATGATGAATGATGAATGAGTAAAACCATTTGTTCAACTATAGGGTAGATAACCATTATTCCATCGTGACAGTGACATAATCCCAACGGAACGGGATCACGGAGTCTAACTGGTCTACATCCGCAATGTTTGTTTGGAGGAAATGCAAGTAGTAGTTGTTTCCCATCCTTAGTGCTATATATTTAACGTATAATGTGTTTATGTGGTTATGCAAATGTATGACAATATTTTGCGATATTTAAAGGTGCATGGGAATGGTTTTCGATACCAATGACGGTTCAATGAGGAGGATCACACATTTGTGTTTAATGTGTAACTTTCATGTTTGATGGAATGGTTATAGATTGGCTTGAGTATATTTTATATGCGACATGAATTGAATTATAAATCATTTGGATTGATTATGCAAAAATTACTTTTGCTAAGAGCCTATGATGGAATTTTATTACTTTATAAATATAATGGCGCTGTAGCGTTAGCACGGGCTTATTACTAGTTATAGGTAGGTAGATAGATATTATTGCAAAAGGAAGGTAAAATTGTTGCTCCTAGATGCGGCAAACCTCTTGTCCACACACCATCTTCTCGTGCATTCCATTTCTCTTCGAGTAAGTGTTGAAGTCCTTATGTAGATTCAGCAACCATAGCTTCTTTAAGGAGCGAAGAAACTCGATGCCTTCCGATACTTTTTTCACAATGTGCAAACCTTCAATGTGTGGAAGGGCTTCAGCTTCGACCTCCACCTTGTTGACATCCGACATATGCATCAGCACGAGTGTCTTCAGCACTGGAAAACACCCTGCAGAAAGAATCAATGTCTTTGCAGTATTCGCCTTGTTTAGTTTTAGAAAAGTGAGGTATGGCACATGTTATGCTAGCAGCAATAGTAGATCTTCCCAAGCCGACACCGGCCTAGAGCTAAATATTTGAGATTTCTCCGACAACCCTTTAGAAAAATTCAATGTCTTCCTACAATAGAGAGAACTGTTCCCATGGAATATATTATCGATTAGTTGTCTCTGATATGCTAAAAAGGTTTTGAATTGACAGTATTTCATAAACAACATCGTTAGTCGACATGATTTAGAATTTTAGGGATGTATCGGAGTATGTGACAGGAAGAGAGTTGATCATGTCGACATTGCTTCAAACATATACATGGTTTATCCATTTTGAGAAACAAAAAGATAGTAATAAACCCTCTAGAAAGCTAAACAATATGATGAGATGGTATGTCAGTACTGATTCTTATATTGAAAGGTACATGCATGTATGGATTATAGCATGTAGTTTACAGCCTTATACAATTCAATTGGTAGATCCAGCATATTACATGAAAATATTATATATCTTCCAATATACTCCCAAGAGGGACTTTCTCAGAGGAGAAAGCCAATGTTTCAGGATTATTTAAAAAATAAAAAAATAGCATAGCACATTACCAAATACTCCACAAATCTATTGATAGCACATTAGCTAAGGATTAATTGGGCAGGACAAGATGCGTTATTTAGTACTGTGCAGAGGCATCTTGGCACGAGTACGTGTTATGCAGAAGGAAGAGTAAAATATGTCACTCCTAGATGCGGTAGAGCTCCTGTACATGCGCCATTTTCTCGTGCATTCCATTGCTCTCCCAGTAAGTGTTGAAGTCCTTATGTAGATGCAGCAGCCATAGCTTCTTCAAGGAGCGAAGAAACTCGATGCCTTCAGGTACCTTTTTCACATTGTACAAAGACACAATGTGCAAACCTTCAATCCGTGGAAGGGCACGGTCTTCGATCTCCACCTTGTTGACATCCGGCATGTGTTTCAAAACGAGTGTCTTTAGCTCTGGAAAACACCCTGCAGAAAGAACTAATGTCTTTGTAGTATACACCCTGTTTAGTCTTAGAAAGGTGAGGTATGGCACATGTGATGCTAACAGTGACAGGGGATCTTCCCCAAGATGACACCAGCTTAGAGCTAAGTACTTGAGATTTCTCCCACAGTCCTGAAATATTGGGCATTGCAGTGTCCCATTGGCCCAGTGCCCTCTGACAATTAGCTTGTGGAGCCTCCCTGAAATAGGCTCGAGGGTTTTGAAACAAAGCGTCTCAGTTTTACTACTTGCGGAAAGAAGCAGGGTTGAAAGAAGTGGCATATTTGATAGTGTAGAAAAAAGAACTGCACAATCAACATCAGTTATGTTGTCAATCCACACGCTTCACAGTTGCGTAAGTTTCTTCAGCTGCTCGGCCAAATCTTTGCTGGCTTCCACAGTTTCGAGTGTCTGCAACTCTTCTAAGTTGGATAGCTCTTTCGGAGGTTGAACTCCAGTGAAGTACCGGAAATCTGAATGCTTCTCATCAGCACATTTGTCAGCTAAAAGGTGTCGTAGCTTCCTGACCTTGACAATCCCTCGTGGTAGCTTCTCTATTTTTGTCTGCTTGATGTCTAGAGTGTGGAGATTATAGAGTTTCTCAATTGTCTCTGGAAATGACTTGACTTTGGTGCGCCTTAAGCCGATATATCTTAGGTTAAACAGATTCCCTATACTTGTTGGCACTTCAGTGATTTCAGAATCTTGCAGCTCAAGGACAGTGAGGTAGGTGGATTCAGAGAAAATTGAGGACAACATGTTAGAGGAGGATGAAATTGTTTGAACTGATATTAATGTTCGAAGGCGAGGAAATTTAGCTTTATAGACACCTTTGTCCTCCCAACGACACATTGACAAGCGGCGGACTTCATTATCCATCAGCATCATTGTGCCAGAATCATTTGCTGAACCAAATCTCTCATCTTTAGCCACAAAAAGAGCTAGATCACGCATAATGTCATGCATCTTACAGGTACTAACCCTACCAAGTTCATCTGTCTCTACCACTTCCAGCATATTCCGGTTGATCAGTTCATTGAGATTTCCTTCAGCCACGTCTTCTGGCGTGTTGTTTTCTTTTCTTGCAGCAAATCCTTCAGCAACCCAAAGTCGTACAAGGTTGTCTCGTGGCATGGGGCAATCCTCAGGGAACATGCTGCAATACAAAAAGCAGTTACTGAGGTCTCCTGGTAAGTCATAGTAGCTTAGGTTCAGAATTGCTTGTACATGATCACTCTTTGCTAGCTCGCTCTGTAGCTGATTGTATGTTTGCTTCCAAGCATGCTGTATCGGCTGCTTTGAGGACAACAGGCTCCCAATAGATACGATAGCTAGAGGTAGGCCTTGACACCTATCGACGATTGAATTAGCCAACTCTAGAAGTTCTGAGGGGCAATCGTAGTCCTTCCTGCTATAAAAAGCCCTTCTGCAGAAGAGACTGAATGCATCGACCTTGTCCAAAGGTTGGAGTTTAAGGTGACGTGTTGGTAGAGCTAGTGCTGCCACATGCTTACTCCGTGTAGTGATGATGATGCGGCTTGCCTGGAGATTTTGGAAGGCATCATGTATTTGGTTGTATGCTTCTCTATCCCAGACATCATCCAACACTATCAAACACCTTCTATCACTTATGTTTTCTTTGAACTTCTCTTTTAAGTCATGAACATCCATACCATCCAAGTGTGCTTGATCTGCATATCCAATCTTCCTGAGTACCTTCCTCAGCAATTCTTCTACGTCATAGGTCTGTGACACGACAATCCAAGCATGAGCATGGAACCTGATCTTCCCACGCTCATACACATTGGCAACAATGGTAGTTTTTCCTAATCCACCCATGCCAGATACTATTATCACTGTGCTATCTAGTTCATTTGAGTACAACCATCCAGTCAATAACATCCTGTTGCCTTCGATCCCCACAAGATCTTCATCCTTTACGAGCTCTGGCAAGCAGCCTTGTGACCGCTTTCTTTCAAAATCAGAATGTTTATTACGGATAAGCTGGGATGGTTGCAGCCATTTATCTTTCAGCTTTATAACTCTTTGGATTTCCTGCTCAATCTGGACTATCTCAGCAACAATTCCATCGAAAACAATGGCATAATGTGATCCTTTGACAACGTACTTTTTCAGGAACCCTTCTTCCTCCATTTGAAGAGCATGATATGAGTATTTGTCCATTACATCCTCAACATGGTAGGCCAGCTTTCGTACCTCCGCAATCCAACCCTTGATAACTTTGTCAGTGAGATGTGCTGTATCTAGTTGTTCTATGACATTTTCCATTGTTGTTAGTTCCATTCTTATTTCTTCAACCTTCCCCGGTAACTCCGCCAAACTCTTTCCTTTCTGATATAGCTTGGATACTGCAGATTTGGCAATATTTGTGGGATCCAATCCAAAAGTACTATTAATCTTTGATAGAGCAAGAATAATTGCTTCTGCCATTTGTGCTGAGGAAAAAAAAAGTTCATGTTACACAGTGCAGGAACAAGATTCAGGACTCAGTAAAACTCCATCCAGCCTTCTTGCGTTACCTAATTATTAATTTCAATAAGTAGAAAATCAAACCATCATATAGCAAATCAAATATATATATATATATATATATATATATATATATATATATATATATATATATATATTAAAGGAAAATATCCGATCTAATGCGAATTAAAAAAAATCAATTTGGTAATTTGTTGTGTTTCAGACAAGAAACAGACCAAATTTGCAGTTTCGGCGAATGAAAGCTAATTAACAAGCCAGATAATATCTTTAATACAACATTTAGATTACAAATATGAAATAATAATTTTGGATTTGAAATCCAATAGAACCCAACTGCAATGAAGGTGTCAGCTTTATGTTTACAAAACAACAATTTTCCCACCAATCAAAGTAACATAGGAGATCAATCTTTCTCCAGTACCTTTTCTTTTGTTATAAAGCTTTAAATCTGTTTGGAAATTTATTATTTTCCTGCATGTTCGATAAATCAATTGGACATTGGACTTTTGATACTCCTAAGGACGTTATTAGAGATACTGATAGTATGCTTCCAAAGTTATTTTATTTGCCAGATGACGTGCAGGCTATCTATTTTGCATTTCTAGCAGGCTGTGGAAACAATGGAATAAATGATGCAAATTAGAAATGGGTTTTCATTTTCTTGGATGTCTCAACAACTAGAGTTGCATTTTTTATAAGGAATTGTATAAAGAAGTTGTACTTGCTATGGGCCTATGGGTCTTACGTCTAAGATCAGCTACTGTAGCACTACTAGTTATACTCATCCGCCATACTAAGCACCAGGGAATTAGCCTAAGAAATTAGGTCAGATTGGTTAATGTTATAGTATCGTTTGTTTCCATGATGTTAGGGCATACATTGTTATACTCACTACAACAAAAACCTCGTATAGAGGCACTTTTGTAGAGGCATTTTGTAAATTGCTTCTACAATCAGAAGTTTTATAGTGTAGAGACACTTTAAAAATTGCCTAGAAAACTTTTACTCTAGAGACATTTTTATATCAGTTTGTTAGATTTTATCTTGTAGAGGCATTCTTTCGGCACTATGAAATGCGTCTAATATGTAAAGGCATTTTGTTGAGACATTTTAAACTATGTAGAGACACTTTTTAGAATGATAATGTGTACTAAACGACTAAATATAAGTAATTAAAGGAACAAGTATACAAGTAATGACATGGAGTTGAGTTGGTTAGTGTATCGAAGATTAAAATGATTTAACCAAAAGATCATGAGTTCAAGACTTATCAAAAGCAAGGAAACTATTTTATTCTCTTTTTTGGACTGGTTTTATATGTTTGCGGTACAATTTAGTGTCTCTAAAAAATGCCTCTACCATCTTATAGACATTTTATAAAATGTCTCTTCGTTTGTAGAGACAATTCACCATAAGACACTTATTAGACATTTTTTAAAATGCCTCTACATTGTTGTAAAGGCATTTGATAAGTGCCTCTACAGTACTAGAAAAATGTCTATACAGAGTATTTTTCTTGTAGTGTACTATTTATTAGTTGGGCGTGCTAAGTAGAGCCCATGGTGCTACGTCCTTACATGGGGCCCCATCCTCACACAACCATATATTGTCTTGTCATGCCCCAGCAAACAATAAGGCTGTAAATGACTAAATACCCATCTATGTAAATAAGAATAGTTGAATGCATCACACAAGTGTAAATCCTCATTGCTTTTCGAAGGGCAATTATTGGTCCTGAATTGGTAGCTTGGCAAGATCTACTGCCCAAAGTAGCTACGATAAATCTTCAACAACATGGACGGTTTAAACTATTCAACGCGTTGAGCTTTGATGTACTGCAAAAATTCCATATTACATCGAACAACTTTGTGATACTTTATGAAACTTGCAAAGTAGAGTTGTTTTTTATGGTACTTGTGAAAAGGTGTTACTCCAACCAAGGATAGTTGAGTGAAAAGGAGATGACGAGGTAGTAAAATATGTTGTTTTCATGGTGCTGATGAGGCTACACAACACTCTTTCATTGACTGTAACAGTTTGCTACTAGTTTTATTTGGCAGACTATTCATATAGTTTATGGTTTACAGCCACCCAAAAACATTGATCATATTTTAGGAACTGGATTTTGGGTTTGGATAAAAAAAACAAGATCTAAGGTTTCAGCATGTGCTAATGATATGTTGGGTAATCTGGTTAAGTTGTAATCGCAACGATTCAATCTTGTATGCAGGATATCTATAGTGGACATATTGGCTTTGTTATTGGTCATTGCTAAAAAATGAGGATGAGAAAGCAGAAATCAACATGGGCTTGTGGGGACATATATTTGCTAATTAACACTCTACCGGAAGATTAAAACAAAACTTTGAATAAGAAAAAAATTTCGCTGCATCCAAGAGCAATACCCCGAATGAAGCTGGTGCCAGAGGAAGGAAAAGGACGAATGAGTTAGGTATCTGCAGCCATTGGCGCCAGGTGCGGCGGACGCTCATCCGGCTAACCCCGAACTCCAATACCCCGCCACTGCACCGAGAGTGTGCATAAGAAACATCGCCGCGAGCCAGGAGGGCTCGGCACTTGCTACGGCTGGGCCGAGAGGAAGGGGGGCACAGCTGATTCACCGTGGGGGACGGCAGCAGCACCAACGCGTGATGGGGTGTCCAGGTGAGCGCCGCCGGTAGGCGCTATTTTAGCTCGAGGAGAGGAGACGACGATGCGGAACATGGTTTTTGACTAATTTCCACCAAATAACTGATATTTTTTTATGAGTGGATGACTACGGGGACCCCAAGAACTGAACTAGTGGAAGTTTCTGAAATTGCAGGGTGAAATTTGAAATCAATTATGAGGTGCATCTCAATACTGCTGCAAAGTTTAGAATCCTAAAGCTTTGGATTTTTTTTTTAATTTTCACTGAAAAAGGAGAGCAGGAAACGTCAAATGCTAGAAATGTCCTGGCCACACTAGTTATATTATCCTCTTCCTCATGCTTGCTTTCCATTTTCTTGTGAGCAATGATTTGATATTCCGTGGAGTCTTGTCGCGTGCCCGTGGTGCCAACGTTACAGCGATGAAGGCCGGTGGCTGACGAGGAGGGTGGAAAAGGATGCAGTTGCATGGCACAGTCACCGTGGGGAAGCTGGGTTGGTAGCGGTGGCTAGGTAGGGTAACGAGGATGTGGGTGCTGTGGCTGCTTAACTGTTACTCAGGTGTACCGAGACGATATCCATGGACCAACTACCATAGGTGCAGGACCTGCTTCTGGAGATTGCCTAGGTGTCCCGGTTTAGGTCATCATCTGAGAATGTCACAGCCTACTTGGGGATGAATTGTGCGCACGTGGGCTAAACTCATGCTAGGGGCCTACTCGCCGATTGCGCTCCAACTGCTTGCCGTCATGCACAGCCACTGCACCTCCGGAGCACATTCCATGCATACAACGCACTCTCGCCGCTTGTCAAGTTATAGTATGCTTCACGCCCAACCATGCTATTTCTTCCAAGCGCTCGACAGTGAGGACCACGTCCACATGATTGATCTCAAAATCATACAAGGGCTGCTGTGCTTGGGGCTCTTTCATATTCTTTCTTCTCAGCTGGCCAGCCGTGCTCGCTTCACATGACAGGGCTTCGCTCGTCGCTCCATGTCCTTGAAGCCAATGTGGTCACCACCTCACTACTTCACTGTCTCTCTCGGTCTACCCTTTGATTTTTGGCCCATCAAGGGCTAGATCGGGCATGACGCTGATGCTGCTGTGCTCCTCGGCCTGCACCACCATGGAGAGAAAGGGAAAGTAGAGCGGAACTGAAATAATCTGATCCAATTGGGCCAGTGCCATTTCTAACATTTCAAATTATTTCCATAAACCTAAATAAATATTTTATTAGATGTGGTGTCTAGCAGCAAATTGACAAATTTTGATAGTGTTTTCCTCCAAAAATTAACTTTTGTCGTGCCCACGAACTAAGATCCTCAGGACAATAAATTTTGCCATTTTTCTGATGTCTTCATTTGGGTTCATTTGGTTAGATTTATTGGGCTATTTATTAATTAGATCAGGATCAACGATAGTTGACGTATTCACCGTACATTCAATTTGATACTAACCAAAGATCTAGATCAAGGAGATGATATCTGTAATTTGTATTTGCAACTAATTGTTGTTCCAAGCTATTTGCATTTTGTTATGACCATATTTTCCTCTCTTTATCTATAAATATAACCAAATAATTCAGTACTTTGTCATCATAAATTTAAGACTTAGTTGTTCGACAATATTTGCAGAGCTCCTGGTCTCATAATAAATGCAGCTCAGAGCGCTAATTTGATTTATTAGTCTTGATTATACTTATATTACTTTTCAATAAGTTCAATTCCTCGCTCACCAGGATGCATGTGACTTTTAATGTTATATTTGTTGAGACTTGAGAACCCTCCTTTATATCTATCCCTTCTCTCTTCTTATCTAACCTAGTAGTTATCTCTGGCACCTTTGTAATATACCTCATTCTATTTAGTCTGTTTTGCTCCATGTGTGTTTCTGTTTCAATTTAAATCCACTAGACACTAGTGTTTGTTTAATGGGAATAGTCCCACATGAAGAGTTTAGATTAGTCTGGAGCTGCTTGTATACCCACCTCACTCCAACCATAATACATGCGGGTTAACCCTTTTATATGAACTGAGGATGAAAGTGTAAGTGGAGTGCTATATGAACATGGACCCACGTAACGTGTAGAGAAGACTAATGTAATTATTATTTGGGGCTAGGATGTACCATGGTGCTTGGGAAGTACATATAATTTTCTCAAGTTATTTGCATACATGTTTAATCAGGGAGACTGGAATAAGTGAGATGTATATACTCCCTCCAATCCCAAATGATACTTCCTCCGTCCTTAAAAAAAACTCTACTTCTAGAGTTTGAATTTTGTCCCATAAAAACCAACTTCTACCATCCTACCTACCCTCACAAATAAAACAAGAACTTTTATCCCCTTTACCTACCTATCATTACTTTTTTAAATAATGAGGGACATTTTGGTCATTTTTCTCTCCATTAATTTTACCTTGGCATGTTAGGAATGCTCTTTTTGTGGGATAGAGGGAGTACTTGTCACCTGACATCATTTATAACTAAATCACTTCTGTTTCTTTTGAAAAAAAATAAGCTGTTGCATTCTATAAATAAACATTAAGATTCCGTTAATCATAATCTAACCATACCATTTAAAATATATTAATATTCAAAGATTAAATAAACAATGACAAATATTTGGAATAACAAGTATGAAACAGAGGGAGTATATTTTAGGATGAATTCCGATTTACCTCTAAACTATTGCGTTTGTCCAATTTACACCCCTAAACTACAATACCAGATACTTTTAATCGTGATCTATCCAAACCGGACGAATTACCCCCCTAAGTCCATCCGAGGGGGTTTTAGTCGTAAGTGCACACATGGCATCGGCCCCGCTTGTCAGCCTCCACTTCATTTGCCCTCCCCTATCAGGCTAGTGGGACCCTCCTATCAGCGTCGACTCATCTCATCTTCTTCCTTTGGCCATGAGGGCAATAAAAGGGCAGGGCAGGTAGTCGGGCTAGAGCTTGAGCCCTCCCATCCCCTCCGCTCTGCAATCCTCCTTGTGACCTTTTCACCGCTCGATGCCGCTCTCCTTCCTCCGTACTTACTTCCCTCATTTCTCCGTCAGGTCTGATCACGGTGAGCCAGGCAAGCCTAGATCTATCTGGTCAAGCTAATATGGTCCCATGGAGTGGTGTGCCCCTAGTGATGCCGGTGCCCGGTGGTGCGAAGAGGAGGGACAATGGGGCTGATGGAGAGGAGGGGGAAAGGGCCCTCGTGCAAAAACTGGAGGCTTGCTGCCGGTGGAGTTCCTACTTCCTAGAAGGGTTTCATGGTAGACCTGCAGCGAAGCTGATGGCGAGACAATTCTCTGGAACATGCAGCTAGTGGTAGATCAAAGATTGAGACGACCAGCCCGAGAGGAGATGGCAACAGGCATGGTGATGGCTGTGGTGGTGGGAGACCAGGACAGATTAAAGTACGCGAGCAGTTGTACCCACCTAGCGTGGGTGAGGTTTTCGGTATGGCCGACGGCAGCGCCTGCATCTGTGCCTCCTGCTTGCAGGAGAAGCTCGGGATGCTCGACTCTTCGTCCCAGTCAAACCCTTCCCACCCACTGTCTGTGTGTCGTCCACCTTCTCTTCCTATTCTTTGACCAGCAACCTCACCGCTGAGAATGGTTGTTGGTGAGCTCACTGAGAGAAAAGCAGGTTGAATGGTGAGGAATAGGGATGAAGATATATTTTTATCTCAGAATGGTTGTTGGTGAGCCGACGCCGCTCTTCCCCCTCGTAGGCTTGCCGTTAGCGCCGTGCGTCCTCGTCTGCCATCTAGGAGGGCAAGTGTAGAGTCCCGGAGCAAATACACAAGCACGCCGTCCTCGTCGGCAGCGGCAGCAGCACGAACAAGCAGGGCCCTGCTGCAGGAGCTTGCGACTCCACTGCTGGCGCCAGGAGATCCAAATCAAGAGCAAAAGTTCAAGCTTGTTGTCCTCGTCGCCGTCGGCAGTTCGTCAGTTCGGCAAGTTGATCTGCTTAATTTTGGTTGGCCTAGGATTCACTAGGAAGAATATAGGATGTCTGCTTGGTTTTTTGTTTGGTTCCAATATAACGAAGCTTTCAGATCTATAAGCTCGGTTCTGTTGATGGGTGCAATATTCCAAATTGATGTGTACAAAAATTTTGTGGCAAGACTTTGTGATTTGTCGGTTGTTTGATCTATTATGCAATTACAAAAAATATTGTTCGCAGCCACAATCTTCGATATTTTCTTTGAAGCAAAAGATTTTTGTTGAGTCACTGGTGTCTATTGACTCGCAAGCTAAACGAGCTAGCTCGAGCTACCAACCGAGCCGAGCCGAGCTAGGATTTTAGCACGTTAGGATAACGAGCTGAGCCGATCCTAACGAGCTAGACCGAGCTAAGCCGACCCGAGCCGAGTCAGCTCAGTATCCACCTCTAATTATGTAGGACCATTAATGTCTCGAAATATATTAGAGGGTAATTTGTCTGCTTTAAAAAGTTTGAGACTTGAAACGTCCGGTATTGAAAATGAGGGGGTAAAACAAACTATGTCAGAGGTTGAGGGGGATAATTAAGACTTTTTCCTATATTTTATTGACAAATACTGGCTAGATATATCACACCTAATTCTTTTTTATTCTGTTTTATTATTTAGAGCAAAGATATTTCAATCTAGCTTTATAAAAATGCTACATACGGTACATACATTCATGTCTATAATGTGAAAGTGTTGCATGACAAGTATACGCTATAACATAACATAGGGTGTTAAAAGCAAAATATATTAATGACCGGGGTGAGTATAGGTTATAAGCACTACCCAGAAAAAAAAACATGGAAACCGACAGGAGTCTTTTCCGCCTTGGAAGAAATTTTAAATATGAATGAAAAATTGCAGGTCTATGAGTAAATTTCAAGAAAGGGAATAATCAAGGGGGAACAAAATTGCCACAGAATGACAGAAACTTCAGCAACAATGAAATCAATACAGTTTTGTAAAATTTCTTTCAGCTAGCGTAGATATGATGCTGTAAAACAGTAGTAAAATTGGTACCTTGAGTTGTAGATCAAGATAGCTAACTCAAACTAGCTCATGCATGGAAGAACAGCCGGTTGATGTTGGTAGCAAGGAAAATATGGACCCGAACTTCAGATCGTGATGCAACAAGCCTTCTAAATATATCTACTTTTCTCGTTTTGCCCCCTCTCAATTATTATGAAATATTCGTTGAAGGCTTCAGGCCTACGGCTGTGTTGTATCTAGTGGGCAAGTTTCATTGAGAATAATAAACGCATAATCAACATTATTGGTACACTTTGGGTCATCAACATTCTATTCTTCATCATATTCTTCTCTATCAGATTCATCCTTACTAGCTAGCATCCACTTTTGTTTTAGTGTGTAATAGGTCCCCACTTCCCAGGATGCATGACATGCATGCCTTCATTGAATTGATGGCATTTTCTACATTACTATAAATATCTACATCTATATATTGCTTAAAAAACCAGTGGGGTGAGTTCTGTCACTAGGGGCGGATCAGAAAGGACTAACAGGAGGGGCTGAACAAACTATACAAAACTATAGCCTCATCTTCTAATGGATGCATGACAGAAAATTTTAGTGGTGACTTCATGGGGACTCCCGTGGTTACAACGTACGCCGGTAGTGGGGGCTCAAGACCCCATAGCTCCCGTTGTAGATCGGCTCCTGTCTGCACTCCTACCACCAACTCCCCTAAACTGAAATGTGAGAGTGAGACCTGATTGAAAGGCCTTTTTCATTCAAATATCTTGTACCTCTAACCTCTACCTTTAATAGTACAAAAGTAATGCTTTTTATGCTGGTGGTAGTGAGTTTGTCACTCCCACCATAACTTTCTCTAAACTGATTTTGTGGGACTGCTTGAAAGGCATTTTTCATTCAAATATTTTATACCTTAACATCTACCTTTAATGGTCCAAAAGCAATGGTTGAAAACTGAAAAAAAAAGATAAAACCTAATTAATTTTAAAAATAAGTTCTCGCTCTCTCAGTCAGATCTAGATCCGCCCACCTCTCTCTCTCTCTCCCCTCATCGTCGACGCCGAGTGCCGCCTCCCCGCTGTTGACTACTGGTTACCGTCTCCTTGCCCTCGACAACTACCGCCGCCTTCTCCTTGGCCTCGACGACGATGGCTGCCTCCTTGGTCTCCACGACAATGGCCGCCTCCCCGATGCTGAGCACCTCCTGTCCGCCCCCTATGACCGCCGGCTACCTCCTCCTTGGCCTCCACGAGGACGGCCGCCTCCCCGCCCTCCTTGATACCGAGCGCCTCCTCCCCTCCCTCAACGACAACTGCCGCCAACTCCTCGGTCTCCACGACGACGGCCGCCTCCTTGCCCTCCTCGATGCTGAGCACCTCCTCCTTGCCCTCTACGACCGTTGGCCACCGCCGACCCGCCATCCACTACCACCGGCCGCCGCCTCCACCAGGTTTTCGGCGAAATTTTTCAATAATGTCTTAGGAATTTGTAGGAAATGTTTTAGAAATTTATAGATAATGCTTTAGGAATGTGTAGGAATTCGTAGGAAATGTTTTAGAAATTTTTAGGAAATGCTTTAGAAATGTGTAGGAATTTGTAGGAAATGTTTTAGTAATTTTTAGGAAATGCTTTAGGAATTTGTAGGAAATGTTTTAGGAATTTTTTATGAAATTATTTGGGAAATTTTTGGAACTTTTAGGAAATTATTTGGGAATTTTTAGGATTTTGTAGGAAATGCTTTAGGAATGTGTAGGAATTTGTAGGAGATGCGTAGGATTGTTTTGGAAAATGTTTAGGAAATGCTATAGGAAATTTTAGGACATGCCATAGGAAATGATATGGGACATGTTAGAAAATGCGTAGGAAATTTCAGTAGTTTCTTCGCTGCAGAAATGTCTAAGCAACATGATATGTCCATATCGGGCGGTACAAGTGGAGCTACATCTGGGCAGAACCCTCGGACGCAAAACCACCTACCGACCACCCGGCAAGTTATCACCGTTGTGGATGAAAGTGGTAAGCCTACAGCGTCGAGGAGTGTCATCTCCAAATGGTCGAACAGTTGCAGGCGTGTAGCACTTGATCATTTTGGTATCCTTCATAAAGGTATTAACAAGGTGCAGCTGGTCGAGAAAGAGCGAGCTTTGACAACATTAGTCACATGGTTCAACTATCCTGCTGAAGCAGAAACTAGACGGCACTACAGAAGATGGGCAAAGCATGGAAGAATTTTAAGTGGAAGCTTTTCTCCGAATATTTCATCCCGCCCAGTAATCGGACCCCTTCAACGATTACCTACAAATAATAGAGAAGGTGTGGGAGGAGTTCTTCGGGCTCAAAAGCATTCAAGAGTTCGGGAATGAGCACCCACACCGACCCGGCACAACGGGGTACATCGAGAAGGAGGAAATATGGGCTCAAGAGGATGATGCTACTGCTGCAGCAAATGTCCCTATCCCTTTCACTGACATCTCTGAAGTACTAGCTCGAAACTGGGCTAGACCCAGTGGTAAGGTCAACCAGGACGACACCATTACATTTCCAAAACAAAATGATGCCACTGTCTATCAGCAACTAGTGAGTTCCCTTTTAACTTAAGTAATGCTGTACTCGCAAGCTCCTTTCATACTTCCTACATGTCATTAACGATTGACCCTTATAATATATAGATGGGGTTGATTGCTGAAGAAACTTCACAATGCGAGGTTGAGTCTGCATCGAGGAGGCCGAAGATGACGTTTTCACGAGGGCGCTCGGAAATCCAGAACATCCTAGACGAACTCGGGGAATAGGCTGCGACGTGCCATGGAGGCATGGCTTGCCCCAATATGTTGCGCATTGTCAGAAAAGGAAAATCTCAATAGAAGAGATGGATGCTTGCATGAAGGAGCCGTTCAAGGAGGTCATTCAAGAGCTGAAGCAGGACATGGACGCTAGGGTGGAATAAAGGGTGGCAAAGGTCCTCGGCGATATGAACATAACTCGAGGGCATGAACAAGCGACACACCATCTCCTCATCCACACGTTGACGTGGGAAAATCACAACGAAGGAGTAGTTGTGTGTCCATAGAGTTGCCTCATCTTCCGGTCCAACTACTGGCTATGGTGGACAGCATAGAGGTAGCTGATTTTTTATGCCTCATCTCATTTCAAATGCCTCACCCTTGACACGTTTAATTAAGAAATTTTCATTGCAATGCAGGACGTAGCACTGTGTATCCTAGTGGTTAGGGTCACACCAACCTTTTTGTCTGAAGTCGCAAAGGGCATGGCTTACATACCCTCTAGCATAGAAAGGGTGCACAACGTAGACCTCATGGCTGGATATGCGAAGCTGGTAATCAATTCGGTTATGCCCAACCAGCTTTCATATCCAATACCTGCGCCATCAAATGATGGAATTCTAACTTTGGGCGATGCACGTCAAACGTACATACAATGGTTCAAGGCAGATATTATCATAAAAGGTGGTTCCTCGTCCAAAACACCCGGTAGAATCTGAACCTCCTATGGCTCAACTATCAATTAAGGCTTGTCATGAACCTGATTTGACGAAACCACATTCACCCCGGGAAACCATGCATGGGTTTGACTGATGTAGCAGCCACCATGACTCCAGTTAAGACCACATGGAAGGCCGATAGCTCTCCACCACCTGTCAAGAGACCAAAAGGTGACTGGAGTCATTAGTGACCACTAATATCTGATCAGGGCCAAATCCATCAAAGGTGAGGGTTAGGGTCCGTTAGAGATGGCCTGATTCGGGTATCCGGCGTAGTGCGGGCTACAGAGCACATATTCGATCCATACATTTTTTAGATAATAGATTCGATCCAACATTCGATCCATACATGAAAGCATGGACAGCTGCGCCTGCGACAGCGAGCATCAGAATGTTGAGGAGGTTTTCTTCTTAGGTAATGGAACTAGAGTATATATGGAGAAGATATGTTGATATGGGTATATGATCCATAATTGATAATTATTTTGAACCGTGAATTGCATTGCATATGATTAACTGGTTCAATCGTTCGGATTACTACTATTAATTAATAACCCCCCTTCCTTTGTGTAGCTTTTAATTGATGTGTGAAACACAAGTGTATGCAGACTTTACACTCTTGAAATTGGCTGAAATTTCGGTTGTTTTGGAACCTCTTTATGGAATTATTTCAAAATTTAACAAATATTGACTGAATTTGAATAATTTTTACCAAATTCACAAAAAATCGATAATTTCAAACCGAAATTTCAATTCCCGATCAGAGCAAGCCAATTGGAGACGAGCATCGATTGGACACTTGCCATGATCTAGGGTCGTTTTTATGATAATAGGGTTTTCATGAAGCATATAAAATGAAAGCATCCGTCTTTAACATGAAAGTGCACTAGCTCCATTAGATGGGCCTAGTTGGCCGGGGTCTACAAGGGTCCTCACTTATATTCTTTTCATTACACGGGAAACTCTATTCATTGCTCGAGGAAATGTTCACTTGTTTTTATGTCACTCAGAAGGTCATCAATTTTTTTTCAAAAAAATAATAAGATATATCAATATGTGATAAGTCGCTACACAAATATATAGGTTTAACTTCAATTTATATAAGTAGAAACAAAATTTACAAATCTAACACTAAATAGAACGTGTAATTCGCAATCAAATTTGTTTATTTAGTTTCTAATTATATAAGATGAATTCGAACTTGCATATAATGAGATATCACATATCGATCAATTTTGCTAAATGGTTTTAAATTATTTTGTAACTTTCTAAGCGCCATGCATAAAATAAAGGGATGTCTCTCAGGGGAAAAAAAAACTCCCATTATATTGCTCTGCACTCCACCTGAAGGACGTACGCGCACAGCTGTTCATACGACTATACGAAGCCCTGTCTAGCTAAAAGTCTCCTCGGTCTCGATCCTCACCTTGCCCCTGCAGCTGCATACCCGGCCCTTTCGATCTGGTTATCAATCGATCCGGTCGCCATGAACGACGGTCAAGGTCCTCTCTTTTCTAGCTTCATGCTGTCTATACTTCCCTTTCTCAGAGATATTGCAACGATAGCACAGTCTGTTAATTACTAACATTTTCTTGGCGATATCATATCGGCAGCTCGATTGATCGCTCTGTAATAATTTGGCTGTCGTTACTGCTTTGCTTAATTAGTGCGTGAGTAGCATGTAACACCGTACCACTTCATGGTCACTACTAGGGTACTTTGCTGGCAAACCAGCGAAACCCAACGACAAAGAACAACAGGCCGGTGATGAGGAGACGCAAGCTGTTGATGCACAAACACCTGGCGGTACGTAACGCTTAATTAATCATATATGCGTGTATTGCTTCACTACTTCTTAATTTGAGTTACTAATTATCAGCCAAAGCATTTGTTTTTCTCTTTTCAAAGGGTTTAAGACCGAAAGTGCAAATTTTACATTGTTTTCCTTGTTCGCAATTGTGTTAGTGAATTTGTGTATGAAGACACTTAATTTCTGATGCTTTTTTATCTCAACCGATCACAACTTCTCGAATCATTTCCGTATGCGCTCTTAATACGCGTGTCTACCTAAAAGATGCTTACATTCTGGGACAGAGGAAGTAGCAGATTTTTAGTATTATGATTTGTCATATCTGCTAATATGTTGCTATATTTTTGAGATTTAGCTAGTAGTATGTATTACATTCCTCACCAATCTTAGTTTGCATATGAGAGCACGTACGGGACAGTAGATTTTAATCTCATATATCTTAATTTCTTGAGAAATAAACTAATCAATTTTGGTGGCATACAAGATTACTTCTTGGGCCCTCCAGCAAACCTTCAACAGCAGCCAGCAGCGAAGCAATCCGCCGATCAGAACAGATCAAGCACTACACTGGTCAAGGTCACCTGTGACGGGCCCAAACCCTCACCTTTGACGGTTTTGGGCTTGGTCAGTGATCAGTGGTCACTGGTAAGTCCAGTCACCTTTGACGGGTGGCCGGCCGTCAGTGGTGACATCCACCTCTGACGGGCAAGTTAATAGAAGGCCGTCAGAGGTGTTGGTCTAAGCTAGACTAGGGCTTGTTAGGACCCGTCACAGGTGTCTCGTCTCTGACGAGCCCCTAAATAAAGGCCCGTCAGAGGTGATGATCTCCGGTATATAGTACCGTCACAGGGTGACCCACCTGTGACGGGCCCGAAAGTAACGGCCCGTCACAGGTGGGTCACCTGTGACGGTCCGACGTTTGCGAGTCCGTCACAGGTGAGGTTACCTGTGACGAATGTTTCTTCCGAACCGTCACTGATGAGTTAATTCCAGAAAAAAAATAAATGCTAAATATTGGCTAGCCTCAGGAATTGCTAGCCATGCCCTCTGAAAAACAGAAACATCACAGGTGCCAGTCACCCCCCTCCATATCACATATTCCCCAACTGCCCAACATCACAGATGCATCACATATCACAGATCCATCACAAAGCAACAATTTACAACATCACATATGCAACAATTTAATTTATTATAGCACACAATTCATACCCCATGAAAGTCCTCAAATGATTACCAAAATTTCTTGTATTCTGTTCGTTGTGAACCTACACAACCTGTCAATAAGGGAAAAAAAAAAGGAGAAAACAGATGAATAGTACAACATAAATCGTAGTTGATCAAATGTGATGACAATTTAGTAAAGTACCATAAATATTGCACATATGAAAGTAAATTACATTGCACTCTATAAAAACATAATTTTTTACATCGCCAGAAATTATAAAAACATCTTTTTTACATCACAATAAATTATCTAGCCAAGTTCATGAGTCTATTTGGCATGAAAACGTCCTTTCTTATTCATTATTTCTGCAAGAATAAAGGCGCACACTTCGCCTCTGATAGCGGGGGGGTTGATGGGTGAGATCTTGAAGCCAGCTCTACCTTTCTGTTTAATAAATAAGAGGTTAATTAGCACGTTTTGAATAGCAATGTAGATATTGAAATGAGCTTATTCGCCATTAGCAACAACCTCAGGGTCGAAATCTTTCACCTCTCTTAGAAGTGTTGACATGTTGTGGCACACGTGGAAACCACATTGGTCTCCGATCTGTTGTGCGCATGCAAACTTGGTGTCATGATAAAGTTCGTTCTTGCCCTCCTTGTGCCTACCACCCTTTTCCACATATGGGCCCCAAGCCATATTTAAGGCCTTGGTGATTTCACTGAAATCATAATCAAAGGACTTATTGGAATTAAGGTAGGTAACCCTACTCCACTTAGGTACGATGACTAGGAGAATCCAATGTCGCCTGCGTAGTGGTTATGTAGCGTTAGTACTAAGAACCTTAACTTCAAAAACAATATACACGAAGGGTATTGTCCTCTTACTCTTGGTTGTGTGCGCACATGATGTACTCCTTGTCTTGATGGGCCCATAAACACCGGTTGACATAGTCAACCACCTCAGTGAAGCTCTGTCGTAAATTAACCTCATTCACCATGGATGGATCAAGGAACCCAACCTGATTACCATGGCGACGACTCTCGATCCAACACAACCTTAAAATATTTACGTATTAGAACTAATTTAATTAGGAGATATAGTCCAGTCATATCACAAGTATAGAAGGTATGCACTTACAAGGAGTAGCATTTTAGAAGACCAGTGTCCAACTTCCGGATCCTGAAAAGGTCGAAGAGGTCATCAAAGCCTATAGTTATATAGGCAGGCGACGATAGGAACGGCTGGTGGTCGTGATGTCCAACTATGGATGACTCCCGCATTTTCCGCTTGGCATTGCTTAGCTCCATGTATTGCTTATGTAGCTCTCGGCAAGCAATACCCATCACAGCTAACACATTGTCCTCCACCAATGGCATGCCTAGCTCAAATTGGGCTGGCGCCCTCACGACCTTCCCCGATTTGCTCACCAGCATCGACGTCGCAGCCTTGCCCCTTTTTGGCTCCGGCGCCAACTCCCCGACCTTCCCCTTGCCGTGTTCACGCTTCTGGCCCTTGACAAGTGGTGGGGAGCTATCGGCCTTTCTTGTGGTCTTTATTGGAGCCAAGCTTTGAGCTATATCTGCCAAGTCCATATCAGCTCCACCGGGAGAATGAGGTACTGACAATGCCGGTCCACGGGGAGCCTCAATTGATAGCTTAGACTTGGGAGGTGTAAGCTCCGTCGGTCGACTTGGACGAGGAGTCATCTTCACAACTATGTCTTCTTTGGGCCATTGTATGAACGTCTTGCGCGCATCGCCCAAAGTCATGATTTCATCATTTGGGGGCACGGGCAGCGGATAGCCTGACCAGGTGTCCTTTACTGTATCGATGGACACCTTGGCATACCCAGCTAGCAGGTCTGCGCCGTGGACCTTGTCTGTAACCGAGGGCTTGAAAGCCATGCCCTCAGCGACTTCAGGAGCGAAAGTTGGGTGGACTCTCGCTAGTAGGACACACTGTGCTGCGCCCTGCATAAGGTGAAAGTTTGAATTTAATATTGGAATGTGTAAATGTCTTTTATTAGATATGGATCGGATAACAACAATTACCTCGATGTGGTCCACTGCAGCTAGTGGTGCGATCGGGAGACTAGGGGCCGGCACCTCTGTGGATGCACAACTACTCCTATGCTGTGAGGGACTCGCGTCGTGTTGTACACGAGGAGTTGGTTGCACAGCAGGTGTTGTGACTCGGGGTATATTCATGTCGGCGAGGACCTTGTTAACCCTTTCTTCCACCCTTGCATTCATGCTAGCTTCTAGTTCTTGAATGACCTCAACCTTAAGTTCGGCCTTCAAACGAGCGTCCCTCTCTTCCTTGGAGACTTTCCGTTTCCTGTATTGGGAGCTGTACTGAGGGAGTCCATGCTTCTAGGGCACATCGCTACCAATTCCCCGAGTTCGGCCAGGATGTTCTTTGGTTCCGAGCGCCTTTGTGAGGATGTCATCTTCGCGCCTCTTCGGCGCGGACTCAACCTCGCTTTGTGAAGCTTGTTCAGCAACCAAGCCCAACTAGAAAAGAAGATAGTCGTTTATACGAACTTGTACTTTATACGAACGGAAATTAGTTAGGTTGAGTAGTGAACTCACCAGTTCCTGATAGACGACGGCATCACTTTTGTTCTTAAATGTGACAGAGCCGTCCGGGTTGACCTTACCCCTTGCCCGCGCCCAGTTGCGAGCTCTTTGTTCAGGGATGTCTGAAAACGGGGCAGGGACATTCGCTGCTGCAGCGGCTGCATCTTCTTGGGCCCATATTGCCTCCTTGCCGATGTACCCTGCGGTGCCCAGCCGATGCGGGTGCTCATTCCGCTGTTGCAGTACGCGATGTGCCTCGCTTGATTCCCTAAACTCTTGGGTGGTCTTGAGAGAGCAGAATTCCTCCCACACCGCTTCGGTTATTTGAGGGTATTCATCGAACGGCGTATGATTGCCGGGCGGGTTGACAAACTCGGTGAAGAGCTTCGACTTCCAATTCTTCCAAGCTTTGCCCATCTTTTGGAATGCCTTCCGCTTGAGCCTATCCTTTGCTTCGGCTGGAAATGTGAACCATTTCTCCATTGCCGTCCAAGCTCGCTCTTTCTCGGCTTCTGTGACCTTCCCGATATCTTTATGGAGGATCCCGAAGTTCTCACGTGCCGCTAGCCCGCAGCAGTTAGACCATCTTCCAATGACAGTCCTGGGCGCCGTGGGCCTACCACTAGCGTCAACCTCTCTTATAACTTGCACTGTGGTCGGTCATATATTTTGTGACCGCGGATTTCTACTAGACCTACTTGCACTTGTCCCGCCCGACATCGACGTATGTTGTTCCTGCGGCAATTCTGCAGCACAAACAGAAGGCAATATTTGCTAAGGGGTGCTAGCTAAAATTTATGTGGTCATGTGGTGAAAATTTATCCTATAAATTACCATGAATTTCGGGTTGTTGGACCGCCGTTGTCGCGGGATGACCTTCGGCAACTGCCTCTGTGGCTGGTGTTGGGGAGGGCGGGTTTGCGCCGAGCGTTGACATGGTTTAACTTTCGCGAAAAAGATTATAAATTTCCTACCATTAGACTAAATAGCATTAGAGCCAATGTAATACGGGGTAAACTATGAAAGATATGGCCTCAGTTTTGCTGAGAAATATGCATCAATTACAATCATTTGCATGAAGGGATAAAAAGAGGAAATCATAACATCAAAAGAGCAAGTGCAGAAAATCTGTTCTTATGCATAAAAAAAGAACAAGTGTAGAGGTATATAACCACTGAATCAATCATGCAAATTTAAAAAACAGCAGCAGCAAGGGTACAAAATTTGCATGATTGACATAAAACAG